TTGAGAAAAAAATATGTTCAGTTTTGTTTTTATAATAAAAATAAATAACTCGATACTTATTATTGTATTTTTTTCTTTTTATCAATATTATTTAGGTAAGCAAACAGTAATTCATAGTACTATCTACTGAATAAATTATTATCACTTATTTTTAAGTCAAATAATGACTTTATTCATAGTATAGCCTGACCAGGAACATAAAAACCCTCGCCATGTTGCGGAAAACTAATGGTACTAATTTCTTTTAATGGCAACAGTAACTGAAAACTTCATTGACATGTCACCTTGCATGTCAGTCTATTGTTGTCAAAGTGTAAACAAACTTTATTTTAAATGTTTGCAATGGACAACACNAAAACTCGCCCGGATGTCCGCTCTGTGTGTGTCTGTATGTGTTAAGTGTGCTGGCTAACGAGTACGTAAAAAAAAACTATGAAGATTTTATTTCTTGAAAGTGTTCGCTAGGGACGCCGCACAATATGTCATACATTTGATGTAATTTACGCAGTCGCTACCGAGCACACCTAACGTAAACTCATGGTAAGCACACTGAACTTCCGACGCGTGTCTACACTCTGCCACCGGCACCCGATATACGCTTGTGCCGTGCGCAATTATCAATAATAATAATGGTGGGGATTCTTGGATGGCTTAAACATGGAGTGCAGGTGCGGTTTTGTTCCCCAGTCGATGAAGCACCTGATGTCATGCCCTGAGTGCCCAAGCAACTGCACTCAGGAGGATTTGATGAGTGCTACTGACAACGCCACTCTTGTGGCGGAGTTTTAGGCTGACACTGTAGGTTTGTTGTCGATACGAAAAGAAGAATAATAATAATAATAATGCTCACATGCAGCAGCTGCTAAATAAGAGTCCAAACCGGACGAGTTGGATTATGATTATGCGCCTAAGTATCACACGCAATCCGAGTGTAGTGGCTCGTCCGCATAATAATATGTATTAGTCCATGAGCTTACTCCGAAATTCCTAGCCGGAAAACTTGCTAAGCTAATTATCGCAACAAAAATTGACTGAAAGTTCGAGAAAAACAACGACTTCGTTTTCTGAATGTTATATCATTTGTATTTATGTAGTCTTTAATTTTTTCAGATGAAGAAATAAAGGAAGTGACCGAAGAGCAAATCCTCAAAGGGCAGGTCCTATTAGACAAAAGGATCAAGTTCGTCATTCGGTAAGTCTTAAACTGTTTTTTTTTATCACGTAGTTTTAGGTAACCTCAAATGTATAAATAAATTCAATTGTTAAATAAGAGAACAGATGTTTCTCTTGATACCGCATTTACACATTCGTGGTTCCCATTCACATGAAGACTTGCTGAACATTCGTATACGAGTGTGTCGCGTTCTATACTGTTCACATATTTGCGTGCCGCTCATCTCAGTAGCGCTAGATTTATAAAGTCCGGTCACCGAGTAGATCGAGTTACGCGACTGTACGACAGGCGGCCGTAGTGAGTGTGTGATCGCGACAGCAATATAGTTACGAGCGAGCGATAAGGATGGTTAGCTTGGGGTCATTGGACGAAATTCTATGTGCTCGGCGACCCGTCTAATTAAATTAAATTGATAATTGTCTTTAGTTACATACAAAATGCATGATCGTTATTGGCAGAGTAAATACAAATGAGTAGGTCATCTTCATAGAAACGCACACACTGACAAAATTTAGCGTGGATTAGCGGGGTGTTGCGCCGAGTTTTGTCAGTGTGTGCGTGCGCGCCGCATACGTGTTGGCGCGCTCACATACAAACCGCGCTTGGTGCGTTTCTATGAAGATGACCTACTCATTTGTATTTACTCTGTTATTGGCCTCGCGACATGCACGGTATTAAAGTCTCTCTGTCTTGGACATATTGGTGTCTAAAGCCCGGTCCTTGAGCACGTAGAATTTTGTCCAATGATCCCTAGCTACCCATCCTTATCGCTCGCGCGTAATTATATTGCTGTCGCGACTGTGCGTCTGGCACCCGCAGTGAGTAGATCGAGTTACGCGACTGTACGACAGGCGGCCGTAGTGAGTGTGCGAACGCGATAGCAACATAATTACGCGCGAGCGATAAGGATGGGTAGCTTGGGGTCATTGGTCAAAATTCTACGTGCTCACGGACCAGACTATACCAGCTAATAAAATGAGCCTTTTGTTCACAGTCACACTGTTGAAGAGGAATTGGACGGTCCAGTGGTGGAGCCGACACAGGGCTTCGTGTTCGTCGCACACGCCGCGCTGCTGCCTGGCCCGCGCCGCCCCGCCGCGCTCGCCGACTGCGAGGTAAGTGTTTACACATCATCATCATCACGGTAATAATATCATACAGTATTGTAACTTCATATAAACAGACGAAACGAGAACTTTCTTTCGAAATTCAAATCTCGGTATGCGCTCGGTATGCAAAAGTCGGGGGTGTCGCAAATGTGCCGAATGAACGTCGGTGGCCAAGTGTTAAAAATGACAAAACTGATTGAATTTGACTGACCGTCATTTTTACGGTCAAATTGGTCAAAAACTGGTCCTATTGTGATTTTCAGTCAGTTTGATTTGAAATGAAAATTATAATAATATTGTATTAATCCAGCTTTTGCCCACGACTTCGCCCGCCCGAAAATAAAGTAACAGATCATTATGATTATTAAAGTTTCAAAATTATTTAAGTAGTTTTTACTAAATCTACTAATCACAAAACAAACATTTTTAACCTATTCCATTCACAAAGTATTTTGTTTGTCTAACTAAATAAAAAAATACAATGACAAAACTAGATAAAAATTCTAAGTAGGCAGATGTAATTAAACTAGGTACTGTAGGTGGGCAGCCCTATCGCATGTTGTCATACTGTGACGTACCGCGCGACTGTTGACATTTATTTCAAAATTAGGGCCGAGTTGGAATACTGTATAGATAGTATAACCGTGATCATCATCTCAGCCATAGGACGTCCACTGCTGAACATAGGCCTCCCACAATGCTTTCCATGTTGCCCGGTGGGCAGCGGCCTGCGTCCAGCGCCTTCCTGCTACCTTTATGATGTCGTCGGTCCACCTTGCGGGTGGACGTCCCATTTCAAAACGCATTTCCGGTACGCGGCCTCCATTCCAGAACCTTGCTGCCCCATCGGCCGTCAGTTCTGCGTACTATGTGCCCTGCCCATTGGCACTTCAACTTGCTAATCCGTCGGGCTATGTCAGCGACTTTAGTTCGTTTACGGATCTCCTCATTTCTGATCTCGTAAAGAAACACCGAGCATAGCCCTCTCCATAGCACGCTGTGCAATTTTGAGCTTCTGTATAAGGCCTACAGTGAGAGGCCACGTTTCCGAGCCATAAGAGTCATCTCATCACTAGCAACACAGTGTTTACACACCTCAACTATACTATGGTTCGGCGCTTCGACGAAGTCTTCGAGAAAATTAACCGAATATCGAAGAGAATATCTACACACTCTTGCATTATGACGAATTGAGTCAACATTCTTTCAAGTAGTAGTTGCCAAATTACAATAAGTACAGTCACTTAATAAACATAGAAATGCGCATGGAAGTATGGCGTCACACGGCAAAAAGAACTGAATTGCGTGTTTACACTATCTGATTCGAATATTACCCATAATATAACTGCGCTATAAAGAAGAATATCTTGACGTGAACTGAAGTTCCAAGTAGTGTAGTTAGGCGTTTTTTGTTCACAATTTGGACCACTTCAAGCCCAAAACCGACAACTTTCGGAAGTCGGGCGAGGCACGGCGAATCGAACTGAAGTGTGTTTACACGCACTGGCCACATGACGCATTTTTACTCACGCAATATTCAGCTACTAGAGGTTTACACATTCTGTCCACATTTCGTTTCGCCTATGAAAATCGCGCGTCATTGTGATCGAAGTGATCATTTCGCGAATAGTGTAAAGCATAACATATTCTCTCTCGCTTGCAAATAGTGTAAGGGCCCTTCATGGCGACAGCATCGCTACTAACGCGCGTTAGTCGCGTATGTAACGCGCTACAGAAGTGCATCGCTTTCGCTACAAAAAATCGCCATGGGCGAGGGCCCTTTGGCATATCATTTATCACTTGCCTTCCCCAGGTGATCCTGATGGTGGGAATGCCGGGCGCGGGCAAGACGTACTGGGTGACCGCACACGCGGCCGCCAACCCGCAGAAACGGTACAACGTGCTGTCCACCGGCGCCTTGTTCGAACGCATGCAGGTACGTACTAAAACACCACAAACTACACGTGTACACGTTGTTGTATTGTTGGTAATTCGATCGTGTTTTGATGAATCGCAGAAGGAAAACCAATTTTCACATTTGTTTCACAAACTTGACCTTCACTGATTGGGTTTTCATTGCCGGTTAAGCTGTAGATCCTGGCTAGTCAAGAGTTGCAGTAGAGGAACAAGAGATAGGAATAGTCCTGTATAATTGTTTCAATTTTGAACGACAAGCTTTTTCTTGGGCTGATGTCAGCATCGGTCAGCAGATTCGGCGAACGCTAGTTCGATCTCTATTAGATGCTGCACTAATATGATGAACACTCCTAACACAAGCTAGTGAAGGAGTTAAAAATACCTTTTGTTGTCTGTCTCCCGCTTTACCATGAAGGAAAGTCGATACTCAACCTCCTATAATAACATACCCCAGATTGTAGATACTGTAGATTGCGACTGTATAAAAGTTGCAATGATAGTTTCCCGCCAAGGTTATACATTTCTTATTTATTAACCTTTTCCCGATTATACCTGTTTCAATTACCCATACTAAGGGTTACTCCATTTTCTAAAACAGCTTCATAACTAAACATTTTGACACGATTGAAATACACAATAATACGACAAAGAACACCATTACACATCAACACACATGAGCAATATTTCATTTATGTTACGTTTTTTCAGTTCATTATTTAGTTCGTAATTTAATAAATTACAATTCAACTTTGAAATGATGCAATGTTAACAAAGGGAACTAAAATAGGTGAATATGAACTCTTTCTTAGATTTGTCGAGATTTCGACCAATAATAGTGACATAATTATTATGTCTCTACGTCTGCCAGCTTTGTATATTTGTCTACACTGTTATATTTCTACTTATATACCACGTATTAGTATGTATTATCTGTACACTTCTACATAAACTAGGTGTTGGTAAGCCAAATGCAAGTTTGAAACTCAAGAAAATGCCAAATCTACGTCTATGGATTTCGTACTGGATGATTTATGGAAGGAAATGCAGGAACAAGTATATAAACCCATGGAATTAAAGTTGGAAAAGGTCACACCATAAACTACTACGAAATAAGTACCATCATAAGGAGTCCTTATCGTCGAGTGAGTATTATAATTTTATGTTTACTTATAAGTTAGATTGTAAGTTGTATATCATTGCACTGAACTGACTGATAAAAACGTACATAGATTTCCGTATTCAATTATTATGTATCCACAACAGCCATAAAATCTTCAAGGGTATGTCATCTCACTTCATCGCACATACATAATTACGTCACGTCTTCAAATTATGTATTTATATCTTCTACAAAGAGCTCACAATATTTCAAAATGGAGCTGCGGACTGAAATCGAGTAATGTTAATTGAAAAGTTCATGTACGCCTAAATGCATGGAGCGAATACTAATGTTATTTTATTGAAATACAGCTATGTGGTAAGTAAACAATGATATGAGAACGATGCTTGCCTGGAGATGAAAGTTATCTTATAAGTCAGATTCCTAACGTCGCATCATTTCAAAGTCAATAATTTTTTTATATCTTTTGTTTACATACACAACTACAAAACACCACACTACACACAAAAACTAATAGAACTTTTCTTTCAGCATTAAGGTTTGACTGCAAATAAGAAATGAAACGAAACACGCTCCAACTGTAAAACTGAATACTAATTCGTCTGTATTTTCAACAGGATGCAAATATGAGCTACAATTGTTAAAAAAAACCATTCTAAAAAATAAAGAAAAGCATACAAGTGTGACCTGTAGCGGTCGTTGTAATTATTGTGATACCAGTGGCCGCAGCGAAGAGGAGCACCCGGCCTCGGCCTCATCGACCCTGGTATCGAGTTTGTTGTAGGCTAAGTAACGCGCCTGCCGCGAGCTGTCACTGTATGAGTGTTGTGTGTAGGTGGACTGTAAACCCTTCCGCGCAAGCTACGAAGGCCGCTGGGACGCGATGGTCTCCAAGTGCGCTAAATGCGTGCTAAAGTTGTTGGAAATCGCCAAGGGCCGCAGGAGAAATTATATCCTCGATCAGGTGAGAGAACACACGAAACGCCACATGAAATCGCATACCTTTTTTCGGCAGACACTTACTCAGGAACAATCGAGATTCGCATTTCAGCAATTAAATGACGCGCATTGATATGACGTAACGTTTGAGCTCGCGAACACTACAGCCTCGTATGCGCGGCCGCCACCAGGTACGTCGTGCGGTGCGAGCTGTAAGGCCCCGAATAAAGCCTGCGGGATCTCTATTGAGCTTGTTCTAGGTGGAAGCCAGAGCGAGCGAGGCCACTGTATAACGAGAAAATGTTTTGCTTCACATCTCATTCGGGTCGTCGAATCGCGGTTTCGATATCGCGGGGGTAAATCAGACGAACGTATACCCGTCGGCGCAGCGTCGGAAGCTTCGGGAGTTCGATGGCCGACGGCGCGTGGCCGTGGTGGTGGTGCCCGACGAAGCCTCGCACGCCGCCCGCCGCGCGCGCAAAGACCAGGCCGACGGCAAGGAGGTGCCCGACGGCGCCGTCTTGGACATGAAAGGTTCGTACGCCGCCCGACACTCGTCCACCGCCCAGGCTCAACCACACCCCGTTAAGACGCTCTCTCACCTTCGTCCTTTTGTGCAGCGAACTTCGCGCTGCCGGAGGTCTCGTCGTGGCTAGACGAGGTCATCTACCCCGAGCTGGGTCCGGAAGAGGCCAAGGCGGTGGTGGAGGCCTTACACAAGGAGGCCCGAGCGGCGGGAGTGCACCGCGAGCGCGAGAAGCGTGACCGCAGCCCGGGCCGCGACCAGCCGCCCAACAAGCGCTCGCGCGACGATAGAAGGCACCGCGATGATAGAAGACCGCCGAGAGACCACTCCTCCAGGGATAGAGGTAAGAGTTATTGTATTTAATTGACACAAACATCAATGTATGCATCATACATCATCAATGTGCCGGTATGCACAATTCACATAATATAATCATTGTCTCTGCATATCTTAATTATCTTGATCATGATCGCAATGTCAGCATCTTATTATTATGTTGTAGATCAACATTATTTTAGCCACTACGTATTAATATGTCTACTGCTGGACGGAGGCCTACCCCGATGATTTCCATAACGAACGATCTCCCGTTGCTCTGCATAAGATTCTTCATCTAACTTCTGAATCAGTTGAGGCTTCTTTTTGTAGACATTTTGAGGATTATGTAAATTGTCAAATATTGCGATGCTAATGAAAATCGAAGGTGGTTGTTAAATCGCTCCCAACAGTTAGGGGATTCGTCTTTTCGAATCTAAAATCCCTAGTTCGATTTTTAGAAAACCATTAAAAATTGGAGTAATCTCCAGGACATTAGTATTACTCGCAGAGATGCTGAGGAATTCATGAGGGTGTAGTACGTTACCAGCAGAATGTCTGGGTTACTGTGGAAAAAATCGCATCTGATTTATGTAGTTTTCCTAAGTTAAATTGTTTGTAAATACTAAAATGTTATTTTTAACTTTGTTACGTCATTTTTATAATAATTTTTATAAAAATAATTTATAATTAAAGGTCTATTCAGACCTAAGCGGTATTCGCTACCGTCTGCGGCAGAGAAAACGCTCTAAAGCCTGGTCCGTGAGCACGTAGAATCCCGTCCAATGACCCCAAGCTACCCTACCCTAATTATGTTGCTGTCGCGCTCGCACACTCACTGCGGGCGCGCGTGGCACAGTCGCGACAGCAATATAATTACGCGCGAGCGATAAGGATGGGCAGCTTGGGGTCATTGGACGGGATTCTACGTGCTCACGGACCAAGCTTTAGCCGCGGTACTTGATACTAAATACCTGAGCGAAACCCGCGCGGTATGTACCTCTACCCACAGCGGCAGCGAATATCGCTCAGGTTTGAATAGGCCTTAAATGATTTGTACAGAAGACCGCTGGGGTGGTGGTGGCGGCGGCGGCGGTCGCTGGGGCCCCGCGGGCGGCGGCGGTCGCGGCGGGCGCTGGGGCTCGCGCGACCGCAGCGGCCCGCCCGCGCCCGGCCCGCCCGCGCCCGCGCCCGCGCGCTTCGACCGCGGCTGGGGCGCGCCGGCCCGCGGCAACGACTTCTCCCGCGACCGCGACGACTTCCGCGGCGGGAGAGGAGGACCCGGCGGCCCTGGCGGCCGGGGGGGCCCGGGCAACCGCGGTGGCCCCCGCGGCGATCGGGGCCCCGGCGGCCCCCCCGGCGGCGACCGCTTCGGCCGCCCCGACAGGAACCAGGGACGACCGGGCGGACCCGGAATGGATAAGAGACCGAATGCGCCAGGTTAGTTTCTGCAAACTAAATTCGCTGCGACTGAATGAAGCGTACGCGAACTTCATCTAATAAATCGTTAGCATATCTAGGTAAGCCACGATATGATCTCATCAAGGTATCTCATTGGTTTTAGAAGAAATATTTGTCATCTATAGTTCGGTCGCCGAGCACGTAGAATTACGTCCAATGACCCCAAACTACACATCCTTATCGCTCGCGCATAATTATATTGCTGTCGCGACTGTGCGACGGGCGGCAGCAGTGAGTGTGCGAGCGCAACAGCAATATAATTACGCGCGAGCAATAAGGATAGGTAGCTTGGGGTCATTGAACGAAATTCTACGTGCTCGGCGACCGGACTTTAAAACCGATACCATACCACAAGATTGTATCATGGCGCCGATCCTTATCTACTGATGACATTGCAGAGTATTTATCTGTATCAATAATAAGAAACAAATTTACTTGTGTCAGGAGGTGGTGGCGGCGGTTGGCAACGAGGCAACCAAGGCCCAGGCCGTGGCCCGCCGCGCCCCAATCAACAGATGGCGCTACGCCCCAACCAGCCCAACCAGAAGGTAAGTACGCTATACATAACAAAGATTTTTGTGCAATGATGTGTATATTTTTTTAACCAGAACAAGGAAAGTCCTCCCCACGTCTAATCTGATGGAATGTGATAATCAGGCTCAAGGTGGAAGCAGAGTAAATACAAATGAGTAGGTCATCTTTATAGAAACGCACCGAGCGCGGTTTGTATGTGAGCGCGCCAATATACGTATGCGGCGATACCTCAACTACAGAGAACAGGATATCATATCTTATACCTCCAACTGTTGAAACACAACAATGCTGTTAACTTTATAGTTATGATCACACCTACAATTTTAGTCAATTTATTAGCTCATGAAACAAAACCACTTCTAAACGCTTTCACGGTATTTACAAGTGGCTATTTACATACTTGCAATACCATTCAAAAAAATCCTGTCAAATACAAATGCACAGTGTTTTAACGTTACATTGTTTATGGTAATTTGTAATATTCGTAGGATGGGCAGGGTCAAGGCCAGAACCCCAACCAGCAGAATCCGCAGTGGAACCAGTGGCAGAACCAGTGGGGCAACTGGAACAACTGGAACCAGAACCAAGGTACGAGTTTTGACAGTCAATGTGGTCTATTAGTAAGATTTTGTCCGCGAATTTGTCCATTTTGTTCTGTTGCCTAAAAACGTGAAAACTTTAGGCAGGTACAGTCAGCATCAAATAGTTCGTGACACCCAAAGTAGCCAAAAAGTTCGCAACACGTCTTTGTTACAATGAGGGCTATCGTTTTTGTACTTAACAGTTGGCACCCCTGGCGATTGACAGGGCCTTACTCTACAGTGGCGCCATCTTGATGAGTGCAAATGGGATAGTCCTCCTACCACTTTAGCGCTCACCAGTTGGTGCCACTGTCTTCGCTACTAGCAAGTGACAGGACCTTACTCTACAGTGTCGCTAACTGGTGAGCGCTAAAACGATAGCCCTCATTGGAATAAGGTTGTGCTGTCAACTTTTTGGCCCTTTGGGTGCCACGAACGCTGATTGTACAAAACATTTCCATTTGATTGTAACGCAGTGGCGATTACCAAAAAATCACTTATGCCGCTTTTAGTAATGGTTGGATGATCATTTCGCCGATATTTTATGAACGTCAAGATGACGGGATCACTTCTTGTATTAAACTGACGTTGCCACCATTGTTTTGTACTCATTTTAAACCTATTTGTTCCTACAAATAAATTTAGGTACTTCCTTAGTTCAGACGTTATTAAAGGTCAATACTGATCCCGTTATTTTGACGCATCAAGATGACGGGATCAAGCTGTTTCTACAAAACGACTAATCATTTTATAAAACAAACTACTCCATGATTTAGATCTCATTTTAAACCTCCCGGTAGTTGTGTATTATGACCTGCATTACGTATGGTTTCTTTGTTATGATTTTTTATTTATTTTTATAACTATACTCCTGTCGAATAAAGAACAGCAATGTTTCAGCGGAGTGAATTTTGTCTTGGAGACGGTGCCAGGCGTTTTTCGCGCTTCGACCGCGGCTGGGGCGCGCCGGCCCGCGGGAACGACTTCACACGCGACCGCGACGACTTCCGCGGCGGGAGAGGAGGACCAGGCGGCCCTGGCGGACGCGGGGGCCCGGGCAACCGCGGTGGCCCCCGCGGCGATCGGGGCCCCGGCGGCCCCCCCGGCGGCGACCGCTTCGGCCGCCCCGACAGGAACCAGGGACGACCGGGCGGACCCGGCATGGATAAGAGACCGAATGCGCCAGGTTAGTTCCTATAAACTGCTATTTGGCAACATATTACATATCTAGGTACGCCACAATATGATCTTACCGAGGTATTTCATCCATTTTAGACGATACATTGCTCATATAAAACCGATTACCACGATGAAATTGTAACGTGGCGCCTATCCTTTCCTGGCTGATGATATTGCGGAGAATTATCTTTATGTACTAAATTAAAATTATTTTATTGCATGTCTGAGTAAGAACCGATTCGACCAAACTTTTATCCGAGAATAACTCTTGTCCCTCTAATAATATGTCAAAATGTCCATTAACTGACGATTTATTCTGTGATTAATATTACTCTTGTTTGATCGAATCTATTATAATTAAAATACTATTATAATTCTATTTCTAATAAAACTCACTTGTGTCAGGTGGTGGTGGCGGCGGTTGGCAACGCGGAAACCAAGGCCCCGGCCGCGGCCCGCCACGTCCCAATCAGCAGATGGCGCTACGCCCCAACCAGCCCAACCAGAAGGTTAGTACGCTATACATAACAAAAAATTTTGTGCAATAATGTGTATATTTTTCTTAACCAGAACAGATAAGATAAGATAATACTTTATTGCCTCGTTTTTACATGCTTTACAAACATAGAAATATAAAAAAATTATACTAAAAACATAAGAGGCAAAAGGATGAGGCTCAGCATAAGCGAGGTCAGGCATACCCTACCCCGCGCTGATTTTCAGCCTCTTTCCTCCTTTTCCCTTAATTGGAGGGTGGGAAACAACCAGTAAAAAGGGAACAGGGAAAGTCCTCACCACGTCTAAAGCCCGGTCCGTGAGCACGTAGAATTTTGTCCAATGACCCCTAGCTACCCATCCTTATCGCTCGCGCATAATTATATTGCTGTCGCGACTGTGCGACTGGCACCCGCAGTGAGTGTGCGAGCGCGATAGCAACATAATTACGCGCGAGCGATAAGGATGGGTAGCTTAGGGTCATTGGACAAAATCCTACGTGCTCACGGACCAGACTTTAATCTGATGGAATGTGATGATCAGGCTCAAGGTGGAAGCGAGCTTCACTCGGATATCTCAACTACAAAGGAACAGGCTATCTTATGCCTCCAATTGTTGAAACAACAATGCTGTTAACCTTACAGTTATGATCACCAAATTTTAGTCCATTATCACTTCTAAAGTCTAAACGCTTTCACTGTATTTACAAGTGGCTATTTACATACTTGCAATACCATTCAAAAAAACCCTGTCAAATACAAATGCACAATGTTTTAACGGTACATTTATGGTAATTTGTAATATTCGTAGGATGGGCAGGGTCAAGGCCAGAACCCCAACCAGCAGAATCCGCAGTGGAACCAGTGGCAGAACCAGTGGGGCAACTGGAACAACTGGAACCAGAACCAAGGTACGAGTTTTGACAGTCAGTGTTGTCTAATAGTAAGATTTTGTCCGCGAATTTGTCCATTTGGTTCTGTTGCCTTAAAACGTGAAAACTTTAGGCGGGTACAGTCAGCATCAAATAGTTCGTGACACCCAAAGTAGCCAAAAAGTTCGCAACACCTCTTTGTTACAATTGGAATCGCAGAATTGCTAAAATCAAGTGGCAGTGGGCGGGGCACATAGCTCGTAGAGACGATGGCCGTTGGGGCAGGAAAGTTCTCGAGTGGCGACCACGGGCTGGAAGACGTAGCGTGGGCAGGCTTCCTACTAGGTGGACCGACGATCTGGTAAAGGTCGCGGGAAGAGCCTGGATGCGGGCAGCGCAGGACCGTTCGTTGTGGAAAACCTTGGGGGAGGCCTTTGTCCAGCAGTGGACGTCATTTGGCTGAAACGACGACAATTGGAATAAGGTTGTGCTGTCAACTTTTTGGCAACTGTGGGTGTCACGAACTATTTGACGCTGATTGTACAGAACATTTCCATTTGATTGTAACGCAGTGGCGATTACCAAAAAATCACTTATGCCGCTTTTAGTAATGGTTGGATTGACCATTTTGTTCATATTTTAATCAAATTATTTTAACTGTGAAGACTTGGAGGAGAATCATCATAAATGCTTGCGAGTAGTGATATCACCATAAAACAGTCCAACGGTCGACTAGGCTTCCCCGATTTTTAATTGCCGACACCGTTGGATTATTATCGCCTCTATCGTTTTTGGATAACATATTTTTTTAACTGTTAATCTCTCGTGGTGAGCTAAATATGCTTGTCAATACAAGCATATCTAGCTCGTACGTAACCGTACGAGTGGGTTCACCAAAATAGACCTGTGGCGGCCCTCGGCCCCGCGTTCTGCGGATCTCGATTCGGCCTCGTTGACACTATTGGGTTATTGTTGCTTCAATAATGACTGTATTTTCCAGCTGGCGCCTGGAATTGGGGCAACTGGGGCGGTTGGAACCAGAACGCAAACGCGGCCAACAACACAGGAGGCGCGGCGGCCGCCGGCGGCAAACAGGCGCAGTGGGCCGGCTACACGCCGCAGCAGTGGTACCAGTGGCAGCAGTGGCAGCAGCAGCAGGGCTGGCAGGGGGTCAGTGGCACATGTACTAGATGGAGTACAAGAGTGCTATATGTTGAACACGAGTACTATATGTAGGACATGAGTTATTACCTTCGAGATAATCTTGGCCCTCACTGGCTGGGATTTATTGGACGTAAAATTAATCGCATGTTTCCAACAAAGAACGGATTGGTGCCAGTGCCTCAAAATTGTACAGGCGAACTTATGCATAATTAATTATACAGAGCATTATAGGATAACCCTCACTCTCTGTAAATGTTATAAAGGCTACTAAACGAAAAATATGATAACGTCCGGGACATTGGAGGTGTTAGCATTTTCCTCTGGTACTAGAGGTCTTACATAGCTCGTAGCGGGGCACATAAATCGTAGAGACGATGGCCGTTGGGTCAGAAAAGTTCTCGAGTGGCGACCATGAGCCGGAAGACGTAGCGTGGGCAGGTCTCCTACTAGGTGGACCGACGATCTGGTGAAGGTCCGAGCGGTGCAGGACCTGTACAAAGACCTTCGCATCGCTCGAAATCCTTGGAGGAGGCCTTTGTCCAGCAGTGGACGTCTTTCGGCTGAAACGAACGAATTAGAGGTATTGCTGAGTGAAGACTAAATTACCTGTAGCCTTATTCACGTAACAAACTTCAACGACAACAAAACACAGTTGCGATCCTATCGAGTAATCGTTCTATCAAAATGACCCTTGTGAATACGGATTTAGAACTGTTTTTCAATGGGACTTCTGAACGTCAGCGAGATCTTGACTGTCAAAATACGTGAAAAAATTTACGTTTTTATTTGTGTTGAGCGGCTATTCTAGTTCAATAAAGTCCTAGTATCACTGCGACCGTTATCGATGTATTGTGATCGCCGCTATTATCCTTACAGTTCGCCTCAGTCCTGATGAGTCGATGATGATGCAGAACTACTATTGTGCTGTTTGTTTCAGTACCAGCAGCAGCAGCAAGGCAACCAGCCCACCACCGCCAACGCCGCCGAGCAGGCGTGGGCGCAGTACTATCAGGTATGGGATTACAACTCTATTCTTTTGTAATAAGGTTCAAGTATAGAGAATAGAAGAATAGAATAGACCATTGATCACAGCAAGCACACATTATAAACTAACAACAAAACGAATATATAAAATAGTGCGCCACTGCCTCAATAGGCTCCCATTTGAAGGGGTGAGTGGACAAAGGTGTTATCTGATAAAACTGAAAAATCGACTTTTTTGCATGAACATTAGGATTTTTAAGTGTCGATTAGTCGATTTTATCATAAAATCGACTAATGAGCTCAATACACGCAATTTTAAGTAACTACGCCCCTGGTCGATAGAACAAAATGCAAAATCTATTGCAGCTTCATTCATTTAATAATATTAGAAGTTTTAGCTAATAGAAACATCATTAAATATTTACTGTTTTTCTTTTCAGAATTACGGCGGCGGCAATGCAAACGCGGCTAACTCATCTTCTGATAAAAAGTGACGGTTGCGTAAACACAAAAACGTTTAATCGAATACGAGGACTATTTTATAACTGCCCGCGATATCATGAACATTTGGACTGCAAAACGTGAAATATAAAACCGTTATTTGATTGATACAGTAAGACCGTTTCAAAAAAGCTGTCTTGATATAATCAATATTATGACATTCGGGGAGTAAATCTCTCATACAAACTAGAAATAATAAATAAGATACAGTATTTAGAGAGAGAAATAACATTTAAAACCCCAAGTATTAGTGGTAAATAAATATAGAATACCTATGTTACTTTGCCGCCAGCTCTTTTGAAACACTTATCTAAATCAAACCATTAGATCTAAGTTTTAACCACAAGCAACGAGGTATAGGTTGCTTGATCGTCAAGATCATAAATTCTAAACTAAAGTTAGGTTGCGGTGATAGTTGTATTTGTAAGATTTTTAACATTTTCTCATAGAATTTTTGGTTGTTACTGCAATATAAATATCTATTTCTAAAATAGATTCCAAAGAAACGATGGGTTTACCATTTGTTAAGATCTATATACTAGTATATCTTCATACTAGTGAGATTAATCGAATGTGTGACATTAAATTCCAAAAGATGGAATATAAGACAAATTCCATGTTATTTGCTCACGAGTGTGAGGTTTTTTTTTGTTATACAAAGTCCTTACAGACATAACTTTTTTGGGCGACCGTGTGTGCATTTTCTGTACTACATACGAATGATTTTGACAAATAAACGCTCTTAATACGTCCACTGCTGGACGAAGGCCTTCGGAAGGCAGTAAGAGAAGGGCCGCCTTCCCTGATGATTTCTACAATAAACGGTCTCCCGTTGCCCTACCATTATTATATTCTTCATCTAACTTCTGAATCAGTTGTGGCTTCTTTTTGTAGAGATTTTGAGTTTGTTTATCAAATATGGCGGCGCTTGTAAAAATGAACATTGCAGGTGTTAAATCGCTCCCAGCAGTCAGGGGATTCGTCTTTTCGACTCGAAAGTCCTGAGTTCGATCCTCAGGAGATCTGTTACAAAATCGAAGTAAACTCATGACCGCTTCTATGGTCTAGTGCTAAGACCACCTGCTACAGACGCAGAGGTCCCGGGTTTGATTCCCAGTGGGGGCAGATTTTTCTGTTCGGTTTGGTCGGTGGTAGGGCTTGTTCTAAGTCTGCCTGGCTAGCTACCACCATCTTACCTAGGTCTGTCGCCATAACAACAATGTTAACAGCATTGTTATGTTCCGGCAGTTAGAGGTAAGATAGCCAATTCCTCCGTTGAGGATTCCGGGTAAAGCTCGATTCCACCTTCAGCCTGATCGTCCCTTACCATCAGGTGAGATACATGCCAAGAGTTTCCTCGTTGTGGATAAAAAAAAACATCGATATAATAGCATTACTCGTAGAGAGACGCGGACGAAGTCATGATTTCCAATTGACTTCGATGTACTTTATGTAGTTGTAAGACTCAACTTCCTGTATCTATGTTTGATGGATCGAAGGCAATAAATAAATAAAAAATTCAACAGAAGACCGCTGGGGTGGTGGCGGTGGCGGCGGCGGTCGCTGGGGCCCCGCGGGCGGCGGCGGTCGCGGCGGGCGCTGGGGCTCGCNTTGTGGATAAAAAAAAAAAAATCTAGGCTAGTTTCCGTCGTCACTCAAGGTTTGACTGCATGTCTCAAATTTGGGCTTAATTGAGGTATTTTTTGGGTGAGAGGCATAAGAACTAATGCCGTTTTATATCAAAAATTCATACTTAGAGGTACCTACTCAACCAGGTACAAAGTATTTCCTTGTATGTTAGTCTGCCAAGTCCCGAAATCCCCGCTTCGGCTCCCCTACTAACTATTCTAACCATTGTACACAGATAATATCTTGCATGCTGCTTTTCATGTTACTACGTCACATTTTCAAAATCCGCGCGGAAAATCGCTCCGAGCGGAAGAGCGCACTTTGAGCTTGAATATTTCAGTCATTTTTAAAGATATCAAAAAAGTAAAAATACAGTATTCATTCTAATTTTTTGTAGTTTTTTTTTGCATCTTCAACAAAAATTGTGCGCCATGTCCATTGATACCCTACCCTACACAAGTTCCTTTGATGTATTTAAGCCATTATTCGCAGAGCACTCGTGATTTAAAAATATGTCAATTTTAAGGATTCTGTGCAGGACCCCCTTAAATTGCTAAAATATTTTTATAGTCGTGAAAGAAAAGTGGTTCACGATGTGTTAATGTATTTGTCGAAGAGAAATACTAAGGGTTCGGACAATATTTTCATTGAATAATGTTTCCGACAAAGGTTGTCAAATTGACTGACATGTTTATCGTATAGTACAGTCCACTATGAAAATTAGCTGTAGTCTGTTTCAACTACTTATTTTAATGTTTTTTGTCACTTTCTAAGTTTTGAATTTTATGGTATTGGGAAAGAAGTACCGAGTTTGAAGGGTTCATGAGCAGACATTGCAGATGAATATTCAAGTTCTGAATTTGATTATTGATGAATAATAAAATAAACCCTACTAGCTCGATTGATGGTTTCATTTAATTTATTTAAACCAGGTTACCTTTAATAATATTTTTCGTTAATTTATGAAAATATCAAATTAGCCCGTAATCCTGAATCCTGATACATAAATTTAGCCTATTAATTTAACNAAAAACGCCTGGCACCGTCTCCAAGACAAAATTCACTCCGCTGAAACATTGCTGTTCTTTATTCGACAGGAGTATAGTTATAAAAATAAATAAAAAATCATAACAAAGAAACCATACGTAATGCAGGTCATAATACACAACTACCGGGAGGTTTAAAATGAGATCTAAATCATGGAGTAGTTTGTTTTATAAAATGATTAGTCGTTTTGTAGAAACAGCTTGATCCCGTCATCTTGATGCGTCAAAATAACGGGATCAGTATTGACCTTTAATAACGTCTGAACTAAGGAAGTACCTAAATTTATTTGTAGGAACAAATAGGTTTAAAATGAGTACAAAACAATGGTGGCAACGTCAGTTTAATACAAGAAGTGATCCCGTCATCTTGACGTTCATGATATTTTAATCAACGTACTTTAACTGTGACGACTTTTAGGGGAATCATCATAAATGCTTGCGAGGAGTGATATCACCACAAAACAGTCCAACGCTGCAACGGTCGACTAGGCTTCCCCGATTTTTAATTGCCGACACCGTTGGACTTTATCGCCTCTATCGTTTTTGGATAACATATTTTTTTAACTGTTAATCTCTCGTGGTGAGCCGTAACCGTAACTGTACGAGTGGGTTTACCACACGGGTTGGGTTGGGTTTACCACGGGTCCGAGGGCCGCCACAGGTCTATGGAGGCCCTCGGACCAGCGTTCTTCGGATCTCGATTCGGCCTCGTTGACACTATTGGGTTATTGTCGCTTCAATAATGACTGTATTTTCCAGCTGGCGCCTGGAATTGGGGCAACTGGGGCGGTTGGAACCAGAACGCAAACGCGGCCAACAACACAGGAGGCGCGGCGGCCGCCGGCGGCAAACAGGCGCAGTGGGCCGGCTACACGCCGCAGCAGTGGTACCAGTGGCAGCAGTGGCAGCAGCAGCAGGGCTGGCAGGGGGTCAGTGGCACATGTACTAGATTTAGTACAAGAGTACTAGATGTAGAACATGAGTGCTATATGTGAGACATACGTAGAAAATTAGTACTAAATGTAGAACATGAGTACTAAATGTAGAACGTTTGTACTAAATGTAGAACATGAGTACTACATGTAGAACATGAGTACAACATGTGGAACATGAGTACTTTATGTAGGACATGAGTACTACCATTGAGATAGACTTGGCCTTCACTGGCTGGGATTTTTTGGACGTAAAATTAATCGCATGTTTCCCACAAAGAACGGATTGGTACAGGCGAACAGGCGAACAACTTTATGCATAATTATACAGAGCATTATAGAATTAACCCCCTCTCCGTGAATGTTATAAAGCCAAAGGCTAAGCGAGAAATATGGTAACATCAGGAACATTGGGAGGTGTTACCCATTTCCTCTATTTTCCTCTGGAGGTCAGAGGTTAGAGGTCTTACATAGCTCATAGCGGGGCACATAGCTCGTAGAGACCATGGCCGTTGGGGGCAGAAAAGTTCTCGAGTGGCGACTACGGGCCGGAAGACGTAGCGTGGGCAGGCCTCCCACTAGGTGGACCGACGATCTGGTGAAGGTCCGAGTGGTGCAGGACCGGTCTTTGTGGAAATCCTTGGGGGAGGCCTTTGTCCAGCAGTGGACGTCTTTCGGCTGAAACGAACGAATTAGAGGTCTTGCTGAGTGAAGACTAAATTACCTGTAGCCTTATTCACGTAACAAAACTTCAACGACAACAAAACACAGTTGCGATCCTATCGAGTAATCGTTCTATCAAAATGACCCTTGTGAATACGGATTTAGAACTGTTTTTCAATGGGACGACTTCTGAATGTCAGTGTCTTGACTGTCAAAATACGTGAATTGGGCCACTGTCGATGATGATTTTTTTTATTTGTGTTGAGCGGATATTCTAGTTCAATAAAGTCCTAGTATCACTGCGACCGTTATCGATGTATTGTGATCGCCGCTATTATCCTTACAGTTCGCCTCAGTCCTGATGAATCGATGATGATGCAGAACTACTATTGTGCTGTTTGTTTCAGTACCAGCAGCAGCAGCAAGGCAACCAGCCCACCACCGCCAACGCCGCCGAGCAGGCGTGGGCGCAGTACTATCAGGTATGGGATTTGAACTCTATTCTTATGTAATAAGGTTCAAGTATAGAAAATAGAACTTATTGATCAGAGTAAGCACAAATTATAAACAACTAGCTTTCCGCCCGCATTCATCGCGCGCGACCCTGTTTCAAAAACCGGGATAAAAACTATCCTATGTCCTTTCCCGGGACTCAAACTATCTCTATGCCAAATTTCATCAAAATCGGTTCAGTGGTTTAGGCGTGAAAGCAAGACAGACAGACAGAGTTACTTTCGCATTTATAAAATTAGTATAGATAACAACACAAAACGAATATAGAAAATAGTGGGCATGTCAAGAAACTGGTCTTCCGCGAGAGCCCTTGTTGTGTATCGAGGACATTGATACTTTCTCAATAAAGCGACGACCTCAAGAAAAAAGCGGAACATTGTGCCTTGTAGCATTCCTTGCAGTGGGCTGCCTTTGACTGACATTATTGAGCTATTCATTTTACACAGTCGATAGCAGTGCCTTGGGCGGGCCCTATATCAAAATTTGTTGGGAGCCTCATCAAAAAAGGTCATTTAGATCATGGCCCTTTTAGTTTGAAAAAGGTCATTTCAAAATTACTTCTTTGAACTTCCCTAGGCCTACACTGTCTATTCGAAAAAGTCTGGCACTTGGGCTGTATTCCCGGGGGCCGTATCATTGATACGACGGTAAATCGCACCTATTGCAGCTTCATATCATTCATGTAATAATATTATTAAATCTGCGAAGTTATAGCTAATAGGAACATCATTAAATATTTACTGTTTTTCTTTTCAGAATTACGGCGGCGGCAATGCAAACGCGGCTAACTCATCTTCTGATAAAAAGTGACGGTTGCGTAAACACAAAAACGATTAATCGAATACGAGGACTCTATTTTATAACTGCCCGCGATATCATGAACATTTGGACTGCAAAACGTGAAATATAAAACCGTTATTTGATTGATACAGTAAGACCGTTTCAAAAAAGCTGGCTACATAACTTGTCTTGATATAATCAATATTATGACATTCGGGGAGTAAATCTCTCATACAAACTAGAAATAATAAATAAGATACAGTATTTAGAGAGAGAAATGTTTATCACCCCAAGTATTAGTGGTAAATATAGAATACCTATGTTACTTTGCCGCCAGCTCTTTTGAAACACTTATTTAAATCAAACCATTAGATCTAAGTTTTAACCACAAGCAACGAGGTATAGGTTGCTTGATCGTCAAGATCATAAATTCTAAACTAAAGTTAGGTTGCGGTGATAGTTGTATTTGTAAGATTTTTAACATTTTCTCATAGAATTTTTGGTTGTTACTGCAATATAAATATCTATTTCTAAAATAGATTCCAAAGAAACGATGGGTTTACCATTTGTTATAATCTATATACTAGTATATCTTCATACTAGTGAGATTAATCGAATGTGTGACATTAAATTCCAAAAGATGGAATATAAGACAAATTCCATGTTATTTGCTCACGAGTGTGAGGTTTTTTTTTGTTATACAAAGTCCTTACAGACATAACTTTTTTGGGCGACCGTGTGTGCATTTTCTGTACTACATACGAATGATTTTGACAAAAAAAACGAGAATTGTTTTAATTTTACATACATTTTTTGTTGCTTTGTGTGTAGTATATTACAGGGAATTGACAAGTTAGCACGCGTGTGCTGCTTTTGTGTGATCACCGAGTTATGCCTGTATGCGTAGGGTAAGGCCACGTAAGGCGAAGGATGCAAGCCGCACGGCATTCGCCGAGTGCACACAAGTCCTGGGGCAAAGCTCCTTACACACTATTGATAGGGTATTTCCTCCTGTATAAATAATAATGAAATGTCCTTTATGTTTAGAGTAAGGTATAGCATTTCTTGCAAGTTCCTTATATTTTCGTATAAAATGTCCAACGTAATTGCCTGTGTGTACGTAGCTTTGCCTCTATTGGGCGTTTGTAATAGATGACAGTGGGGGGAGTGTAATTGTACAAACGAACTCGTGTAGTCTTAAGAACCGTGGGTCTATTAGTGTACGTCACTGATGCTAATGATTTAATTATAATAAATATCATGTAAGAACGGAAACTCTTTTATTTACACCTCCAAAATAATTTGGGTTTAAAATGAAACAATCTGTTGCAAATTTTTACACAGTTTATTCGTTCATAAATTCTGCCAATATTTTCTTTTTTGACAATATTGTGAAAAACTTTAAATGACACTATTCAATGAGCGGAATATTTTCTTCCGACTTCGAAAGATCACTCCGAATCATCAAATAGAATACACATTACCCCAGCTGTATATAACAATGTTTATATTATTTATATCTAGGTTTACTTCGTTTCAACGTCCTCAGAAAGATGAATCATAATAAAAATAGTTTTTTCATTCATACACAATAACTACCAACAAACCAAAATTTTAATTGCTACAAAATTAAAATACACATACAAAAATTTGCTAAATCAGTATCATCAAAAGTGCTCTAAAATATTAAAATTCCCACTACAGTAGCATGGTACCTACCTGCAAATAATAGCATTGTTTGCTATCAGTACACCGACAATATCAAATGAAAAATAATTGAACTAGTTCTAAATTACATTAAAATACAACAAAATGTAAGTAAACTGTACGCACTATACCTACTCACGCTTACAGAGACCGCATCGCAAAGTAAATGCAACTACATAAATACTTAACATTAAAGCAGGTAAGTAATGCAAACAAAAAAAAGCTAATTAGTTTCATAAAATTATTACATTAAATGTAATCAATCAATCAAAATAGTACTTTTTGATTTGCAGTAGCAATAGAATACATAATCTCTTCTGATATTTGTACATTATGCAAAACAGTTGGTAAGTATGGGCCTTATAATATAAGAACAAAGTAATATAACCGATTTGAGCAGATATTGAGGGTAGGTACATAACTAAAACGACAACTGTTCATCTATCTAAGAGTGCTTTAACTTATTCTGAACTTTGACTACGAGCCATATAATGCGCTGATGAATATGTTACAATCAGTACAAGCATAGCTAGGAAAATGTAAGTATAAGACAAAATTAAATAAATATAAATAATTATTGTCATGAGAACGAGAGTATGGATGTAATGTATAATATACAGTGCGGTTTTATAGTATATTTTGAATTAAAAAAGAGTCATATTGAAAATGTTTATTGATTACACTATTTTTGTTTTAAACTTATCTATGTAGGTAACATTGTTATTTTAGGCACTACTGAAACGTCTATTTTTCCATTGTATTTGGTCTCTTCAAACCAATCTCTTCCTTCGGTGGACTTTCTAACATGTCATATTGTATTACAAACAGCGTATATGTATAAAATTATCCTATATCCAATGTGTTTTATGTAAAAATATAAAATTGATGTAAAGCATATAGGAATTTGTAAAACCTAAAACCACAATTATTTTAATAAAAGACAAAATAAATTAGTATAAAAAGCGGTATAGATTGGCGTTTACAGTAAATGCACAATAGATGCTGTGGTAAATGCCTTGCTTGCTCATGGTTAATGGTAAATTGAAATGTGAGTTCCGTAATCGCGTTAAATGTATCGATATTATTGTAAAAGAGTGCAATAGAAATCAATAACACAAAGTAATAATTTGTGGCTCCGTATTCTGCGTTTAATATAAATTATTAACTAAATAAAATGCCTACATTAAAAATAAATTACATGAAATTAAAACCAATTATCTCATTAATCTATTCAGTGCTTGCATACATTATTATTTTCATTTAGTGCTTTATTTAACATTTAGGACCTCGCGAGAAATAATGTAAATTGTAAGTAAAATAAAATAATCATTCAACGTTTAGGGTGAGCCCAAACGAGCGTAAATGCGGTACGTTTTGCGTAACCCTTTACATTTGGTATCGCCTTTGATTTATCTATACAACACATGCACAATCGATGTGTTCACGTGTTCATAATTTAAGCCATTGGTAATTCAATCAAGATTCTACCAACTTGATATTTTAATGAATTGTGATTTCAATTCAAACACAATTTTCAACAACATTCGTACGCGGATCATTCGTCACATTACTGACCTGAATTCGTATAGAGACCATACGCTGAGGTTTCATACCATGAAACTAGAGATTTAACGCTTGCGCCTCAACATACATAACAGAAAATAATTTGTGAATACCCTAAAGAAATAGAGAAAAATATTTTAAAATCAATTCCATGCTACCCGGCGGCTTAAGGCTCGTTTTCGTTTCGCCAATCGTTACCTTAACTAAAATTTACTTACACAAAAATGTCATAAATTGAAACACTAAGGTGAAAAGTGGCACATAATCGTGAATTCAATATTTAAACAGGAATGCGTGTACGGATACAGAGGGCAATAATATCACGACTATTTTATATTATTTCATTGAATAATTTTATTACATGGCAACACTAGCTGTCCATTGTTGGTGTTGCAAGTTATGTGTTCGATTTTCAATTGGCAACGGTCGTTATCATTGCCTCCTACCGACGTACGCGCATCCCAATGAAGTGTTGGCGCATTGTCAAGAAAAATGCTATTTTACAAAGATACAACTACTAACTTTCGTCTTTTATGTCAAATACAATCGTATGAATACAAAGAGGAAAACATTTTAGATTCATTTCATTAAATAACTTTACTAATTACATGAAAAAACTACATTACACTAGGTTTCGTTTTAAATAAATATTACTAGTATAAAAAGGTTGTTATGGTTTTTTGGGAACACAATATTTGGATTTTTTTAATTGTTTTTTTTTTCACATTTAAATTTTAATGAAAACTAGAGATACTTTTTTATCAACTGTACTTACTGTTATTTTTCCGTCTTTGTATCATAAGTCAGAGGATAAATATTTACCTAATAGTAATATAACTTTCACTCCTTTACATGGCACTTAAATGTGAACCTTAATAAGAAACGTCACCCTTTTAAGGCTACAGCCACACTTAGCGTGTGCTAAGCGAGTATCAACCAGCATTCAACACGTCAAAAGTGTGGCCTTACCTTAGCGACGTTAACATACGACTATCGCTCTTATGAAATATGTAATAACGTACAATTTCTCACACCTTCACCTTTTGCACAGTGAACAATACCAGCTCGATTTTGAGATTACGAAGTCTTTCGAGCTATTCGCACTGTTAACCGTACATTTTATGTACAGTTGGCTTCAGTAATATGACTAAGAAAAGGCATACAAACATTGTACTCTAATTTATAAGTATACCGTCGAAAATGGTTTGAAAATTCTAACATTAGTGTGCATTTGGAGAAAAAAGGTCGATTCAAATATAAAATAAGAAATATAACTGCACAAAAAGCGGTCTTTCTGTAAGGGACAATGAGCCTACACAAAAAGGCACGAATAAAACTAATAAGAAAGAATAATATTAATTATTATTATCAATATATTCTGTAGCCAACCGCACGAGACCAAACGAGACAGGCTCGTAGCCCACAGTATGTACTAAATGCATTTCAACGAGACCTTAAACAAATCTATTTACCTAATATTTAAATAAACTCCAACAATATTCACTAGTTACAACAAATTCAATTTAAATTAACACTCACTTATTTTAATTTTTTACAGACCGACAACAAATGTTAGTGAAACCTGACATTAAGGTGCTCATTCACTTGGAGCAGTCACTTGTAATAATGTAATATGTATGTAACATAAGATTCGATTTTGCAATCTAACTCTAAGTAGGTATGTCAAAACATTATAAGATTTGAAGAATAGAGACTTCTTCACTGTATTGTCAAGTTTATTATTAGATATTTTTGCTGTCGGACTATAATTTTCAAATAAATATTATAGACGCCATTTTTGACTTCGTATCACCGCATGCTTCTGACTGAATCTCTGCAACAAGTCGCAGTGTATGAAGCTTTAGTTTATTCATAACCTACGGTATTTTATTTAATTTGTTTGTGTCCTTTAGGCTGCGTTTCCACCAAAGATGTGCGAGGATGTGTAGCGAGGGATGTGTTTGTAAAGAACCAATAAAATCGCATCATCTAGCGAAGTTTATAGACTTCTTGAAGTCAAAAATGGCCAACACACCGCACTAAAACTTAACGTACCCTAATAATTTCGTTCTATCAATACGTGGATTATGTCGCAAATTGACGAACAACGAGAATGCACTTAGGACAGTAGTGTGAACCATTCATTACAAACCACGCGGACGGAACTATGACTACGTATTATACAACTCGACCCGGGTTCGCGTTGGGTATCGAAATTATCGAGTTTTAAATCGATAACGACCCAACACTAGAGCATTATTTATTGTTAAGTTCGATAACATTGCAATTTTATTCGTACTCGACGCTTCAACTAATGTTTAGCAACGTTTCAGTGGATTTATTTGGAATTTTTTGATACTAGGCTGTCCTTTTTAGGTCTAAAAAAACTCATTGAAGAGTGAAGAGTCATTGAGAGCGAGGTTGTTTTAAAATAAGAGCCAGCTATCTTATATATATATAAAAGAAAGTCGTGTTAGTTACTTCGCTTATAACTCAAGAAGGGCCGAACCGATTTAGCTGAAAATTGTCAGGGAGGTAGTTTAGAGCCAGGAGAAGGACATAGGATACTTTTTATCCCGTTCGAAATTAAAAAAAAAGTGCTTATTTATTGCCATTAAGGCGGAACAAAGTTCGCCGGGTCAGCTAGTTATTCATAATATGCAGTTTTCGTTTGTATAATAGTATTTTGTAAATTCGTATAGTTTCAAATTGGGATACTCTGAAATTCACCATATGAGTGAGTGCCTATCGATTGATCTTGAATCACTATGATGTGATGAGTATGAACTCGATTTAAATGCTCGATAAAGGTACCACGCGCGAACCCAGGCATTAATTTTACAACAAGGATAACTTTAGAATGCTTTGGGGCAAAGGAAAATTGTTCAGGTACAATGGGACGCCATAAGCACATTCAAATGTTAAAAGAAATGAGGGTAAACTAAATTCGTGATTCCTTAGCAAACGGTAAAGAGCAAATGTGTAAAAACAGGCACAGAGTTATTTTACAATTTTACATCTTTGTAAATCCTTATATTAACACTTTATAACATTGAATTGTAAAAAGCTCAAACATTATACAATAAGGCGTCACTTTCAAAAAATATCTTGCAATTTAGTAACAATTCCGATTCAGTAAAATATTATTTTATCACTTAATCCAAGCGATCCGAACGAAGCTTGGTAATGTAAGTTTTTGGCCGAATATCAAGTCTTATACAGCGCCATCTGTTATTGGAAAAAGAACATCTATGTCTGAATAGTCTGATCTTCGTCGAAGAGATGGCGCTTTTGAAGCAAATATGACACAAAAAAAAACTTGTTTTCTTTTCAGCCAGCGACTGGTACTGTAACGCTTTAACGTTATCCCAATAACGCATAACGCTTACGACTACGCTATAATAACAGTAGAGGATCGACAATGCGCCAAACGTCTTACCTAGCGTTAGATCTAGATTCGCACAACACGACGACTCCTGGCTGCATTACCGCAGTACGTGATCTGTGGGAGAAAAGTAAAAGAAAAACAATATTTATTTGATGCTAATGGCACTCGCTAGTGGCTAAGTCAGTGGCGCCAACTAGTGAGATTTCATGTCGTAGGAGGAGCTAAATCTTTCTAAACAATAATTAATTACTTTCTTTATTTTTATTGATGCAGAGAGTGAAGAACTTTTTTACCTACAACGCAGAAGCTTAACCTGCAAACTGATCTGAATTCACCCGGAATCTTCAAACGCTAGTTAGCTACTAAGATAGCCAGTGGACTTGGAACGAGTTCTACCACCAATCAAACATTTTTTTTTCCTCTGGAAATCGAGCCCGGGCCCTCTGGGTATCGAGCTCGTCATCATCATCTCAGACATCGGACGTCCACTGCTGAACATAGGCCTCCCCCAATGATTTCCATAATGACCGGTTGGTAGCGGCCTGCATTCAGCTTGCTGCTGTAGTCTATAGGCTATAAACCATAGAGTGTAGAATACTCACGCTACTGCGGCGTGTGCGGCGACGACGAGCGCGAGTGCGCCGCTAAAGACTGCTGCAGCGCGGCCGGCGTCAGCCACTCCCTGCGCACAACACAAGGATGTAATCATCATTGCTCAGGCTCACAATAACTTATATCATAACATCGTCTGACTAAAAAAACGAACACTTTTGTTATATGGGAGCCCCCCTCTCAGGCGGGACGCCGTAATATTACCTACTTTATTCTATTTTTAATAGTTGTTGTTATACATCATCTGTAAAAATTTCAACTGCCTAACTATCACGGTTCATGTGACACAGCCTGGTGACAGAGACAGACAGCGAAGTCTTAAGCCTCAGTCTCGAGTTTAGCGGGAAGCGGGGCGGGAGCGGCGGCGGCGCGGGAGCGGGACGGGCAACGCAGACCCGTTCTCGAAACAAGCGGGCAGCTCGCGCGGCGCTTTAGCGGCGAAGCGTTGTGTTCGGGGTTGTGTTGCCGAGATATTTGTTTTTATTCGCAAACGAAATGTCTGAACAACGGCGACAATTTTATTTCGATTCAAATTTATTCCTAACGCTCGATTTATTGTGGGCAAAAGAAGGAGTGGGCTGCCCGCTCGTTGCCCGCTCCCTCGTCGCTGCCCGCTCGTTGCCCGCTCCGGCGCCGCTGTTTTCGAGAACCGGTCTATTTGATTTTACGCATAAGATCCTGCCGCTCCCGCGCCGCCGCCGCCGCCGCCCCGCTGCCCGCTAAGTTCGAGGCTGAGGCCTTAGTAATAGGGTCCCGTTTTACCCTTTGAGGCCATCCATAAATTACGTCACACGAATTTTATTATTTTTTACCCTTCTCTTGGGTACGGAACTGTAAAAATAAGCAAAGAAGAAAGACACTCACTTGGGCAGGCAGCGCTGTAGGAAGGGCACGCACGAGCTAACGTACGCCAGCCGGTTGACCCACGCCGGGATGTCGCGGGAACACAGTGCCTGCAACACAATAGCATTGTTGCACAACATTGTTTGGATAGTGTGAGGATCGAACCTGCGAACTTTGGAAGAGGAGAGGACTTCAATAGACGACCCCGAATCCGGTTTGACGCAGAATGTGCCCTTCGTAAAATTAGTACTATTAAAGGCCGGTCGATCTATTCCCATAAATAAAACACTGGATACTCATCTTTCACATTATATTGCCTTATTTTAAATACAATTCATCACTTAGCACAAAAGCGCGCGGAGTCGTCTCCGCGCGTCCCGCTATTCTAACGTTTTATCCTAGTGTGACATTGACGTGTTGTCAATGTCACACTATGACAACAGCTCATTGGCCACAACGATACCGTTATTTAACATTTTAGATTTTTCGCAATTAACAGTACCTACCCTACCTACTAGATTCAAAAGGATGCCTTCTGCGGTCATGTAAAAGTGAACACAGCTCGCATCGTGTATGAGCAACATTGACCTGATCACAGAACGCATTGCAGTGCAGCAAATATTAATTCGCAGTACCTAGGTGCATTTCGTTCACGTTTTTAGTCGAGTTGCTCATTCGTCAGTCTCAATCACTAGGCTAGGTGGTTATTGACCGTCAATACAATCCCTTATTAAAGGTTTCCTTTACAAGCATATTTATTGTAAACTTATCCCTTTCACCCCTTTAATAAGGGTCAAGATCGCCTAGAAGAATTTTGAAAAGATACAGATAGGGTACACTCAATAAATCCAACTGTAACAAAAGAAAACTCCACTAAAACATTAATTATTTGGACTGTACGCCCACTGAATGACAGCACGTGCGTGGCTTTACATTGTTAATTAACCGCCTTAATTGGCCTGAATCAAGGATATCGCGAGCAATTCTATTGTTATTATATGAACGTAAGTGCGGCGATATTTTTTACCTCATCTCGCGTTATTTGTTCCGGGTGATTACGTTTTAAACAATAAAACAAATGCTTTTGTATGATACAAAAAAACGAAAATTTTGTTTTCTTTCCAGCCAGCGACTGGTACTGTAACGCTTTAACGTTATCCCAATAACGCATAACGCTTACGACTACGCTATAATAACAGTAGAGGATCGACAATGCGCCAAACGTCTTACCTAGCGTTAGATCTAGATTCGCACAACACGACGACTCCTGGCTGCATTACCGCAGTACGTGATCTGTGGGAGAAAAGTAAAAGAAAATCAATATTTATTTGATGCTAATGGCACTCGCTAGTGGCTAAGTCAGTGGCGCCAACTAGTGAGATTTCATGTCGTAGGAGGAGCTAAATATTTCTAAACAATAATTACTTTATTTATAGATGCAGAGAGTAAAGAAGTTTTTTATCTACAACGCAGAAGCTCTTAGCCTGTAAACTGATCTGAATTCACCCGGAATCTTCAAACGCTAGCTAGTTACTAAGATAGCCAGTGGGACTTGGAACGAGTTCTACCACCAATTAAACCAGACCAGATTTTTTTACCTCTGGGAATCGAGCCCGGGCCATCTGGGTATCGAGCCCGGGACCTCTGGGACAGATGACTGCTTCAGTCTCATCATCATTATCTTTTCAGCCATAGGACGTCCACTGCTGAACATAGGCCTCTCCCAATGATTTCCATGATGACCGGTTGGTAACAGCCTGCATCCAGTACCTTTCTGTACCTTATGAAAACTTTGGTTAAACTTATTGATGGACGTCCTACGCTACGCTTTTCGATACGTAGCCTCCATTTCAGAACTTTGCTCCCCCATCGGCCGTCAGTTCTGCGTACTATGTGCCCTGCCTATTGCCACTCCAGCTTGCTATTAATCCATCGGCCTGCATCCAGCTTGCTTTTTTAAGCTTTTTTAGGCGGCCCGGCGGGCTCAATGTGTCTTGCGCTTTATCTATAGTATTACCATAGAGCAGTATTACCATAGAGCAGTGTTTTTCAACCTGTGGGTCGCGAGAGCTCGTAAAAACTACCTCAGTAAAAAATCAGAGAAGTTGTAAAGCTAGATTTATCCGAAATCTAATTATGCAAATGCATAAATGTTGTACAAATTGAAGAATTCGGTCGCTACAACATCTTTGTAAAAGGTATGAAAAAAAAAACACTAACGGTCGGGGGGTCGCAAATATTTTTTTCATACTAGGGGGTCGCGTCATGAAAAAGGTTGAAAAACAATGCCATAGAGCATAGAGTACTCACGCTACTGCGGCGTGTGCGGCGACGACGAGCGCGAGTGCGCCGCTAAAGACTGCTGCAGCGCGGCCGGCGTCAGCCACTCCCTGCGCACAACACAAGGATGCAATCATTGCTCACAATAACTTACACCATAACATCATCATCAACAGCCCTTTACAGTCCACTGCTGGACCATGAGCCTCCTCCACTATAGTGGAGGGTTTTGCCATAATCCCCACGCTTGGCAGGCGGGTTGGAGATCGCAGTTTAAGTTGATGTTTTTCAGACAGCGCTGCTGCCCGTTCTCTGTTTGATGTGTAGTCCTTAAGTCGCCTCTTACGACACCCGCGGGAAGAGTAGGGATTGGTGACAAATGTATTCTACTCTGCCGTCACCATACGGCTCCATAACATCGTATGGCTAAAAAAAACACCACTTTTGTGGGAGCCCTGCAATATTTACTTTATTCTATTTATAATAGTTGTTGTTATAACGGCAACAGAAATACATCATCTGTAAAAATTCAACTGCCTAACTATCACGGTTCATGAGACACAGCCTGGTGACAGAGACAAACAGCGAAGTCTTAGTAATAGGGTCCCGTTTTACCCTTTGGGGCCATCCATAAATTACGTCACACGAATTTCATTATATTTGGCACCCTCCCTCCCCCTTGTCACATTTTGTGAGACTCTCTTCCTTAGGTACGAAACCCTAAAAATAAGCAAAGAAGAAAGACACTCACTTGGGCAGGCAGCGCTGTAGGAAGGGCACGCACGAGCTAACGTACGCCAGCCGGTTCACCCACGCCGGGATGTCGCGGGAACACAGCGCCTGCAACACAACGACATCGTTGCACAACATTGTTGGAAGAAACATACTTAGGTCGTGTGGGGAAACAAACCTGTGAACTCTGGAAGAGCTCAGTAGACGAGCCCAAATACGGTTTGACGCAGAATGTGCCCTTCGTAAAATGAGTACCTACTAGATTCAAAAGGATTTGTTACATTGGATGCGATCTGCGGTCAGGTCAGAGTGAAAACAGCGCGCATCGTGTATGAGCAACAGTGACCTGGCCGCAGGCCGCAGGAAGGATTGCAGTGCAGCAAATCCTAATATGTGTTTTTTTATGCATAACAAGGCAGGTACACCTAGTGTATGTTAAGTGAGATGCAGTCTAGTCTCTACTCCGTACGACCATCGCGCGCGCGCATCTTAATTTAATCTTGTAATATAATCATTTCAAAAATACAGTTTTTCATTTATAAATCTCCTGTAGGGTTCGAAGTTAGGCTTAACTTAGACCTACGGGGAACAATGGTACATATCTGCCCTGTAAGTGGCTATTCACTCTCGCCTTGAAAAAGCCCAGATTATAATACATTTCGTACACATTTTCAGTCGAGTTGCTCATTCTGCGTCATTCTCAATCTAGTCTAGGCTAGGTTGAGGTTGTTATTGACCGTCAATAAGGGCCAAAATCGCTTTTAAGTATGTTAGAAAAGGTACACTCAATAAATCCAACTGTAACAAAAGAAAACTCCACTAAAACATTAATTATTTTGACTGTACGCCCACTGAATGACAGCACGTGCGTGGTTTTACATTGTTAATTAACCGCCTTAATTGGCCTGAATCAAGGATATCGCGAGCAATTCTATTGTTATTATATGAACGTAAGTGCGGCGATATTTTTTACCTCATCTCGCGTTATTTGTTCCGGGTGATTACGTTTTAAATAATAAAACAAATGCTTTTGTATGGATACTTTAGATGTACTGCAGCTTGACGCAAACTATCCTTAGGAATCCATTGAATAAAGAACAAACAAACAAACGTAGCAATGAACTGTTTTCTTAATAATATATTTAATTATCATAAACTAATGATATATGTGGGGAAAGTTTTAAATATTTTAAATCGTTCAATATTATGAATGTGTAAATAAGTCAGGAAATCAAACAATCATTTTACGCATGCTTAAAAAGGTTTAATATAATAAAAGTAATCTGAATACTTTCGTAACTTTCTCAAGCGTTTAACAAATAAGTTTACTTATAAATATTTATTTTTAGCTAGATTTAGTGTGACACACTTTATAATCCGCCATTGGCATTTGACAGTTCAATCGCAGAATGCTCCCAAAGACCAAAATATTCATCGTTATCACCAAGTCATTTAGTCACCAATGCAGGAACACGACCCTCTCTAATTTACCAGAAGCCCATTTGATTTGCTCTACAGTCTCCAAACTGGCCAGACGGGTTGAAGAGGCCTGATGTTCGCATAATTTGGTCCCATAGTCAGAGAAGGCAAATCTAAGTTACGATTCATATATTTTAGACCTATTCATCGTCCAACGGTTGATTGTAGAGGATGCTAGTTCCGATTTTCGACCTCTGGACTATTTCGGTGAACCCTCCCATTTGTACTACAAACTACTAGAAATCTTTTTAACGTTGATTCATAAGTACTCGTCAATTTAAATACGGGCTCGTATCGAGCGGAGGTCGTCGACTCGCCCAGTTAGACGGTAGATAGTGAGCTAATAAACGATAATTCGTCGCCTCGCTTCACCTTTGTGTGGGTCACTCAACCAGATAATGATGTTATCTGTCTCTGATTTCCTTTACAATTGTATTCCCTTGTTACATCGTGTCGGCTCAGTTGCACTATGCGGGAAATTGACCGAGACGAAGCACGAGCACGCACACCGAAGTATGGGCGACACACGACGAAATTAACTGAAGTGCATGTTTACACTATGTCTCGATCAATATCCCGCATAGTGTAACTGCGCCATATCAATTACACAAATGTACGCATGGAATGAGCTAAATCAGAGGTACGATTAGCTTCGAGTAACTAAAAATATTGATTCAAAATATTATAGTGTAGGGCAAATCGTCCATTTGCCTCTGGTAAATTAGAGAGGATCGTGTAAGCCTGCAGTGATGACGATGATGATGATGTGAAAAAGATAAAGAAAATGTAAAAGTAACCTTAGCTGTCTGTCCATTTATTTATTGTTGAATATTATTAACTAGTTCTCAAAACAGTTCGTTGTAAAAACTCCTGCAAGTTTACGTGTTCGGAACTTTCGGAAGTATGTAAGTAGGCCACATACGAATTAATTTAAAAAATAATATTTCATTTATAGGATGTAATTAAATGTTTTAGAGGTCTACAACAATTTTTTTTTCTCTAGCATAATTCATGTCTGTCGTTAAGTTTGTAACCTTAAAAATAGCATATTAATAATTCATTAAACAGAATGTATTCCTCTATGAACGCGACAGACATATTGATTTTTATAAAAGTAACTTATTTAATTCATGTGACCTAGAAGCTTTAGTTTAGCCATTCAGGGTCGTACAACAACTTATAATTACGTCGACACACCACCTGTTAATGTTTAAACGTTTCAATTATCTGAGCACCTTACTTTGTGAAGTTTTTAAACTATTAGGCTGAGTCGCACCACCTATAACCGTAATATAACAATAATTGGTGTTTTGTATGGAGTTTAACAGATTTTTGACGTTTGTTACAGTTAAAGTAAGATGGTGCAACCCAGCCTTAATGTACGCAATGTTATAAATACGTAAGTTTATAACTTTGTTCCGTTTTTACGCTTACACCGCTCTACAACTTAGTTATGATAAACAGTAGAGAAAGATTGTATTCTGACATAGGCTACATTTTACCGAAAAGTCTTGAAGGAGAAAAATAGAGCATGAAAACCGTTATGACAAGTGAAACGACTAATGTCTTTTATTTATTTAAATTAGTTTATTTCAGTTACAAACATGTAACATACACGCAACCAAATCACTAAGTAGTTCTACTTCATTATAATGCTAGTGTAGCAGGATTCTAAATTAAAACAAGGTAGCGTTCAGTTTTAAAGCCACAACTTAGAAAGGACAAGGTCACATAACCATTTTCTTAAAATTTAGTAACACTAATTTTATGTAGCTAGAACTAAACGATGAGTGAACATTATCCACGGAACTTCATTTACACGCACGTCAAAAGTTATTGTTGACTAGATGACGTTTATTCTGACGTAAATAAACGTCATATACAGTCAAGAGAACTGCTGTACATTTTCATTGCAAAAGAGAACGTATTGCAACTACATAAGATGAATAGTGTTTTGGCTTGACTTACCAGACAAAAGGCAGATGTGAAGTGATTGCAGTTGTTGTTCATAAGATGGTATCTGAAATTAATCATGGTTCCGTTAAAATAACAATAATTAATGACTAAGCTTCGTATTAAAAATAATTTATTTGAAGAAGTAAATGAGTCAGATCCTTGATTCCACTTTTTGAGGATTTGTAAACAGCATATTAAATTAAGCATACAGTGAATTACAAAATTACTTCTAATAAAATTACTTAAGACAAGTTTAGATTGATATGTTGCCGACAGAAAATAGTACAGATGAATGACCTAAAATTCTAAACAAATTGTTTCTTCTTTTCTGATGGCTGAAACGATATAGGTCGCTCAACGAAACTTGAGGCAAATACGTAGTCACACTGATGCAATACATATTAGTCCATACAAAAATAAGGCCTTTCGACCATTTTTCGACTGGTTTTGGCGATTATAATGTGCACTTTATCTAGACCCACAGTTGCCACGCTTTAGTTAAATGTCTGCAAGACTTGTCAGTCCGACTACGCAAGACAGCGCAGCGTATACTGACACAAATCTTTGCTTGTGTTGATACTTGATGGGATCAAAATTTGTTGGGCGACCTATAAATAGATGATGATGATGCAGTATACATACCTGTCACCGCGGAACTGCTTGCCGAGCTCGGCCACCAACCGCCGCACCTCCTCTTCGCTGAAGTCCGTATACCCTATGTGTACGCTTTGTCTGCAACAAACGGACATTGCGTTAGAAATTGAATGCGGCACATAGTGTCAAGTGTCGGAATTGGAAACCGAATTCCAAGAAACGCGGGTTCGAACCCTGTCACCGCTGAACTATTTTGGCGAAGAACTGATTCGCAACAGGACGGGTTAGCGGTACTTTCTCTATTTTTAAAAATTCTATAGACTTTGTCTGGTTTATATCGATGACATACTGTTATTTTAATGCAACATGTACGTACGTGTAGTATGTATGTACGATAGCATATTCCCACATTTCATAATGTGACGATGGTGCATATCATTGAACGAAGCACAAAAGTATATGTATATTATACTTACTGGAGCTTTTGATTGGTTCTAAGTTCAATATCTATCTAGACAAATCATAGGATAGAATCTTTGATTGAGATTGAATAGAGTTTTAAGCGTTGTTTTGCAATAGGTACCGCAGGTTGTAATTATTTGTACCGGCTTACTAATAAAAGTTACATTCGTGTTGAAAACTACTTTCAAATTACATTTCCATACTAAATGCCACTTTAAAACTAATTTCCTACAACAACGCAAACATACATAAATCAAATAAACATCTGATTTGTACTGTCCAATTTTAACGTACAGTCAGCGTCAAAATAGTTCGTGACACTCAAACTGGCCTAAAAGTTTAAATGACAACACAAAAACTAAATGACGAGTTGCTAACTTTTCGGCTACTTTGTCACGAAATATTTGACGCTGCTGTACTCTAAAACTAAAAAGTTTGTCCCAAGTCTTTCACAAAGCAATCGATACACCTGACATCGATACAGGTTCCACGCTCGATCGGTGCCACGATATAGCTATCATTGTCGCCCTTGACACGCCGTGACACCAGACAGGCGTCAGGCCTTGATCTGACCTTACGGCCCCATCAGTAGCGTACAGAATGTCGTCAAGTGACGAAAGTTGACCTACTAAAGACGTACGGTATTGCATGTGGGTTGCAGTTATCATCACTTAGCAACTTATCTACGGACATTTTGAAGACTGGAAAAAAAAACTAATAAGATGTCTACATTGTCAACTGTCCATTCTAAATTACTATTGATTATTTAGATAACATAACTAGATCTAATTGGTTTAGTCAACAAAACATTACGTTCTGCTGCATTTTAATATTTTTTATACCAAAATCGTGGCACATGTCATATTAACGTATTATTAAACCCCGCTGTGGGCCTGAACCCTGTTGTGGCCTGGACCCCGCTGTGGCCTGGACCCCGCTGTGGCCTGGACCCCGCAGTAGGCTTGGGTAAAAAATATCGATATATCAAAATATCGATATTTTTTCGGAAAAATATCGATATAAATCAGCGATATTTTTTCCCGTGATATATCGACTTTCGATATTTATTTTCAGATATCAAAATCGATATATTTTTAAAGCTCTGCTGTCTGCTCAATGCTCATGCGTCACATCATCATGTATTCGACCAATCCGATTTCGATTTAGAAAAAGAGTAGGTATGTAGTAGGCTGTTTTTTTTAATAATAAAACAGATGATGTAAAAACAGCCAGATGTGTGTTTGCTGTAAAATTTCGAATATATTGGCATTTTTTATAAATAATTGCAAATTGCGCAAAAAATATCGATATATCGAAATATCGATATTTCTTGGGTGATATATATCGATATATTTGAAAAATATCGATACGATAAATATCGATATTTTTTTTCCATTTGCCCATCCCTACCCCGCAGAGGCCTAAACCCTGCTTTAGGCCTGGAACCCACTGGGGGCTTGGACCCCTCTGTGGCCTGGACCCCGCTGCAGGCCTGGACCCCCTCCGAGGTTGGAACCCCTGCAGGCCTGGACCCCCTGCGATCCTGGACCCTCTGCGAGCCTGGACCCCCTGAGGGCCTGGTACACTCACCTGAACCGGAACTGCTCGCCCAGTTCTCTCTCGTCGCGCGGCGTGATCTCGAAGACGCCCGTGAATGCGTATGGATGGCCGCCGTACACTCCGAGGCGTGAACCTGGACTCTGCTGTGGCCTGGACCCCCTGCGGGCCTGGACCCCGCTGTGGCCTGGACCCCGCAGAGGCCTAAACCCTGCTATAGGCCTGGAACCCANAAACAGCACATTAAATTAAACAGATGAATGATCTAAAATTCTAAACAAATTGTTTCTTTTTTTTCTGATGGCTGAAACGATATAGGTCGCTCAACGAAACTTGAGGCAAATACGTAGTCACACTGATGCAATACATATTAGTCATAACTCCATACAAAAATAAGGCCTTTCGACCATTTTTCGACTGGTTTGCGATTATAATGTGCACTTTATCTAGACCCACAGTTGCCACGCTTTAGTTAAATGTCTGCAAGACTTGTCAGTCCGACTACGCTAGACATCAGCGCAGCGTATACTGACACAAATCTTTGCTTGTGTTGATGGGATCAACATTTGTTGGGTGACCTATAAATAGATCATGATGATGCAGTATACATACCTGTCACCGCGGAACTGCTTGCCGAGCTCGGCCACTAACCGCCGCACCTCCTCTTCGCTGAAGTCCGTATACCCTATGTGTACGCTTTGTCTGCAACAAACGGGGATTACGTTAGAAATTGAATGCGGCACATAGGTCAAGTGACGGAATTGGATTTGTCGAACCGAAATCCAAGAAACGCGGGTTCGAACCCCGTCACCGCTGGACTATTTTGGTGAAGTGCCTCATACGAAACAAGCATAATTTAGCCTATCATGAGGGGTTAGTTATTCCTATTTTTGAAAAATCTATAGGGTTTGGGACAAACGGGTCTTTATCTGGTTTATATCGATTACATACTGTTATTTCAATGTAACATGTACGTGTAGTATGTACGATAGCATATTCCCACATTTCATAATGTGACGATGTTGCATAAGATTGAACGAAGCACAAAAGACGATTTTTCATGCATATACTGGAGCTTTTGATTGGTTCTAAGTTCAATATCTAGACAAATCATAGGATAAAATCTATGTCTATAATAGAGATTGTATCGAGTTTTGAGCGTTGTTTTGCAATAGGTACCGCAGGTTGTAATTATTTGTACCGGCTTACTAATAAAAGTTACATTCGTGTTGAAAACTACTTTCAAATTACATTTCCATACTAAATGCCACTTTAAAACTAATTTCCTACAACAACGCAAACATACATAAATCAAATAAATATCTGATTTGTACTGTTCAACTTTAACGTACAGTCACCGTCAAAATAGTTCGTGACACTCAAACTGGCCTGAAAGTTTAAATGACAACACAAAAACTAAATGACGAGTTGCGAACTTTTCGGCTACTTTGTCACGAAATATTTGACGCTGCTGTACTCTAAAACTAAAAAGTTTGTCCCAAGTCTTTCACAAAGCAATCGATACACCTGACATCGATACAGGTTCCACGCTCGATCGGTGCCACGATATAGCTATCATTGTCGCCCTTGACACGCCGTGACACCAGACAGGCGTCAGGCCTTGATCTGACCTTATGGCCCCATCAGTAGCGCACAGAATGTCGTCAAGTGACGAAAGTTGACCTACTAAAGACGTACGGTATTGCATGACGAGTATGTAGTTTGCAGTTACATACAGGGTGTCCCAAAAACAATGGATAACCCTATAACCATCGATGGGCCTCGCCATGATCTCCCTAACGTCCATTTTTGACCCCAGTAAAAATATCACCGTTTTCAAGATTTTTAAGTTTTTGTGCATTTTTAGAAAATGGCCACCTGCGATTACTTTTTCTCATGCCATTTCTACAAATGAGGATACTTTTCAATCTAATTTTTTTCCTTATCACAAGGGATAGTTGGGCTATCAAAAGAAAAGATCAAAGTTCAACAAACTAGTTTGAAAGTAGGAAAATTTTAAGAAATTGCAGAAGAGTAGGAAAAATTAATTTATTGTCTTGCACTTTTGATCAGCCATCGTGTAAAAAAAATGTAGGAAGACCATCGTGCCCATTACCTTAAAAACTTCCTTGGTTAATTGAAATTCTAAAAAGGTATCACAAGCCTATGTTTTCTGTATTATTTTTATCTTATGGCTACTTGAATAGCAACTAGTATGAAAACTGCAAAAATGAGTTTTTCTCGTAATACTTAAACTAAGACTGCCAAGTGGCATTAAATACAAATGGATAATTTTTAGCGTAGGAATTTAAATAAAGCAACATTTTATCATCATCATCATTTCAGCCGTAGGACGTCCACTGCTGAACATAGGCCTTTACCCTAATGATTTTCATAATGACCGCTTGGTAGCGGCCTGCATACAGCACCTTCCTGCTTATCTTTATGAGGTCGTCGGTCCACTTTGTAGGTGGACGTCCTACGATGCGCTCTTCGGTACGTAGCCTCCACTTGAACCCTGCTGCCGCAGTTCTGCGAACTACTGTGCCTTGCCCTTTGCCACTGCAGCTTGCTGATCCGTCGGGCTATGTCAGCGACTTTAGTTCGTTTACAGGTCTCCTAATTTCTGATACGGTTTCGTAAAGAAACCCGACAATAGCCCCTTCCATAGCACGCTGGGCAAAAAAAACACGTTTCCGATCCGTGTATCATCACGGGCATCTGTCTATAGACACATTTATAAGGTGTCAAACAAAAAATAAGTAATCACAAAAACGCAGAACGGACGGCCAATGGGTCAACAGGGTTCAAGTGGAGGCTACGTACCGGAAAGCGCATAGTAGGACGTCCACCTACAAAGTGGACCGACGACCTCATAAAGGTAAGCAGGAAGGTGCTGGATGCAGGCCGCTACCAAGTGGTCATTATGAAAATCATTGGGGTACAGGCCTATGTTCAGCAGTAGACGTCCTATGGCTGAAATGATGATGATGATGATGATAAAATGTTGCTTTATTAAAATTCCTACGCTAAAAATTATCCATTTGTATTTAATGCTACTTGGCAGTCTTAGTTTAAGTATTACGAGAAAAACTCATTTTTGCAGTTTTCATACTAGTTGCTATTCAAGTAGCCATAAGATAAAAATAATACAGAATACATAAGCTTGTGATACCTTTTCAAAATCTCAATTAACCAAGGAAGTTTTTAATGTAATGGGCACGATGGTCTTCCTACATTTTTTTTACACGATGGCTGATCAAAAGTGAAAGACAATGAATTAATTTTTCTTTCTTCTCTGCAATTTCTTAAAATTTTCAAACTTTTAAACCAGTTTGTTGAACTTTAATCTTTTCTTTTGATAGCCCAACTATCCCTTGTGATAAGGAAAAAAACTAGATTGAAAAGTATCCTCATTTGTAGAAATGGCATGAGAAAAAGTAATCGCAGGTGGCAATTTTCTAAAAATGCACAAAAACTTAAAAATCTTGAAAACGGTGATATTTTTACTGGGGTCAAAATTGGACGTTAGGGAGACCATGGCGAGGCCTATCGATGGTTACAGGGTTATCCATTGTTTTTGGGACACCCTGTATATCACTTAGCAACTTATCTACGGATATTTTGAAGACCGGAAATATAATAACAAGAGCTTGTAAAAAAAAGTAGGAATGAGCAACTCAACTATCCATTCATAATAATGAATATTCTTTATGTAGACAACTAGATCTAATTGGATTAATCTACTACAAGAAATTAATTACTTAGGTGCTGTTGTATTTTTTTATACCAAAATCGTGGCACATGTCATATTAACGTATTAGGCATTGAAACCCCGCTATGGGCCGGGACCCCGCTGTGGGCCTGGACCCCGCTGTGGGCCAGGACCCCACTGCAAGCCAGGACCCCGCCGCAAGCCTGGACCCCGCTGTGGCCCTGGACCCCCTGCGGGCCTGGATGGAACCCTGAGGACCGCAGCACACTCATCATCATCATTTCAGCCATAGGACGTCCACTGCTGAACATAGGCCTCCCCCAATGCTTTCCATGTTGATCGATTGGTAGCGGCCTGCGTTAAGCGCTTCCCTGCTACCTTTACCTTGTAGGTGGACGTCCCACGCTGCGTTTTCCGGTACGCGGCCTCCATTTCAGAACCTTGCTGCCCCATCGGCCATCATTTCTGCGTACTATGTGCCCTGCCCATTGCCACTTCAGCTTGCTAATCTATCGGGCTATGCACACTTACCTGAACCGGAACTGCTCGCCCAGTTCGCTCTCATCACGCGGCGTGATCTCGAAGACGCCCGTGAAGACGTATGGATGGCCGCCGTACGCCCACTCCGAGCCATGAACCTGGACGCCGCTGTGGCCTGGACCCCCTGCGGTCCTGGACCCCGCTGTGGCCTGGACCCCCCTGCGGGCCTGAACCCCGCTGTGGCCTGGACACCCTGCGGACCAGGACCCCGATATAGGCCTGGACCCCCCTGCGCGCCTGGACCCCCTGCAGGCCTGGACTCCACTGTGGCCTGGACCCCCCTGCGGGCCTGAACCCCGCTGTGGCATGGACCCCCTGCGGACCAGGACCCCGATGCAGGCCTGGACCCACCTGCGCGCCTGGACCCCCCTGCGGGCCTGAACCCCGCTGTGGCCTGGACCCCCTGCGGGCCTGAACCCGCTGTGGCCTGGACCCCCCTGCGGGCCTGAACCCCGCTGTGGCCTGGACCCTCTGCGAGCCTGGACCCCCTGAGGGCCTGGCACACTCACCTGAACCGGAACTGCTCGCCCAGCTCTCTCTCGTCGCGCGGCGTGATCTCGAAGACGCCCGTGAAGGCGTATGGATGGCCGCCGTACGCCCACTCCGAGCCGTGAACTTGGACCCCACTGTGAAACACACCAACGCCTGCGCCGGCTGTGTACCTGAGAAAAACGATGCCATTAGGGCTGTCGCTCACGACGACTTTTTGTCCGAAACGCACGTAGCGATTATAATGAGGGCTATCGTTTTAGCGCTCACCAGTTAGCGCCACTGCACTGTAGAGTAAGGTCCTGTCACTTGCTAGTAGCGAAGACAGTGGCGCCAACTTGTGAGCGCTAAAGTGGTAGGAGGACTATCGCATTTGCACTCATCAAGATGGCGCCACTGTAGAGTAAGGTCCTGTCAATCGCCAGGGGTGCCAACTGTTAAGTATAAAAACGATGGCCCTCATTGTAACGCACTACAGAAGTGATGCCAACGCGCTACTAACGCGCTACAGCAGCGCGACTGCATCGCTACAAAACGTCGCTGTGGGCGAGGAGGGCTTTAGAATTCAATTTGGCCTACCCAAAAGATATTTTACATTCTCATTTTATTGATGTAGCTGGTGGTAATAAATAAAACTGTTAATAAGTCTATGATTAGATAAGATGAAATATGTCATGTAGAATATTTACTTTTTCATTAGACCGACTTCGGTAGACTGACGATCTGTTGAAGGTCGCGGGAGCAGGAGGATACGGGAATCACAGGACCGGCCGTTGTAGAAATATGTGGGGGGTCGTTGTGTCTTTCAGTCAGAATCAGAAAAAATCAGATTTTTTAGACAGGATTCCCCTGCTCTTGCCACACACACATAAAAAAAACAAGTTAGGTATGTAGGGGTTTACAATTTTCAGGGAAGTTACGAACATGAGCAAGCCCATATACAGGTTGTCCCAAAATTAGGATATCGCACTGACACCGAAGATAGATGGGCCTAAGACGCACTGAGGAAGCCTCATGCCCCTTGTTCCCACTGGGCACTTTGGACACGTGTCCAGGGCCCCGCGATCAAGGGGGCCTTTTGGTTCTTAAATGGCCAGGGCCTCCAGTAGTTTAAAGACGGCCCTGGGAAGCCTAATATAGGTTAAATTATAAGACATGTTAGGCTTGTCAGATGCGTCTTGGATCCATCTACCTCCGTCAGTGTTTTACAGCCTGTATAAGAAATCAGCGTGTCACTCACCAGTTGGTCCAATACATGTCGTATACATTTAGCACGACGGCCGCCTGCCCGGGCCGCGGCGCGGGCGCGTCCGGCCGCCGCGACAGCAGCGACATGCACGAAGGGAACATAGCGCAGATGCCGCACGACTGCGCACAGAACGGTTCCAAATTTGAATTCGTTGCTGGTTGTTCAAAATTTAAATTTGTATTTGGAGAAAACTAAAGCCCGGTCTGTGAGCACGTAGAATTTTGTCCAATGACCCTAAGCTACCCATCCTTATCCCTCGCGCGTAATTATATTGCTGTCGCGACTGTGCGACGGGCGCCCGCAGTGAGTATGCGAGCGTGATAGCAACATAATTACGCGCGAGCGATAAGGATGGGTAGCTTGGGGTCATTGGACAAAATTCTACGTGCTCGCAGACCAATCTATATGCACATTGCAGGTTACAGATCAAGAGCCAAGCTAAATTAGTTTAGCGTATCTCGCATTTAGCTCTTGGTCTGCAACCCGCAGTAATAAACTGCGTTAACTCAAAAAATCTGTTTTACAATTTTTCGAGNTTTTCGAATCATCGTCATCATCATTTCAGCCACAGGACGTCCACTGCTGAACATAGGCATATCCCAAATATCACAGTTATAGCCGGTTGGAAGCAAATAGCCTCCAGTATCATTCTGCAACCTTAAGGTCATTTGGTCCACCTTGTGATTAAGACGTCCCAGGCTGCATTAACAACTTTTTTGAGTTAGTACAGTTTATTAATACGTGCGCTAGGTTCAGTGTTAGTACAACATTAATCACCTATCTGAGTTAACCTACGAAGGCAGAGGTCGACAAAACTTTTAAGAGAGGAAGGGCCAAAAAAGTGACAGCTTATAAAAAAAATTACAGTTATGTATAAATATTTCCATTTTTTTAGAAGCTATTTACTATACTATACTGTGATTTTAGGGGTTTGATAATAAAATAAGGAAATATAGTTACAGCTTTATATTGATAAAACTGCATGCGGCTCGTGCGTGAGCCACAGGTTGCCGACCCCTGGCCTACGGGAATAAACGCTTTTGTATAAATGGTCGTAAGTGTGACTGTACTGTACATTAGTGATGTTTTTCATGTTGTTTCAAAAACAAATAATGCTATAGTATAATTGAAATCTTTTAACCTGAATTTAACTCCAGTAAAGACCTTTATACACAGGTTTTTAATAAAAAAGGGCAATATACAAATACAGTATTTTTATTTTTTATTTAACAAAGCTAAGAAATATAGTATGTAATAATGTGTGCTGTATTTTAAAAAGATTTAACAGCATGCACAAAGTTGGGTAGGTAGACAATAATATAAATGTAAAAAAAAACAACTTCAACATGCATGTACAAAATATACCGTAAAACTAAATAGGTATAGTTATAGCACATAGAATACATTTACTTTGGCTATTTTTTTTAATTTAGTACCTATTTTTAAATGATTATAAGTTACCTTTTTAGGTGGATTTATGTAAATTTTCTTTTTCATTGTCCAGTAATCACTTTAACTACACTTAACAACACAAATCATTGTCTATAACATTTCTAAATATCTAAAAAAAGCACTACTATTTTTTTCATGAGTATCAATGTAAGCACACTAGTCCATTTCTTTGACCTATGCACACAACATTTTTGCTTAACACATTTACACTGACTGTTTTCCGCGTGGCAAGGCCAGCGATAAAGGTGCGTACACGCTTACACTAAAGGAGCGCGCGAAAATAATAGAACTTATCAGATTTTTTTACATTTTATCTTCCATTGTAAGTTTTTTAAATGTATTATTTTTATTCAGATATAGCTTATTTAGATAAAAAAAAATGATTTTATTGATTAATTAAGCATTTCTTACTGGTAATATTAAATTTAATAGCTTATAGCAGAAAAAAAATCTTACACAAAAAAGAGTACATATTTTTTATATACAGTTTCTTTATAAAAATTGTTTAAGCATTAATTAAGGAATTTAAGCTCTTTATGTGGAACAAAATTACTTACTTATAGTGTATGTCACAGTATGTATGACACTCATGTTTTTTTTGTAGCAAATGTATTCGCACATTTATCTGATACATTGGCACCACTTTATTAAGCTCTATGCCGCCTCATTCAATCCAATAAAGTGTGATAAGATAACTTTTATTATTTGACTGCACTGTCCTACAAACTTTTTTTAAGTTTACCTTTGAATTTGTAAATTTTTTTTTACATATTTAAATGAAAAAATTTTTTGTCGTGTTGTAAAAATGAGATAGACAATAAAGTATAAAGTATCACTATTAGAAGGCCACTTAGGCCAGTATTATCTAATATGGCGGATTTAATCTACATGTATTAGCGATGGCTTTTATCAAGCCTGTTAATGACCCATGATATTTCTTTGTTTACTTTTCGTAACCAAGATTACTCCTATCAGTTTGGATTAATCGGTATGTTTGCTATGTTGTTGTTTACGCAGCGATTATAATTGCATTCGGACTTGACTAACAAGGCCAACATATTTTGACAAAGAATGATATTTTTCTCTAATGCATTAATCTACAGAAAAAAAAATAAACATGACTGAAATAAAACAAACTACCTAATGAAAAAATACAAAAATTGTGCACAAATTCGAATAAAGTGCACAAAAAAGAAATAGTGCAACTACAAATATGGAACATCTTAGCGATTCTTACTAAATTGCGATTATCGTAGGACTCGTCCTGGGAGACTATGGGCGAGTCGATCAGAGGGTCGCGGTCGCCCCCGCTCTCGTCGGGCCGGGACTCCGACGCCCTCCGATCTGAACGGTTACGGCACGCATCGCATGTCTTCATTTCTATACATACTTCTCAACTGTGGACTGTCAATATTAGTCCTTCACTTAATTAGGAATTAGTTGCACCTATAGTCATCTTTTTTTTTTTATTATGGCAGCGTCACAATTATTATAAGCCATAAAATTCACACATTTCATATTTAGACAACAAAAACAAAGGTTACAACTACCCACATATGAGTAGCTTATTTTAACCTTTAGCTACTGAGGTGGATTTATTTTCACGTAAACACTGACGTGGGGGCCTGAGAGGCCCGTACATATGTGTGCTTGTATTTAAAAATATATAATGTTTTTAGGGTTTTATGTTTAATAATTATTAATAGTGGTTATATTGAAATACAATAAAACGATTTTTATGTAAATTATTTGTTAATAAGTACGTATTATTTCAATATTTAGAAAACATGTAGCATTTTTGGCAAAAATCTCATGAAATCATGATTCACAAAGTTATCATGAAAAATATTCATAAATTCAACAAATCAACTTAGAATCTTAATTTTCAATAGTCTTTTCAGCTAATGATATATCAGTAATCCTAATATGAAAAAGGGGGGAAAAAATTACATACATCAAATAGTGCGAATTAAACACAGTCTGGATAAACTTGCTTTGCTCAGTGAAGGAAGCCATACATGTTTTTAAAATGTAGATTTCATTTGAATCTTCAAAATACATGTATGGCACTTGGTTTCATCGTTTTAATCTTGATAGACAGGTACAGGCTTATCATTTCCTAGCATACGTGCCAAAAACTACTGTTCTTCTATTTTTCGTTAAATGCTGGTTATTTTTACTTCCGAGATACCGCTTTTTCTCGGACGACATACTGTGGGCTCCATATTATAGATTTTTTCAAATTATTTCAATAAAAGACGAAAACTAAATGAAAACTATAGACAAAAAAAGTTACGCTAATACTGAGGTGGGGGCCTGAGAGGCCCATAAGAAACTTTGAAATTAATTTACCTACTGAAATTGCGCGTGCAATCACGTGCACTGTTGTTGACAGCCTCGGCGCAATGAAACTCGAAGGTACTAAAAGATTCGGGTGTGTCGTGCACGTGGGAGAGGAGAAATTCAACAATTTGACTTTCGCAAGGCCTGAGAGGCCCCCACGTCAGTAGTTAAAGGTTNCTTATTTTAAATACCTCATCTTCAGAATCTAGCAGTGCAGAATGTTCCATAGCCCAAGAAATTCAGGATAGAAATTAAAAACACTAAACACTATACAGTGGATCAAGTACTAAACCCATGTGAGAATGGGATGGCATTATAATAAAGTCAAACCATATTGGTTGAATCAAGTAACTATCAATCAACCAGGCAGAAAGAAATATTGTATGCAAATTATATTGTCGATCACTAGCAAAAATAATGACGTTAAGGATTCAGTAACAACACGCGCATACGGAGAGAGCATGTGACCTAAAATACTACGGCTAATCGCATAGAATTTAAACAAAATAATTAGAATACTTACCACTATAAATTGGCCTTATTGTTAAGCACGCGTTTTCCATAGAATTTACAAACGCCTTCAAATAATCAGTTCCATCGTCTCATTCGGATATCTAAATAATTAATTAAATTATCAAAAATACATAAAAACTATGAGGTATTGCGAGAAAATAGAATAAAATGAACACAATAACCCCAATGTGCTTTGCTTACTTTTTGACAAAACTGACATTTACAATTTGGGCATAGAGCATAGAAATTAGTTCCATAGACATTAATGCATTATTGTTTCTGTGGGACAAAGTTTTGAGCTTACAAGTTGAAATTTTTTGAAAAAGATTTGCCTTTCTTTTCGCATTTTAGTCTCATTTTGAAAACTGATATAGGTGTACCAGAATCTCATGGCAAACAAAAATATTGGAAAAGTGTGTTTTTCATATGGCCATTGTCTATGGCTTTATGTCACCTGTCAAAGTAAATCAAGAGATCTGTCAGTCGCTGCAGAAATTTTGTAATCTCTTCATGCCTATTTGTTATTTTTGTGAAAAAGTCGAAAAAGCTCAAGCAAGTCATATTGTTTTCAATGAGAATTGTAAAATAAGGCATAATTCAAAGTCAATCTATGATTTTAAAGCACGTCGTCGAGTTGACAGTAAGTTGGGCTGAAATGTTTTGATACATTTAGTTTATTACCCAACTGCGTCAGAAGGAGCGTTGTGTTTTTTTATATTATTCTTACTTAATATCTGCTTTATTGGGATTTTCAGGTGTATCTCACAAATTGGTGCAGAGGAATGGTGAAAATGTTATGACCATGTAAAGAAAATTGAAAAAGATTTCATCAAGCAAGTTTAAGTAATTGAAATGCTGAAAGAGCGATTTATATTATACAGGGTGGAATTTTGTAATGCCACCTGGAGGGAAAGTACCTACTCTTAATATTGTAGATAGAATTTTTTTCTCAAAAAAAAACATTCCTTTATTTTTGAAAAGAAATAGAACTGCATTCTAAGATTTCCAAAAATTTGCTTACCAACTTAAATCTGTTAAAAATTACACCTGTATTTTTATTACATCGATCGTTAGGGTTAAATATAAGGATGAAATCTCTCTAACAAACTTGATAAATCAAATGAAAGGAAAACCATGAAATTTTAAATTATTTTGATAATGTTACAGAAAATTGTATGGTATAGTAGTGAATTTTCGAAAAAAAATTCGAAAATCTTTGAATGCAGTTCTCTTTTTTTTTCAAAAATAAAGGAATGTTTTCTTTCAGTAAAATTTTCTATTTACAGTATTAAGAGTACTTTCCCTCCAGGTGGCATTACAAAATTTCATCCTGTATAAATACCTCTTTAACTTGATCATCTATTGAAGAATAAGAAATGCAAGTGGAGTTCTTAGAATCGTTTTCTAGTTCTGAATGAAGTGATAAGTTATAAATATGATACATAATAAAATTATTTACAGTAATATACTGTTTGCTTATTTTTCAAGACATGTTTCTATGTTAAAAACCCGTTGTATAACAACATTCTTCATACACATACCTAAAATGTACCTATATGTAGGCATTCGTACTTCATGTTCATTAATATTAAAGTCATAAATAAAAAAATAAAAAGTATCAAGATCGTTTAATCCAATTTCCCCAGTATTGCACTCAACAAAGTTTATTTTCCCCATTTGCCATGAGATTCTGGTACACCTATAGTATAAATTTTCATCCCAACTAATATTATAAATGCGAAAGTAACTCTGTCTGTCTGTCTGTCTGTCTGTCTGTCTGTCTGTCTGTTACGCTTTCCCGCTTAAACCTTGCAACCGATTTTGATGAAATTTGGCATAGAGATAGTTTGAGTCCCGGGAAAGAACATAGGATAGTTTTAATCCCGGTTTTTGAAACAGGGACGCGCGCGATAAAGTTTTTCTGTGACAGACAAAATTCCACGCGGGCGAAGCCGCGGGCGGAAAGCTAGTTTTTAAGATAAAAGCAATAAAGATATTGAGTATTGGTATTGAGTCTTTAAGCTCGCGGATTGTCATTTTGTATTATTCCTTTGCCAATAAAACGTTGCCCATAGATGGTAGAAAAAAAATGTCTACACGTCATCTGCGGTGAGCTGTCAAAATTACTGAAATTACCGAAAAGCGATTTGTTTTGCAGGATAATTGGATTTTTCTTCTTAATTTCAAAATGGTATGAAGTTTAATTATTAAAATTTCCAAATATGTTCATAGTTGTATTATAAAAGTGCATAAAATCAGTGTATAAGTGGTTAATTGGTGTTACATTTATGTTTACATTTTGCTTCTATGTTTTCATTTATTTTCAGGTGCTCATAGCAGCAACAGTATGTACGAAATCAGGAAAAGGTATCAAATAATACATAAATTCACCTAAATTCATAGGCAACTCTGTAAGTTTAGATTTTTATACGTAATTTTGTGACGGTTTCAGCATTGGTGTCTCGGCAGTTCGTAGAGATGACGAAAGCCCGTATCGAGGGCCTATTAGCTGCCTTCCCCAAACTAATGACTGGCGGCCGACAACATACCTTCGTTGAGACTGAGTCTGTCAGGTAATTTTATCTAAAAACTTCTTCCAAGTAATATTTACAAACAGTACCTACCTAAAAACATTATGTACCTACTTGTGAGTCACTTAAGTGGTGAATTATCTACTAATGTGTTAAGTCTATAGTATGTACATTGTGAAGTATATTATAGTAGATTATTATCTTACTTCACAATTTTCAATCAATTGCATCATACAACTTTTGGCCAACTTAGGCTAGGTTCATCATACTTAAACTGTAACAAACGTCAAAAATATGTGAAACTTAAATACAAAAAGCACTGGTTATTGTTAAAGTTACCGTGACAGTCTGGCAGTGCAACTCAACCTAAATTGTAAATTCCATAGAAGTTACAAGTGAGTGACAAGAGATACAGCTAAAATTGATAGTTGTTTATAATTATTTATTGGTATGTTGCATTCAGGTATGTGTACCAGCCGCTGGACAAGCTGTACATGTTGCTGATCACCACCAAGGCCAGCAACATCCTGGAGGACCTGGAGACTTTGCGCCTCTTCAGCAGAGTGGTAATTCAAATTCAAGTTTCTTTATTGATTAGACTTATTATTTATTTATTTATCAGGACAGATCCATGGTAATTGCTTTTATATTTATTCAATGCTGGTTTGGATAAAAGTCCCCAAATAAAGACAGACACAAAAATAATCAAAATTTCATCAGGCATCTGTAAAGTTTTATAACAAAAAATCTAAACTTTTTTTATTTATTTATATTATTTATTAAGTATTTGAATTAATGAATGACAAACATTATTTCTTACAAACTTACCAGTTATTAACGATAATCTTAATAATAATTGCTTATTTGTAGAAAATAAATGAGTGATGACTTTTACTTTACATTTCCAGGTCCCAGAATATTGCACCCAGCTCACAGAGGCTGAGATCTTGAACCAAGCCTTCAATCTGCTGTTTGCTTTTGACGAAATTGTAGCCCTGGGCTACAGGGAGAGTGTCAACCTGGCACAGGTTTGTAGCTTTATTTTTGACAAATTAAATTATATTTTACCGCTTATACATTAGAACTATCAGAAGTTATAATCATTAAGCTTTGAATTAAGAAAAGAATTAGTTTTAGTAAATAACTTATTTATTTTATTTTAGGTTCGCTCATTTGTTGAGATGGACTCTCATGAAGAAAAGATCTATCAAGCAGTGAGGCAGGTAAGAAAATGTCATTTATCTCAAAATGTAATGTATCTTTCTTGGGTTTACCAAAACTTCATCTTGGAATGTGAATTTAATTCTCTAGAAACAAATTAATGCTAAATGTTATCGATATTTTTTCTGGATTAATTAATAATCAGGATAAATTCGTTCTAAGTGAAATAATTTATTTTAATTCACGGAACATGCTTATTATTGTTTTATTATAAAGTTCTCCAGACACCTGCTAGTATACTCTGTAAGGGACACCTTGTTATCCTTTACAATGCCGATATATCGGAGGCTCGTAAATAAAAAGGTACAATGATAGAAACCCTGTATATGCCTAGAAGTAGAAATATGTGACTTCTCTTTGCTTGTAGACGCAAGAGCGTGAGGCGGCCAACCGCATGCGAGAGAGAGCTAAGGAACTGCAAAGAGAGAGGCTGGAGGCCGCCAAGCGAGGCGCGCCGCCGCGCTCGCAGATGTCTTTCGGCAAGTATACCTTACATCAGTGTTCTGCAAACTTTGATTTAACTTGCCATAACGCGCTAGACCTCCAAAGAAAAACATTAAATATTTAATAATAAATCAAAAGGCTGGCAGCTATTTTGGTCAGAGAATTAGCCTGGCCATGCAACGTGGCAATGCTGCCAGCCTTTTGGGCACCATTCCTGACTGCGGCGCTGGGGGTGAAGTATTTTTTATTTTGTAAATAGTTTTTATCATTAGTAATTTTTAAATTTTAGTTTTTAAGTCATTTTAAGTTAATGTACCTATTATTATAAAATTTATTCTCTAATAAACCAACAATCTATACCTACTAATATTATAAAGCTGAAGAGTTTGTTTGTTTACTTGAACGCGCTAATCTCCGGAACTACTGGTCCGATTTGAAAAAATATTTCAGTGTTAGATAGCCCATTTATCGAGGAAGGCTATAAGCTATACAACATCACGCTACGATCAATAGGAGCAGAGCAATAATGAAAAATGTTGCGAAAACTGGTTTTCACGCGTACGAAGTCGCGGGCACAGCTAGTATAATAATAAGCCTTTATTGCTACATATTAATGTTGATGATAGGTTTGTTTTCTATAAAAGTTGTCCTTTGATAAAGCTCAAAGGCTTCCACCTGTCTCTATCCAATTCTGATTTATGTTGAACCAACCATTCTTCATTTCATTTCTTGGAAGTTATCCTTCTGAACTACTACCCTACTTTTTTGCCATCTTTGGGGGACCACCACTCTGATATCCATTTCATTGTTCTAAACGCAATTTTTTAAAATTATAAACGCATCATAAGATTTATTTCTGCCTTTTTCTATGACGTGCGTTTGTCAGCAGGCAGCTCTGGTTTCGGCAGTTCCAACGTGACGTCGAGCCCGAGCACCGAACCAATAGCTGAGAAGATACCCACTACTCCTGCTAGAGACACGTAAGTTCGTAATCATTAGATCATCCAGTCTCCACCGTAGGTGTACTGGAGGGAAGACGAACCTTAAATTCGAACTCCTTCTGTTTTAATTTCATTGTGGGTCCCATGACAGTTTAACTTTCCCCCGGGACAAACTTGACCTTCACTGGTTGGGTTTTTATTAGCGGTCAAGCTGTAGATCCTGGCTACACAGGAGTTGCAGCGGTGGGAATGAGAGGAAAAAAATTCGTCCTCGTCTTGAACTCGAAAGTTTTTCGTACTAGTTGGTACTGATGTTCACATAATTATTTCTCAACCATAGAATTTAATTAATTAACTAATTCTATTGAGTTTTTAAAATTTAAGTCATGGTATTACTTTCTACTCTGTAGTCTCCGCTACAGAAGGGGTCGCCCTTATAATTTACCAGAGTTATGTTATAAAGCCCGGTCTGCGAGCGATAAGGATGGGTAGCTTGGGGTCATTGGACAAAATTCTACGTGCTCACGGACCAACAGATACCTATATCTAAATAAATAAAAATGAATTGATGTTCGTTAGTCTGATTAAAACTCGAGAACGGCTGGGCAGATTGAGCTGATTTTGGTTTTAAAATGTTTCTCGTAGTCCAGGGTAGGTCTAAACGGTGAGCAAATACGCGCGCGATATTGTTTTTCTGTGACAGACAAAATTCCACGCGGGCGAAGCCACGGGCGGAAAGCTAGTTTCACATAAGATACTAATTTATAATTTTTCGATGTCGAATTCAGGCGTCCAGTAGGCCGTTCCGCCATGAAGCTCGGCTCGCGCGGCTCGGACGCCGAGTCGTTTGTGTCCCGCCTGCGCTCCGAGGGCGACACCGTGGCCCCCGCCTCCGCTACAGCCGCCGCCTCTACCACGCACCGTCCCGAAGTCGCGCCGCTGCCGGACCACAAGAGGTAATGTGATGTTTTAACGCTATAGCCCAACGGTCATCAGAAATCGAACTACCAATAATGAAATATACTTAAACCCGTGGTCACACACATCACGATAAGTCAAATATTCGTGTCTAGCCAAGTATTCGCCTATACTTCGTAGCTTTTTTGCATAGTCACTATGTGGCCCAGGGGTTACTGACATTTGAAAACACTAAAATCACTGTGGTACTTATTTTATGTTATTTTCAGTGTACACCTGCGGTTCGAGGAACGTTTGAACTTGGTTGCCGGGCGCGATGGAGACATCCAGAACTTCGAGCTGTCAGGTAGATTACAATATTGAAATTCACAGATGGCGTCCATAAATTACGTGAGACAATTTTGGCCATTTTTCAACCCCCCCGCCCCCCTTGGTGAGATTTGGTGAGATTTTGCCTGACCCCCTCCCCCACCCCCCTAATCTCACGTGATATTTAATAAAATGGCTATTTTGCCATGTCTATGCTTCGAGTCTATTAGATTTATATGAAAAANCTAGTATGAAAAAATCATCAAACTTCTAATGCTCGTAACTCAGTTCAGACTGAGTTTAGAGGTATACATGTCATAGTAAGTTTGGTTTATTACTTTGGTTTGGTTATTTTGTAATCAAAAAACAAAGATTGGTCGATGGCCGCGCGAAAAAAAAAAAGACGCCAATTTCCGGCATTGTCTTTTATTATGTGCTCATTATCCACTCCGTACTCAACGTTCGAATAATCTTTCTTTAGTACCTACTACGCAAGCAATGTAAGCTGTTTACATTATGACATCGCTGTCATCATTGCTGTCACGAGAAATGTGTTGTTTTTGGGCATATTGCTGCGACACCGGCCCCGCCCCCTTGTCACATCTCCCTTTAGTTTTTGTGATCTGTGTGTACTACGGTTAATTGGAATCGGATTAAATCCCATGGAAAATTATGAAATGTGTTCTTTTTAATACATTGTTATGCCTTGGAATCATTGTCAACTACCTAATTTATGTTCCAATTTCTTTGTCCAGGCTTGCTGACACTGCGCATAACTGACGAGCAATACGGCAGGATTCGTGTACACGTGGACAACAGGGACTCCCGATCACTGCAGTTACAGGTTAGTTCACCATTTGACTAGTAGGCTACCCTAAACAGTGTGAGTCACGTTAAAGTGTACATATGAAAATAGATGAAACTAGACCTATTTTTATCGACAAAAAAGAGGTCAAAATTTTTGAGATTTTTTTTTAATTTTTTTAAAAAAAAATTTCTTCCAATTATTGTAAAGAAAACGTAATAACTTTTAAACTAAGCGATATATCCAGATAAAATTAAACAGTAATAATGCTAAATAACAGGCGATACTAAAAAAATACATAAAATACACAAAAATAGGCCAACAAATAATCAAAAATGATACTTTTTGAAAAAAAATTGCTTTTTGGAGAAATTTATCAAATAACCAAAAAAACACGAATTTAAAAGCAGATTTTTTTCAAAAAGTATCATTTTTTATTATTTGTTGGCATTTTTTGTGTATTTTATGTATTTTTTTAACGTGACTCACACTATTGTAAAAAAATTAAAGATCGTGTAACTTGTGTCCGAAATTGGTTGAAACGAGATTAAGTTCTTGTATCCATCTTGAATTTGACGGAAAAAAGCGCTTGGAAACAAAATGGCGGTCGCCAAGCGGTGAGCGCTGTCACTGCAATGAATGAAACACGTCACTATTCGTCTAACGTGTGCTCGCCGAAAACTTTTTTTTCGCCAAACGCCCCTATTAAGGTTCTTTATCGCAAACAGTTAATAGGACTATCATTGATTGAAATAAGCAATGCGGAAAGCGCAGCGTAGGACATCCATCCACAAGGTGGGCCGACGACCTCATAAAGGCCGCCACCAACCGGCTATTGTGGAAATTATTGTAGGAGGCCTAGAGAGAAAGAAAGAAAGAATGTCTTTATTTGCTTCAAACATGGTATAAGGATGTTGGTTTTTACAATGTGCTCATATTTAGCCTTTTAAAAATAACATGCAAATCATTTTCATAAATGTTCAGCAGTGGATGTCCTATGGCTGAAATGATGAAGATGATAATAAACGATGATTAATATTGTGCCTGTTCATTCCAGACTCACCCCAACGTGGACAAGGAGGCGTTCCGGTCGCAGGGCATCATCGGACTCAAGCAGAGTCAGCGCCCGTTCCCGCTGCACAGTGACGTCGGCGTGCTCAAGTGGCGCCTCGCTGGTTCCGGCGACGACAAGCTGGCGCCGCTGGCGGGTGAGTGACATGTGACGCCCGTCGCGCGTCATGTGACGCCCGTCGCGGGTCATGTGACGCCCGTCGCGGGTCATGTGACGCCCGTCGCGGGTCATGTGACGCCCGTCGCGGGTCATGTGACGCCCGTCGCGCGTCATGTGACGCCCGTCGCGGGTCATGTAACGCCCGTCGCGCGTCATGTGACGCCCGTCGCTCGTCACGTGATGCCCGTCGCGGGTCATGTGACGCCCGTCGCGGGTCATGTGACGCCCGTCGCGGGTCTTGTGACGCCCGTCGCGGGTCGTGTGACGCCCGTCGCGGGTCTAGTGACGCCCGTCGCGGGTCATGTGACGCCTGTCGCGCGTCATGCGAGCGAGCGGAGTCAGGCACCAGACTCAACCCAACGTGGACAAGGACGACAAGCTGGCGCCGCTGGCGGGTGAGTGAATGACGCCCGTCGCGGGTCTAGTGACGCCCGTCGCGGGTCATGTGACGCCCGTCGCGGGTCTAGTGACGCCCGTCGCGGGTCATGTGACGCCCGTCGCGCGTCATGCGAGCGAGCGGAGTCAGGCGGCCACGTGACGCTCGCCGCGCGTCAGGCATGTGGGCGGAGTCAGGCGGTCTAGTATACTTGTCGGCAATTGTGTATTCTTGACGGCGGTCGTGTATTCTTGTCGGCAATTCTGTATTTTGTCGGCGGTTGTGTATTCTTCTCATTCTAATAAGTGTGGGTGGTAAGTAACAGCTAAAAACAATAGGTGGGTGGTCGAGCATTCATTTCGGTCAGTAGTATGTAATACCTATTGGCTCCGTGCACGATTACAGCGCCAACTAGCGTCCACAACTTTATGGGCTCTGTCACATTGACATTTAGGTCGTATATTTGTGAAAAAATATCGAAATGAAAAAATAATAAATATTTTCGACTAATAAATTGTTGTGATATCACGATTTGGGTGGAAAAAAGGTTTTGAAATCATTTTGGTCATTAAAATCAAATGAGGTAAGTCCTAAAAGTGTGTTTAATTTTGATTGTGTCAGGGTTTGTTTACTTCATTTATAGTTGTAGTTTTACAGTAAAACAAAAAGAAAAAGCTACTTTAACGGTTTCATTATATAACAGTAAATATAATTAAATGTTCCTGTATCGCTAGTTATAAATTAAATATCGTTTTCAGATCGAAATGAGTATTGTTTTGAAGACCGGGTTTGTGAGTGTTACAATATCAAATTCCAACCACAAACCGTATTTAAAGGAAAGTTTTTGGTATTGGCTGGACAAGTCCGAGATGTAGAAGAATTAGGAACAAAACAAGGGCAGAGTTCAATAATTCACGCTCTCATCATAAGGCAAACATCTGTGCACAACAACTACTGTGACTCATTTTTGTACTACCACGTTGTATAGTCTAGTTATTTCCAAATTGTAAACGGCTATTAAACCAGCCCAATCGAAATACAGTCCACTCTTTTATTTTAGTTCCCAGTAGGACCCTTTTCATGCGATTAATTAATGATATTAAAATGTATTATGTAGAATCGCTTTGCCATTGACAGATACATCTGATGACAGAGCTTACATTATTTCTACTTTTGACCACCATGAGCGCTGCGATAGATTATGTTACCCCCACCTAGTACTTCGCACCCAGCGAATAGGAGAAATCGTAATAAAAATGTTATGAACTAAATCTGCCGCCCCTGAATTGCCGCCTTAGGCTTCAGTCTACTCAGCCTGGTTGTAAACCTGCCACTAATTTCGCTGATTTTATATTCTTAGAATATAAAACTTTTTATTTGCAAGAAAGATGTATAAGCAGGCAAGACATAGATATAAACAGAGAGAAATATACAAGTGGACAGTTAACTGCTTGTGCCCCTCTGACAAAAAGGCACCCCGCTCAGCAAAAAGTATTCCTTACACTTACATTCTGAAGTTACGAGCTCTTTTCGAGCATTTCTGTGTTCCGTTCGTCAGCTGTTCCTAGCTGTAACTTCAGAATGTTAAGAATAGTGTTCCTTTCTTGAATGTTTCTTTTTTGTCGGCCTAGACTTCAGCCTACTCGGCCTGGTAGTAAATCCGCCTCTAATTTCAGTGATTTTAATAATCCTTACACTTACATTCTGAAGTTACGAGTTCTTTTCGAGCATTTCTATGTACCGTTCGTCCGCTGTTCCTAGCTGTAGCGTAACTTCAGAATGTTAAGAATAGTATAAGATTTTAAACTTTCGCGTTCCATTTCAACTAAAATAGTAAGACACGGGTCTTAACGCGACGTTTATTAATGAGTTACATTATGTACTCACGGCTTGACGAACGGACGACGCCGCCAGTCTGCTTGTGACCACGGCTGCATCATCGCAGCCGAAACGTCAAGCCGTGAGTACTAATAAAGGCCGGTAGATCTATTCTCATAAATAAAACACTGGATACTCATCTTTCACATTATATTGCCTTAATTTAGATACAATTCATCACTTTTCACAAAAGCGCGCGGAGTCATCTCCGCGCGTCCCTCTATTCTGACGTTTGATTCTCGTGTGACATTGACATTACGTCAGTGTCACTATGACAGCAGCTCATCGGCTATAACGATACCGTTATTTTAACGTTTTATATTTTTCACAATTAACAGTACATAATGTAACTCATTAATAAACGTCGCGTTAAGAGCCGTGTCTTACTATTTTATGTTAAGAATAGTGTTCCTTTCTTGAATGTTCTTGTGTTATCCCTCAGTGAACTGCTGATGTAAAGTTCATCCGCTGTTCCTAGCTGTAACGTAACTTCAGAATGTTAAGAATAGTGTTCCTTTCTTGAATGTTCTTGTGTTATCCCCCAGTGAATTGCTGATGAAAGTTCGTCCGCAGTTCCTAGCTGTAACGTAACTTCAGAATGTTAAGAATAGTGTTCCTTTCTTGAATGTTCTTGTGTTATCCCCCAGTGAATTGCTGATGAAAGTTCGTCCGCAGTTCCTAGCTGTAACGTAACTTCAGAATGTTAAGAATAGTGTTCCTTTTTTTATTGTTCTTGTTATCCCCCAGTGAACTGCTGATGTAAAGTTCGTCCGCTGTTCCTAGCTGTAACGTAACTTCAGAATGTTAAGAATAGTGTTCCTTTCTTGAATGTTCTTGTGTTGTCCCTTAGTGAACTGCTGGCCGTCGGAGGGCGCGGGCGGCGGCTGTGACGTCAACATCGAGTACGAGCTGGAGCACGACCACCTGTCGCTCAACGACGTCAACATACACATCCCGCTGCCGTGAGTCACTCTGCGTTTTGTTATAATAGGGATGATGACTGGGTAATGAAATCGAAATTCTATTTAGTCCGTCAGATAATGAAAAAATTTTGGACACATATTTTTTATTTTTTTTCCTAATCGAATAAATTACAGTATTGAGTTGAAATGTCGCGTGACGTCACTTTTGAGTAAAAAATCTACTCAAGCGTGACGTAACGCGCCATTTCAACTCTATGTAGCACTGTTATTATTAGGCTAGATTCCTAAAAAAAAATTTTTAGTCTGTCAATTTTAATATAAAAAAATATTGGACACGTATATTTTTAATTGTCAATCAAACAACTAATTACAAAGTTATGGTGCGTTGAAGTTCCGCGCGACGTCACAAAGTGCTGCACTTTTACGCACTCACTGACGTCACGGGCCTTTTCTTTAGAACTTTGGCACGCTTTATCTCTTTACATTTTCATTAGTTTTAAAAAGTGAAAAATACGTGTCGAGTAGTTTTTTATAAGCTAACTGACGGACTAATTAAAACTCTTGCTTTTTTACCCAGGAAACATCCCTCATCTAGCTGCTTATTATGTACCTCTGTACTTAGCTACCTTCGTTATCGAATCAGTTAAAATAGTAACCGACATAGTCCGCAGAGCTGCCAAGCTTAAGTGCCAGTGTGTGTGGCACAGCTCGTGGAACTGATGGCCTTTGGAACAGAAAAGTTCTGGAGTGGCGACCACGGGCCAAACAGACGTCCCACTTAGAACACTGAAAATCAAGTCAGTCACGGAAATCATCGGGAGAGGACTTTGTCCAGCAGTGGGTATATTTTGGTTGTAACGAACGTACATAGCTACGTACGCATATTAGTTCGATTGTTTAACTGTCGTTCGTTCGTTCGTTTCAGCCAAATGATGTCCCCTGGACAAAGGCCTCCTCCAAGTTTTTCCACAATGCACGATCCTGCGCTGCCTGCATCCAGGCTCTTCCTTTACCAGATCGTCGGTCCACCTAGTAGAAGGCCTGCCCTCGCTACGTCTTCCAGCCCGTGGTCGCCACTCGACAACTTTTCTGCCCCAACGGCCATCGTCTCTACGAGCTATGTGCCCCGCCCACTGCCACTTGATTTTAGCAATTCTGCGAGCTATATCGGTGTTTAACTGTATGCCTGTATATTGACTGTTTTTTGAACGTATTATAAGGAAATAAAGATTGTTACTTCGATAGTGAGTGTAGTAGAAGTTAATTAAATGAAAGAGTGGACTGTATACAATTAGTTGTCTATTCGGTATAAATAATTAACAATGTTATCGAGACCGCTTTGTGCAAAGTCGTTGAAGAGAGTGCGTCAGGGTCGTCTTCTTCGATGTTCGCTCGCGAACCGAACATTGCTCGTTCGTTCGCCGAACGCTCGCCGCTCCCTCCGGTCACGCCGCCCGCGGGCAATGTCCGTGAGTAGACAAAGATCAACATGACGCAACATAAAGAGTTACGCGGTATTGGTCGCGCAGCAAGAGAAACGCGAGCAAAAATGTTGTATACGCTTGTCGCGCGGACGTTTTGCATATTCTTGTGTTCTGTATTCAAACATTACATTAGTGTGTAATGACGCCATCTTTCTCTCCAGATCTGGTAACATCTCTCTGGTGGTGCACCAGTGGGAAGGCAGCTATGCACAGAAGGGCCGCACGCTCATCTGGTCCGTGCCCATCATCAATAAGCAGCAGAAAACAGGCAGTTTGGAGTTCACGTGAGTGATGCACATCATATTTTTAATAATGCAGTTGCATGCAACGAGGGGGAGTATTTGACAACATTCACGAATAACTTTAAAGCACAACTGTTTAAAAACACTCATCATTCTGGTCTTATTCCTATTTTCGACTGTAAATTAAGATTTTTGTTGCTTTGTGATTGACAAAGTTTGTCAATGGTGACGTCATCGCCTTATATTACCCTGCAATCAGTCTCGTTTTGGTATTGCATAAAAAGTACGTCAATTGATCGGTGGTGTACTCAAATACCCTATTGTAAACCTGTACGTAATGTTTCGTTCTTAAGTGTCCAAACGCAGTGAAACTTTCCTAAAAAGTAAAAACCTAATCCCCACAACGAGGATCATAGAGCTTTTGATAAGTCTATAAAATGTGAAAAAAAAACAACATGATTACCTATTCCGTTTTCTTCGTTAGTAGATTGACCTGTAGCCTCATTCACATAACAAAACTTCAACGACAACAAATCGCTGAATGCGATCCTATCGAGTAATCGTTTTATAAAAATGACCCCTGTGAATACGGATTTAGAACTGTTTTTCAATGGGATGACTTCTGAACGTCAGCGAGATCTTGTCTGTCAACTGTAGTCCACAGTAAAAGCTTTGTTTGATCTTGACTAAAAAATTTTTTTTTTATCCAGCGTCACCCCAGCCATTCCCAACGACTTCTTCCCGCTGTCCGTGACGTGGACGTCAGACACCACGATGTGCCTGCTATCCGCCACCGGAGTCTCGCAGGCGGAGGGCGGAGCGCCCGTGGACTTCTCCCACGAGGTGGCGCTCCATCCGGACAAGTACGAGATCGTCTGAAGTGAAATATTATTCAAAAATGTATTAAGATGTTCCGCCGTGACGCACGTGTTGAAGTGTAAAAATGTATTTAATAAAAATTATATGATATATCAAGGAATCTTTTATTTATTACGCTCTAAACCAGCGGTTCCCAAACTTGTTTTGTCTACTGCCCACTTTGAGAATAAATTCTTTTTAGCGCCCCCATTTGTAGTCGAGAGTCGAGTGCTCAGTCGGTGTCTAAGAGACCACCTAGTAAATGACGCCTCCCAAGTCTTTACACAACGTCCTGATTTTTTTTCTGGGTCTCTTACCGCCCCCCTTTAAGCCTGCAGCGCCCACAAGGGGGCGTTATCGCCCACTTTGGGAAAGACTGCTCTAAACCGTTTAAACTAGCAATAAAAATTGCAGAAGTTGACTTCCGTAAGCTGTTTTATGTGTAAATACAAGCCAACGTCTGCAAGATTTACACAGTGGTGACAGCTTGCGAAAGCAAAAGTCAACTTCTGCAAGTTTTATTGCTAGTCTAAACCTCGCTTTAACTTTAGATATCGTCAATTGAAATACAGAATGCGCCATCTATTGTTTGATTAATGTACTAAAAATATGCCGTATTTTGGCGAAATCCGAACCAAGTCTGGGGCGTGACCCAATAGGGGTCTATTAAAGGTCAAATGAATACAAAAGGTATATGATTGTGACCTGGCATTTTGCTTCATTAAATGTATTTAGGTAATTATCTCATGACCATTACATAAATCAACTCATCGAAACATAATAACTCGAAAAACTCATACAGCAACTAGCAATGCTTTCATGATTTCTATTAATCCATCATATACATAACCATCCTAGAGCAATCGGGTAAAAATAGAATGAAAATCAATCTTTCTTTCTTCTTTCTTTTCAGCCAAATGACGTCCACTGCTGGACAAAGGCCTCCCCCAAGGTTTTCCACAATGAACGGTCCTGCGCTGCCCGCATCCAGGCTCTTCCCGCGACCTTTACCAGATCGTCGGTCCACCTAGTAGGAGGCCTGCCCACGCTACGTCTTCCAGCCCGTGGTCGCCACTCGAGAACTTCCCTGCCCCAACGGCCATCGTCTCTACGAGCTATGTGCCCCGCCCACTGCCACTTGATTTTAGCAAGACTGCCACTTGCTTGCGAAAATCAATATGTAACAATAACTCTTGATAAGTTCTCGTTTTATTTCGGCTATAAAACAATGCATAAAAGGCTGTGTGTCGTGCTGCTACTCGGGAGTGCTTTTAGCTGGCAATATGATGAACGATCGCAAGGCCATGTGTTTGAGACGAGGAGAACCGATCTAAGGTCTAACATGAATCAAACGTGTGAGTATCCCAGGCAAACCCAGTAAGAACCCAGAACCCAGTAAGTTTAACCGCCTCTGTGGTCTAGTGGTAAGACCACCTGCTTCAGACGCAGAGGTCCCGGGTTCGATTTCCAGTGAGGGCAGATTTTTCTGTTCGGTTTAGTTGATGGTAAGGCTTGAATGAAAAAGCCTAGGATGCGCTCCGCGATAAGCGCCACGCCATTTTGGCTTATTATCGGTTTTGCCCATACATTTTCGGCGCGCATCCTAGCCTTTCAGGGCAGGCAGGGGAAGGCAAGACTTGTAGGCGGTGAATGTGACAGTTACCATGTAGGTAGTACACCTACTTAGCCACGGGGATTTTTAAAGTAGGTCTGCATAGCTAAATAAGGACGGGGTGCGGGAAAATTTTGCCATACAAAGTTTACTATTCATGGTATAGTACCTATATTGTGTAATTTATTTAGGTGCCTAGCTTTTTTGCTTCTTTATTTTGGCCATTCTTAGCAGCTGCGTATAGCCGGGCCTTATTATAATGTAGGTACTTAGATAGAGATTAGAGAGTACATCATAATAATATACTCTGTTGCACACCACTGCACGAAACTAGCAAATAAAGAAATATATTCGAAACAGAACAATTTAGGCGGTCTTATCGCTATGACGCGATCTCTTCCAGACCACCGGGGTAGAACAACTAAGATTTTACACAATTCTTTCAGTTTTCTCCTCTCTAGAGAACTACCAAGTGCACGCAGAACCGACCACAGAGGCTCGGTACCCGTGGATCGCTCGCGTGGTGCACTCCAGGACACAAGACATCCCCCACATGTGCACAGCTGCCTGTATTGAAGAGAGGATCTTTATAACGGCTGCTAGGTGCATCTATAAGTAAGAATTGTTTTAGTTAGGGCTCTTTTAAATAGGTCTATTTTTTAATAAGTAAAGCTTGATTGTAGTTCGGTGGGAATTTCGTCATCGCGAGTCGCGAACGAACGTAGAAAAGCTTTAGGAGCACTAAAAAAACAGTTTTTCTGTTAGTGATATTGCCATTTGTAGTCAATGTTATCCATGGCTACCTAAATAAACTCCGACAAACTACTCAAACAAAGACGTATCCTTTGTCTGAGTAGTACAGTGTCGAATCAGTCATGTCGATATTCAGTAGTGTCGAAGTAACGTTTGTCGGAGTTTATTTAGGTAGCCGTTATCCATCTGGGGATTCTAGAATATCCGCGTTGAACTCTCTGACCCTGTCTGAGAACGACTAAACCACGTGGTTGCAGTATGACTTTGTGAATGCGATCCAATGATTTTCTCTTTTTTTAGCTTAAAAGTCCCTTACACGACGGTTCTGTACCTGTACTCACGGTTACCCGCCCAAGCATTCGTGGTGCCTTCCAACGGTTCGAAACAGGCGTTCGATGACATCGGGTTCATAGTCGTACAGGACGCCTACAAGGGAGTCTGGGCCACCATAGCACTGTTTGATAAAACCAATAGGACGGATGACGGGTTCAAGTGGTTCGCCGATTTGAACCTTTCTTACGGACCAATAGAGCACAAAGTTGTGGGATATGCCACTGAGAAGGTAATTAAAGACGTATCGAATATTTCAAGTTAAATGTATGGGCTTATCATGCAAAATCGATAAAAGACAATACAAGTTTATCGTGGCGCGCATCCTAGACCTACAGGTTGACTGGAAGAGAATGCCCAACATGGGGCTTTACGTTAAGCTTTTGTACCCTGTGTAAATAAGTTTAAAATAAACAGTGGACAAAGTTTTTGTACCCATAGTAGGTACTAAATCGTAGACTCTTGTAATTTTCAGGGAATCCACAGAATAAAAGCAGCCGACCGAAAGTTTGACCTCAGCGAACTAATAGTCATCGTCAGCATCAACATATGCAACACCATTCTCACGTTCAACCACCAGATAAAAGGCTTTCACGTGCCGTGCTACCACTCCTGCAACCTCCACCAGTTTCAGTACAACGACGACAAATGCAAGAAGTACCACGGCGTGGAAGGAGGCGTGATATTTGATACCAGAACTAACAAATTATTAGGTAATAATGTCGAAGAGAGTGCCACAGTCGCCTGCTTCTTTGACTCCCAACTAATTGGTCCACCCGTATCGTAAAACTGTGTACGAACGACGATGTACACGGACCACTGTTGCACCGTGATTCCTAATTTACCGCCCGAAGCAGTCACAACTGCTTGAGCAGTTCACGGAACGTTTACGTAAAATAGGCCTACAATAGTTTGCTATACTATCTCAGCTTGAAGCTATCGATACTAAAGCCCGGTCCGTGAGCACGTAGAATTTTGTCCAATGACCCCTAGCTACCCATCCTTATCGCTCGCGAGTAATTAGGTATGTTGCTATCGCGCTCGCACACTCACTGCGGGTGCCAGTCGCACAGTCGCGACAGCAATATAATTACTCGCGAGCGATAAGGATGGGTAGATAGGGGTCATTGGACAAAATTCTACGTGCTCACGGACCAGACTATAGCTGCTTTCAAGCTATCCGTGTATGGCGAGACTTGTTGATCAGTTAAGAATAAAAAATGTTCCAGTCGCGGCATTCCTATAACTTCTATGCCTCGCTATTAACTACACGAGTTGTTGATACTTATCAATATCAACATTTTTGTGAGCAATATCTATCTCATATCATACTTCGCATGTTTTAAATAGTTTCTGTTTATTTAGGCATAGCAACATGGGGCCCATACTTTCGTAAGTACGAACTCCCAGTGGGCTTTGCCGTGCCGAACTCGGAGAATTTCTTCGACGATTACTCTTGCGCGAGACGGATCCGAAACGACAACGGCGAGTTGGCTGGTATCAGTTATCAGAGCCTGTGTGAAAATGCTTAATAAACGCTGCCTCAACACATTTTGTTTGTTTTTGTTCTCGGTGTCAATCGGTTGTTACAAAACATGATGTGGAAAGGTTGCAATTTAATATAAAAAATAATAAAATCGTTATTTACAAATATTACATTTTATTTACAATTAAAAAACCTTAAAACTTACAATAAATGGGAACTAAACCTATGAATTGTCTGCATTGAAATTGAATTTGAAGTCTGATCCAGAAAAGGTAAATTTGAAATCTTTAGAAGTATTCACATCTTTTACAGTTTTTGTAGAATCTTTTATTATTTTGTCTTCAATGGGTTGATTGCTTTCTTCTTCTGTTCTGACAGAACTGTTGTCGACTTCTTCAGGAGCTAAGTTGAAATTAAAACGAAACGAACTGTCTCCGGTTGAAAGGAATGCTGATTTCCGTAAAAATGTTGCCTTCGGTTTATCCATTGATTCAGTGATCTTCATCTTACTTGCCACTGAAATAAGATATTGTATTTTACATTGTAGGTAGTTTGTAGGTATAATTATTTTTTACATCTGTTATTTAGAAATTTTCTTATTAGATCTTTAAATACTACAAGTAGGTAAATTACTATTATACATACTTTTGGCCAGTTTTTTCTCTTCTGCTAGCATTTTAGCTCTGTAGTCCCCGAAGTGCGTCCTCATCAGCTGCCGTTTTCTGATTATAGGTTGCGTATTGTTTTTCAACACCGTAAGTACTTTCCATGCCTCATTTACTAAAACATACAAAAGAGAACATAATTATTTACCATTTATAGAATATTTTAAGTAAGTTTTATGGGTTACTGTTGTACAGTTACTGTAAAAATTGTTTTGCTATGTATTCTATTTGGATTCTAACCTATAAACTAATAACAGTTCTAATCGAAGGTAATTGATTACTTAGCTATATTATATTTAGAGACGATACTTATTCTGAACTTACGTTGCTTTTCAGTGCCTTTTTTCTCATTTAAAGTACGTTCTAACTGCTGAATACACCAACAAAGTTCCAGCTGAAATTGTCTCATAGTTTCTTCAGGATCTGCGTTATCCGACGCATCGTCCGCTTTGTGATGTTTTTGAATAGTGTTTGTCTTTCCTTTTGCATGTAATTTTGTTAATTTAGGCATATTTGCAATTAATAGAAATTAAAATCAATGCTGGAACAATTTGTTTTGTTTTGCTCACGTTTTCTGTCACGTTGACTTTGACAATTGACCACTAACAACGAAACAAACTTTTATTAAGTAGGTTAAGTGAACAGATTATAAAATTTCCATTTACATTGATTTATAACGATGCAAAAAAGCCGAGAATACCATCTTTCTTTTATTACCCCGATTGCAGCGACTTCCGCTCATGACGTAACGTGGGAAAATTATGAACTAATTCTATAACCTCTAAATTTAATTTTATGAATCGCTCAAATATTTTCACGAGATTTGTAGTATGCCGCTTGGAAAGTTTGGAAAAATAACACTATCGTGGTAATTACTTGAATAATCTTCAATTCCTGTTAAAAGTTAACTCTATCCTTTGTGTGGTGAGCCCTATCATTTTAAATACATACCAATAGAACTTTCATATATTTTGAAGTCGAATGTTCTTTCATGGTTTTTCACATTTTGTAACTAAAGATTTGTAAGTGTCGTTCCATTAGTAATTAAATAATATTGTAACTGCTTTGCGGTTAATTTTTTATGTCCTACCAGTCAGCCTAAATAAATATTTTGGTATTAGGTTTATAGTATCTGAGACCTTTATGAAATTTAAAATAATGTACATTTAATATACTAATTTCAGGGTAGCCATAACTGTATCCAGTTTGTCCTTGTTCGTGGTATCCAAGAACTACGTAAATGCCAGCCGCCTGGAGAATATGAAAGCAAGGGAACGCATGCGAAGGTCCAACGAAGGAGAGTACCCTGAAAGTTACAGAAAGTGACTCCCTTGAATTGTAAGTATTATTCTAAAATGTTCATATTCAGGTAAAAAACTCCTTATTCAATTGTTTCTCAATTTGTATCCTAAAAGTTGTAATTTATTCATAGTCTTGAATTAATGGAATGAAATTTTTTAACATTTAAACTTGAAAATGGGTTGCTTCAAGTGGGAATTGAAAGACACCAGAAACCAGAGAGCAATAAACTATTAAAATTTTAAAGTTTGATGCTTGCAATAATAATTGGACCCATTTATGCAAACAAGAACCAACCCACAGCAGGGTGGTTTCGAGAAAATGAGACTTTTGTAAAAACAGTGCGCAAAATGCATACATAATATATAAATGAATGATTACTTGTTAATTTTATGTGGGATACTGCAGCCTATCTAGGAATATCAGATTTATAAATTTTGTAAAGTTAAAGTTAAAGTAAATCGTTAAAAACCGGTTGGTTCTTTCTTGCAAAATCATTTTTTGTTGCTTAGTTCCTTCTTGCAAAATGGATGTAAGATTTCATTGTTGTGATTATCTAAAATTAAAAGTCATTCTATATAAAATATAGATTTTAATGCCTTTTATTAGATAGTGAATTGGAATCACGAACCCTTTAAACTAAAATCACTATTATTATCGTCTTCTACCTCAAAATCGATAGGCCCGGTAATACTGTCGATATGGTCTTCTATGTTGCTGCTTTTCAGGGTTTTGTAGAAATTGTGTGTGTCGTTTCGGTATTAGATGCAGAATACTTTTAATATTCTGTTAGTTTAGCCTCAGATATAGATTTTCCTGTAAGCTAAAGTAAGTCCATATCATTTTTTGTCATCACGGCCTTGCTTCTGATATTTTTCTGTATATTAACTTCTTTGTGCCGTGTGGGAACGGCCATAAAGAATAAGTACTCTACCCTACCAGGAACAGCGTGTCATGAATGGCGTGTCGTAAGAGGCGCCAAAAACTCCTGCAGCACCGGACGGATCTCTAGCCCTGGCATTCTTTAACACTCGTACACTGCGGACTGACATGAGGCTCGCCAAACTCGAGGAAGAACTGAGCAGGTTGCGGTGGGATATCGTAGGATTATATGAAGTCCGAAGAGAGTGGGAGGACACCATAATCCTCAAATCCGGAAATCTGCTCTATTTCCGGGAGGGCGACCAGCAGTCCTAGGGTGGTGTCGGGTTTATCGTCCACAAGTCCCTTGTCAACAACGTGGTCCAGATCGAGAGTGTTTCGGCGTAGCGTAACTTATACTCAGAATCACCAAACGGTATTCGCTGGAGGTCATACAGGTATATACATACGCACCGACCACGGAACACCCCAACGACGAAGTAGATACTATGTATGAGGATATTTTCAGAGCCATTCATACCTCCCGGTCCCATTTTACCGTTATGATGGGGGACTTCAACGCGAAGCTGGGTAAACGAAGCGATAGTGAGCTGAAAGTGGGGCAATTTGGGTACGGCGAGAAGAACGCAGGTGGCCGACTGCTGGCTGGCTTTATGGAGAGGGAGAGCCTCTTTATGATGTACTCCTTCTTCAGGAAGCCAAAGCAGAGAAAGTGGATATGGCTGCATCCCAATGGCGCTATAAAAAATGAGATCAACTTCATCTTGTCGACGTAGAAGCATATATTAAATGATGTATCTGTGATCAACTCGGTCAAAACAGGAAGTGATCAACGAATGGTAAGAGGCACATTGAATATCAGACCCAAGCTCGAGAGGTATCGACTGATGAATTCTACGCTCCGCGCAGCGTCCATCCAACTAAAACCCCGAAAGCTTTCAGCTCGAGTTGCAAAATCGTTTCGAATGCCTAGGAGATTGAGAAAATGTGGACGAATACAATGACAGGTTCGTGGAAATTGTTCAAACGACCAGTAGTGTGGACAATTGGGTCTAAGATCTTTAAAAACCGTCGTTCAAAAGGAACCAAAAAGATCTCTGACTTCACCAATAAACTTATGGAAGAGTGACGAAACTTGGTTCTGCAGTCCTCTGAAGATGCTGCTCGGTATTGGCGTCTTAACAGACAGATTTCCAAGTCTTTGACTCGCGACCTACCCCAATATAATACAGACCATATAAAAGAGGCGAATGAGCGTAATAAGGGCTCTAACTTCGTTCGAATGAGATCTGTCTGTTGGCCAAAGCCTACTGACCAAGCTGAAGACCGAGGATGGCAGAGACATCTCGTCGGGGCTTGAGTTATTGAAAGAGGTTGAGAAGTTCTACGGATAATTATACACGAGTGTACATACACCTGTCACAAATCTTGCTGAAAACCCAAGAGCTAGATTTACCCGACACTATACCAAAGATATCCCGGACGTCAGCCTTTACGAGATTAGAATGGGTCTCAATCAGCTGAAAAATAACAAGGCACCGAGTGATTATGGAATCACGGCTGAGCTTCTGAAAGCAGAGGACGCCGGTACTAAAGATTCTTCAGAAGCTGTTTGATTCTGTCATCCTTGAGCAAAAAAACGCCTACGGCATGGCACAGTAATGTGGTGATACTCTTCTTCAAAAAAGGCGACAAAACCTTGTTGAAGAACAAATTATAGACCCATCTTACTTCTGAGCTATGTCTACAAGCTGTTTTCGAGAGTCATCGAGAATCGTCTCATTCATGAGCTGTCAACGTCGTTATTTCGTTTTGAAGAACAGGCTAAGGTCATAGGATCATACTATTCATACTGCTTCGTTTCATTTTTTTCGAGTAGAGTTTTTCAATGCATAAATTTATTCATCAAATTTTGTTATTATTTATTAAGACATTTTTTATGATAAAGGTACAAACGCAACGATAAGAACGGATTTTTTATTTTTAAATAGCTTAATTTTAACACTTTCAAGAACTATGCTACATGGTTTCTTCAAGACTAACCTGATTTCCACTAAGCAAACAATCTTTGGTTCTGTTTAGTTATAAAAATTTTGTAACAATTTTTGCTAAATGGAACCAACCAACATTGGTTCTAGTTTGCATAATTAGTTTAAATAAGTGCTTAGGGACCATGCTGTATAGTTCTTTATAGTTTTTAAAAGTTGGCCAAAGCGGGTTGGTTCCGCAAGTGACAGTGCTGTATCTCTGTTGTTAGTCGTTAAAAATGTACCATAATTTTTTTGAAGATAGAATGCGTTATTTGAGCGCCATCTATGTACTTAACTCAATTTCACTCAAAGTGTGGGTTGGTTCCTGTTTGCATAAATGGGTCCAATTATGAAATGCTAAAGTAGCTAATAACAGCTTTTCTTTGAGATTTAGCAATTAAAACAAACAGTACAGACTATTAAGTTTTTTGTTGTTGCACATATTTTGGTTGATCACTTTTCTTCTTACACATTACAGGTACTGTTACTCGCAAGCTTTTACATCACCGATTGAGCTTCCAAGATGGCGGTGCCCCAGCTTGACCCTGCGAAGCTGCAGCTTGTGCAAGAGCTTGAGATCGAGATGATGTCTGACATGTACAACCGACTCGTGAGCGCGTGTCATCGTAAATGTATACCTGTGAAGTACCATGAGCCTGAGCTAGGTGGGTTGCAATTCTATATTTCTTCTTAGGGTATGTGTACAGCACGTTTGTACCGGTACAGACGCGATACACAGGCAAATCGGACTGCTCTCGGGGAAAAAAGAGCACTATCGACGCGCTTTTGTCGTTGGTGCATTTAAAAACGTGGTGTGCACATGCCCTTAGTGTTTTATGTAGAATTATACACTAATTCTATGCTTGATTATCCTGTAAAATATTTAACATTATTGGCTCTGGTGAGCTAAAGGAAGCTTCAAATTGCCCCAAAGTGTCACATTGATGGTAAATTGATAATATCAAGTATATGAGAATTTAGCTGATAGATATACCTAATATCCTAAATAAAAGCAATAATTTTTCCCCTTTAGGGTCAGGGCCAGTATTGTTTACAAAGATAACATTTTACTGACTTTGGTGTTTCTAGCTAAGCACTTTCAAATATTGAATATTTTCTTTTCGTTTTCAGGCAAAGGCGAATCCGTCTGCCTTGACCGTTGTGTCGCAAAATACTTGGACGTGCATGAACGCATCGGCAAGAAGCTATCCAACATGTCCCAGGGCGGAGACACAGAGGACCTCACCAAAATGAACCTCCCAGAAAAGAAATAATATTAGTGCACGGAGGTAACTTGCAAAGAATCATAATTTTATAGTACTTGCCACACTTGTACCTCATTAATGAAACTGTACCTCAGATATCCCTGATTGTACTGGTGACATATTTTTTATATAATTTAAATTAACTTGTGAAGGTGCACAATACAATGGAAATTCGTATACTATTTGTGCGAATTTGTATGTAAATAAGAATTCTGAGAGTTTAGAAATATGTCGCCCTAATTTTGCCATAAGTCCTATTTAAAAATCGATTATTTCGGGAGGTGGGGCATAATCGATTAATTGATAAATCTATTATTCGGCAATGCTGTCTCCTAATAAATTTGATTAACTTATAAATACAGTTTCTAGTGTGGTTGTATGTTTTAAAGTATATTATTGTTGTTAAAGTTACCAATAACCTTTGCTTTCATTGAGTTACGATATTGAACGTAAACAATTTGAATCAATATCAATGATAGTGAGTCTTGTGATGTAATGATTTACGTCATAGTATTGTTCGCAGATCTTGATAAATATTAATTCACAAGATTGCTTGAAATAATTACTTTCTTCAAGTTGATCAGAGCTGTAACAAAATATAATTATGCGAGATAAATCATTTGATTTACTAATTTTAATCCTAGTCGAAACTTGAATTTTTCAACGGCTTGATTCAACAGCATGCAATCCATGTACTTACTGAATTTCCTTGCAAGTTACTGTCCATAAACTTAGAACAATAAAATACAAAACTAAAGCTCCTATTACTTTACAAATACGATATTGTTGTGAATATTATTTGACATCTTGTTTGAACAGAATCCTGTTCGCCTTTACATGCATTTTTAGTACGAGTGATTTATTTAGTTTGTTATTGTAGTGATTGAATGGTAGTTAACAAATTGTTAGAAATAAAACTATATTATAAAATTTTCCACTTTTATTTCATATTGCACGACACATAATATTTCAAATAACTATAAAATCTAGTCTACAGTCTAATACACTCAGTGCTACTTGTATTTTGATTTTGTCTGACTAATATCTACAAGACCGAAATTGTAGCCCGGCTGGTAACACTTTATAAGGTTAGCCAGAACAAAAACATTTACACAAAAGAATACGACACCCTTCAACCAAATAAGAATGAATATTTCCCGACATTTAAATTCCAGTAAGTACGCGTAATATAGCCAAGCCACTTGTGCGGAAACCCAGAGCATTATCAAGATTACACCTTTAGAAGCCTTCAGTCTAAAGTTATGCACAACCAAAGGTAGAAGCGACNGAAGCGATAGAAACCAAATGAAGTACTGTGACGTCATCACGCTGTTGTAAGCCACCATGACCACTGCCTGCGAGAATAAGGCGAAAGACAATATTTTTGGATCGCAACCAAAAGTCAAACTTAGGACGAAAAGTATAACAATCTCGAAACCTTGTGTCACTGCTTTGATTATATCGAAAGAAAGCAGATCGGTGGTTATGTACGAATAGTAGAAAAGTACGGAGAAATTGTGCCTCGTGTCCTTTCTGAATAAGTGGTAGATATAGGTTTCGAAGAGAAACTCGTAGCCGTATAGCAGATACATGCCATAGGTGAGTAAAAACAAAGTAGTGACGCAGCTTAGCGCGAGAATTATTTGTTTCAAATTAGGCACGAGCGATAGGAGTCCATCTTTGATGCTGGTTCGACGATTAATTTTGTATTCGCCGAGGGAAAGGTACATGGGGAAACTGAACGCTATAGGATATAAACGTAAATGTATTGAAATGCCCAGTAAAATGCCGGATAACGCGTATTTTGATAGCCCTTTTACGACATCAGTCTGCAGGCAGAGCAAGGATAGTATGATGAAAAAACATGGCACCGAGTCTGCGTTGCCTCGCGACGATATAGTTACGCTAAGAGGGTTGTACAGCCAAATTAGCGAGCAATACAAAGAAGTTTTCAAAACTTTGCCCTTGGCTGACGCGCCTAGCTGTTGTTCTACTAAATTTTTGACAGCGACCGTTACGAGGATGTCGAAGATGGAAAAGATGATTTTCCCAACATACTTTCCTGCGAAGATGTTAGGTGTCATCAGGTAAGCTATTATGGGGCTGTAACGGTAGGTGTGGCGTTCGTATGGTGACTTTCCATCAAGGACGTGTCTGGCTGCGTCCGTGAAGACTTTGTAGTCGACATCTGTATATGGCAGTTCGTGGATCATGTCATGGATTTCGCCGTACAACACCATAACCAGCCTGAGTACAAAGCCGATTACGAGATGCCGCTTGAAAGGCAGATTCACGAACTGCCACAGCCATAAGTCTTCTATATTCATATTTTAGTTTTTAAATTTTTCGCTGCAGACTGTAAGCAGCCCTTGAATTCTTGGAACTCCTTGGCGCAGTCGTCCTTCTTGAGTCCGTCTTCCTTGTGTAGAACGCACGTGGCGTACAGAGTAGCTTGCTTGGCGCACTTGGCGAATATGACGGGATATTTGGCGAACCTCTCCCGCGCTTTGGAGACAGATTCCATATCAATTGTCTGTTTTCAGATGGCCTGCTCTCCGGGAGAATGTTGTCGGAGGCTCGGCAAAGTTGTCTTCTCTTACAGTGAAAAGCAAGTCGTAAATGGGCTTCGAGAAGAAAATCCCTGTGGCAAGAAGCGTGAAGGTGATTTGAAAAGTCTTTGGGTATCGGAAGATCCAACTCCTCTTGCCTAGTGGTTGGCTCCGACGATGTTTGTCCATATCTCTCTGGAATAAAAAAAGAAAACACATTATTTTGCAATTTGGGAAATATTTACATTAAGTAAATACGATAAGAGTACTTAAATCTACGAGAATAGGTACCAAGTTTCAACAGCTTATAAAAGTGTGTCTATTGACAGGGTGTCCCTAGGGTGTGATGTGCAAATATCTAAAGGAGCGCCGGCCGATAACAATGTCGATCTACCCTCATTCAGAACGTAGGTAAGATAGCCAGTTCCTCTGTTGTGTGATGTGTTAAGGATTCCGGGTGAGGCTGTCTTCCATAGAATTCATTTCTATTTTGTGCTTCCACCTGCAGCCTGATCATCACTTTCCATCAGGTTAGATGCAGGCCAAAAGCTTTCTATGAATAAACAAGAAAAACCTCGGACGGACAGACAGACATGACGAAACTATAAGGGTTCCTTGTCAGGACTACGGAACGGAACCCTAAAAATGACGAAGTAAATAATGATTACTTACCTAAGTTGGTCTATCCGTGACCGGAGCGAACTGACGCGGCTCCAAGTCGTAACCGTCGCACACCAGCGACACCGGCTTATGCTTGATGCAGCACTGGCGCATAGCCTCGAATATTCGGGAGCAACGCACCTCCTGGAAGTTATTCTCTGTGGACAATAAAATCAATGGTCAGAAAACATTTTTTTGCGTCGGGACATGGCCAGTGTTTGTGAGACTCTGGACCGAAGGGCGGGGCCTACCCACTGAGCCTTGGCGCAGACCACCAACTGTTAGTTGGCCGATAGTTGAGTCGGGCTGTTAATCAGTATGGAGATGTATGAAAGTGCGCACATTACGCCGATTTGGTATCGGCCAATTCTTCATACAAATCAGAATCGGGCCCAACTATCGGCCAACTAAAAGTCGGTGGTCTGCGCCTAGGCTAAACCCCGACGGTGTTCTCCGAGGCCAATGTAAAGGAGCTGCGAGTAAGTATTGTCCTAAAATTGGACATTCGCGCGGCTTTAGTCAGAAACCCTAGGGCGATCCCTACGCGCAATGATTTCAGTTTGTAGGTTAAGTTTGAAGTCACTCGTCGTAACTTGGCGGTTACTAGGGCTAGCTAGCATGCTAGTTGTTCGTTCAGTATTTTACTACTTAAACGCCATAAATCGATATCTAACTCAAATCAAAGAAGGCAAAATGTTTGTTTTCACTACTAGTCAGTAAAGACTACAAACTTGTTATTCCTTCTTGATGTATGGCGCTTGCGCTCGTGATTTTTGGTATTTCTTAGGGGAGTATTACATACAGTAGTTCACTTCACGTGCCTGAACTTTGCAAATGGCTGAAATGACTATGATATCCTAAAAAAGCAAACCACTCAATCATAGTGAGTTTTGAACGGAAAAATAGCACGATGCGTAAACAAACAAGCGTCCAACTTGCGATATACCTAGTTAGGTTAGTAAGCAATCAATTAAATTGTTGACTATAAGCAATCAGCTTCTGAGGTGATCACGAAGGTCGTTCCTCTTATCTATTCATCTATTGAACAATTACTTACTTCGTGCTAACCATTCTCAATTTGCACGTACCGTTAATACAGATAAAACCTATTTTAAATGCGAATTGGTGATTTGTCTATTGCCTTCACGCATAAACCATTGAACCAATTTTGATAAATAGGTTCGACCCAAGTTTTTATTCCGGTTCCGGCTGACCAAAATTCACGCGGGTTAAGCCGCAGTCGCGGGCAAAAGCTTGTATGTGAGCTTGTAAATAAGTTAAATAGGTATTAGGGGCGCAGCTACCGCTGTATCAATGATAAGGGGACTCTGCGACCAAAGGTCCTCTTTTAAATGAAAAGTCCTCCTTGATCCTTAATTCCTGAGTTATTTTGCCCCCAAGATTATACTTAGGGCCAATCTAAGGCACGCTACGCCACCGCATTGATACTTAACCGACTTTCTAGTAACCACTTGCGGTCACGAGTTCAGTTCAGTTAGCTGCTTTAGAGCTGAAGATCATATTACTAGAAAGTCGGTTAAGTATAATTGAGTAATATTATTACTCAATTACTCATGTATCATTTAGTACCAAATAAATATTTTTTCTTTCTTTCTTTCAGACAAATTGTCGCTATTTGATAGTGTTGTAACTTATACCTAACTGTAAAGGCTTACGATTAGAAAAATCTTCCAAACTTTCCTTTTAACGATTCGAGATCATCTTCTGTACCCTGAGCACGAATAACTCTCGTAGTCGTATTCTTATAATAAGCAAACATAATATCGCGAGCGACATTTTATTCCTGCTACGTGTTCTGTTTGAAACAAAATAGTAAAATTGTACCGATTTATGATACCTTGCTTGTTTACTACCTTTTCTTCATGTGGGACGTATTGTAAACTAAGGCCCTGCCCCCCTATACAAAGTAAAAATTCCTAACAGATAAAATGTGATAGCACGATAGCTTCAACGAAGTACTAGGTAACAACTACATACCTAGGTAAGGTACATTAGCATTTCTACGAAAACGTAGAGCTAGATTACGAGGGGGTCGCCGGGCGGCAGGGCGGGGAACTAAAATCAATATGCAAGTGCAAACAGACGGGAGAGCTTTATTTTATTTTTTATTTATAACTAGCTTCGGCCGTTACCAACCGGGCAACATGGAAAACATTGGGGGAGGCTATGTTCAGCAGTGGACGTTCTATGGCTGAGATGATGATTAACTAGCTTCGGCCCGCAGTATCGCCCATGTGAAATTCAGTTTGTCACTTTTTAAACGTTTTATTTATAACCTGCCATTCTACTGATGTATAAACAATAATAGGTACTATGGTTTCATCAAAATCCGTTCAGTAGTTTTTGCGTGAAGAGTAACAAACACCANTACCTACGAGTATGCCATACCTACCTATTTATTATGTATGTTTAACTCTGACTGATTTAAAGACCGAAAAATTTGTTAACTGTCTGTTAGGTTACGTACTCGTGCCTCCTCGTAAAGTTTATTCAAGTCGTTATCCTAAAGAAAGAAGAACGGTCATCTGTGACCCAGGCCCGACAGAAACGAGACATACCTCTGTTTTTTTGTCATGTCTTAATTAGTTAAATTATGTATTTTTTATATTCGAAATTTCGAAATCTATGTATAACATCAAAATATTACCCTTTGTTTTTGTTCAGGCGTTATTAAAAAACTTATACAAAATGGCTATTTATCACCAAAATTGGTAAATGTATGTACCTAAATGTCTATTACAGCTGCTATGGAATGTATCTAGGTGACCTGGAGATACAGCTGGATTATACAGGGTGAAAATAAGAAGTTACAAAATCCAAAAATGTAATCTTACCAGCTTCCATAATCTGTAACCTATTATTGGTACCATTTGAAAGAGCTCGTGAAGCACTTTCAGAATCAGTAACTAGTTTTTCGATATCTTGTATAGTTTAGAAATAATCGAGTGAGATCACTTATCGTTCCATATATATATATAACCACCCTGTATAATCCGGCTGTATCTCCAGGTCACCTAGATACATTCTAATATAGCAGCTGTAATAGACATTTAGGTACATACATTTACCAATTTTGGTGATAAATAGGCATTTTGTATTAGTTTTTGTATAACGCCTGAACAAAAACAAAGGGTAATATTTTGGTGTTATACATAGATTTCGAATATAAAAAATATATAATTTAACTAATTAAGACATGACAAAAAAACTGAGGTATGTCTCATTTCTGTCGGGTCTGGGTTTTTTTTGTATGGGGCGTGACCGTTCTTCTTTAAAAAATTATTAAAAAGTGTTTTTTTGTTTATAAAAAAAACTATTTATCGTAATTTTGCTACATATTTGGACTTGTGTCCTTTGGAAAACTAGTGATTCAATTTTAGCTCCAGATTTTTTATTTTATTTTATTTGTTTAACAATGTTTCAACAGCATTAATTTGTACATAAATGTGCAATTTTATTGTTATTTATCTTTAAAGTACACGCGACTTTATGACTTTTGTTCCTTTAGTTAATAACTAAGTTATGATTATTAGTTAATATATTACCAAAATAAGTGGTACTAAATTCTAATATTGATTGTTGTGCATTGAAGTAGGTATATTAGATTAAAAAAACTGTGTTTTTATTAAATTTCAACCGATTTCAAGAGTTTTAATTAAAAGACTCGAGACCCGAGAAAACTCGAGATTTTCGCCTCGAGAATTCCCGAAACTCGAGAAAAAAAATAGGTCGAGAAATCAGAAACCCTAGTAGGTATCCTAAAAAAACAAACCACTCAATCATTGTGAGTTTTGAACGGAAAAATAGCCCGATGCGTAAACAAACAAGCGTCCAACTTGCGATATACCTAGTTAGGTTAGTAAGCAATCAATTAAATTGTTGACTATAAGCAATCAGCTTCTGAGGTGATCACGAAGGTCGTACCTCTTTATCTATAGAACAATTACTTACTTCGTGCTAACCATTCTCAATTTGCACATACCGTTAATACAAACAATATCCTTAATAAAACCTATTTTAAATGCGAACTGTGTGATTTGTCTATTGCCTTCACGCATAAACCATTGAACCAATTTTGATAAATAGGTTCGACCCAGGGGATAGTTTTTATTTCGGTTCCGGCTGACCAAAATTCACGCGGGTTAAGCCGCAGTCGCGGGCAAAAGCTTGTATGTGAGCTTGTAAATAATTTAAATAGGTATTAGGGGCGCAGCTACCGCTGTATCAATGATAAGGGGACACTGCGACCAAAGGTCCTCTTTTAAATGAAAAGGTCCTCCTTGATCCTTAATTCCCAAGTTATTTTGCCCCCAAAACAATTTGATATAGGTACTTAGGACTAAGGACCATCTAAGGCACGCTACGCCACCACTGCATTGATACTTAACCGACTTTCTAGTAACCACTTGCGGTCACGAGTAAGTTAGCTATTCTAGAGCTCTAAGATCATATTAGGTACTCATGCGAGCAAATTGTTGCTATTGATAGTGTAACTTAGTACCTAACTGTAAAAGATTACGATTAGAAAAAGCTTAGTTACACTAAGGTTCTAATTCCCGTTTTCACCATCAATCCCTATTTTTTAAGTGACTCCTATGACAACAAAATTCCTGTTATTTCTTACCATAGGGGTCACTTAAAAATTAGGGATTGATGGTGAAAACGGGCATAAGGCAAACATTCCTTTAAACGATTCGAGATCATCTTCTGTACCCTGAGCACGAATAGCTCGTAATCGTATTCCTTCCTATAAACAACCGTAGCGAGTTTATTTTTCATCCAAAATAAACGATAGCTCTATCATAACGAGAGCGACATTTATTCCTGCTGCTTTGAAATAAAATAATAAAATTCTACCGATTTATGATACCTTGGTCAGTACTTTCTTCATGTGGGATGTATTGTATTAAGTAAGGCCCTGCCAGGGGGCACAAAGTAAAAATTCGTAACAGATAAAATGTGGTAGCACGATAGCTTCAACGAAGTACCTAACTACCTACTAGGTAACAACAACTAGATACCTAAGTACACTAGCATTTCTACGAAAACGTCGAGCTGGATTACGAGGGGGTCGCACGGGCGACAGGGCGGGGAACTAAAAATCAATATGCAAGTGCAAACATACGGGAGTGCTTTATTTTATTTTTTATTTATAACTAGCTTCGCCCGCTACCAACTGGGCAACATGGAAAACATTGGGGGAGGCCAATGTTCAGCAGTGGACGTCCTATGGCTGAGATGATGATGAACTATCTTCGGCCCGCAGTATCGCCCGTGTGAAATTCAATCTGTCACTTTTTAAACGTTTTATTTATAACCCGCCATTTTTCTGATGTATAAACAATAATAGGTACTATGGTTTCATCAAAATCTGTTCAGTAGTTTTTGCGTAAAGAGTAACAAACATGTATGGATGGAATTTTGCGTTCTACATTTTGTATAGCAAAGGAAACCCTTGATGTCACTAATATTTAAGTTATTCTTAATCTAATATTGAATTTAACTAAAACTTGAATTTCTAAGTACACCTATTTTTTTTTTGTTTTAATTACTGATTATGTGGGTCATTACAGCAAAACGTGACCTCACATTTCCGTTTAAAGCAGTTACAACTTTTCCCTAAACACATTTAATGGATAGACATAAATAAACGTTTTGCGTTTTGATTGACTGACTCATTTCAGCTGATAACAACTGATAAGGCTACAACGAAAATCGCCAATTTGTATGGTAACGGACACGGAAAGTGGGCAGAATCAAATGAAAAAAACTATATCAGCAATTTATACATATATTTTATTAACAATATGATATAATCGACATGCGCTCTTAATCTCATTACAAAAAAAGATATTTTATACAATATGATACTAAAATCAAACAATTTAAGATATAGGTATAACAGAATAATGTTTTATATAACATGGACTTTCTCCTAATTTACATAAATTAATAACTATTTTAGGCTGACTGCAGGCGTAGGTTTCTTTGTATGTTCATACTTCATATCGTCATTTAAACAAAATTGCACAGAAAGCGGAAACATTCAATAGTTTGTATTAACTCTCTAAAATAACCATACCCGCAGCCAGCATTTCTTTAGAACTAAATCATCACTATATTTTAATATTATATCCCATAATTACACATTTCAGTATACTTTTTACAGACAATAGTCTCAACATAGATTCATTTGTTTCAACTATGATGAAAGTTGAATCGATAAATATTTTGCTTTCGTTGTGTACCTGAGGGAAGCGTGAGAACCTGTGAAGTCGTACTTTCAAGTGTGTTGTTGCATTACTCACAGTATTCGATCCCTAATATTCCAAACTCAACAAAGATCCAATTGATCCCAGCTTCATATGACAGTCTAAATTGAAACAAATTGATGGTAGGTACACAAATGTTACTATCATTGTTTCTACAATGATATGTCGATCGAAATAATACATAATGAAATAACGAAGTAAAAGGTGCGCCTATATCAGTTATTTACCTAAATATTTGATTACTCAATGGAACTGTAGGTACCGTTTGTATGTAACTGAGGCATGTTCTCCAATTACATGATGGCACACAAGCACATACAAGATTATGATTCATAGTTATTTCCTTTTAAAACATATTAGGCGTTGTAGTGCTAAGCCTTTTTGACCATTCAATGAATATGAGAATATAAAATAGTGTAATAAGATATTTTACAGTATTAAATGATCACATGAGATTATCCAACACCAATATTAGTACTACTAAACATCCGTCTTCCGTGTCTGAGATAAGTGTGCTGAATTTGAATGTATTAATAAAAAAATATTAAAAAACGTAGCTGCAAAGCGAAGACTAACAATAATATTGCTCAACAATATTGTGCATGTCTTATTGTTTCAACTAAAATGCAAGCTCATGACTCTTTGGACGTAATATTAAATAATTTTGACATACTAATAGTCAAGAAAGTAACAATAATATTATGCAAATACTCCTATCTGACATTGAATTTGTATTTGAAGCAATAATAAGTTTAAAGTCGATGTCCACTGTTTAGATAATTTATACATCCACAAACAAGTGATAAGGTGACCAATGAAACAGGCAGGCACTACAATATTTTATCTTTTAAACTATCCAACCAAACACAAAAATATATCTATGTACACACAGTGCTTATTTAGCAGCTAGTTACTTAATTTTATTCGTGATTTTGTTTCTATCGCAGTCTGGTAAAACTTAATTGGATAGTAACTTTTGGCTTATGAATCATCTTCAAGCCCAAAACATCATTTTTATGACTTACGACTCCATTGTTGTGTACATGTACACATTGAAGTCAGTCATGATACAGGACTTCATTTGATGAAGTATTTTTTATTAACATTATTGCATATTTTCAATTATATCTAACTGCACACAGAATGTATCAACATCTTTAAAAGTCTAGTGATGGTTTCTAATATTTTTGTAAACTTTTATGTTAGAACAGAGCAATGTACACTTACAGTAAAGTAAAGTAACTCAATTTTAACAGTGCATTCACTGCACCATTGCAGTTANTGCAGTTGTTTCAACATGAAAATTAGTTATCCATACCATAACAATTTCAGTTTATTACTATATGGGCTCTTCTTTTGTCCATTATACAATAGTTTTCAAGTAGGAAAACATACAGTTTATATCGCCGGCGACGGATAAGTCCACCGAGCAAATGCATATCGGCTATTGACTCGGAGTGGCTTCTACACTTTCTGGTCGGCTAAGGACTGGCTTCTCAGCTATCTGTGGTTTCTCAGCAATCAGGGGCTTCTCAGCAACTTGCGGCTTTTCAGTCATAATAGGTTTTACAGCTGCAACTGGTACCTCCACTTCATTGTTTTCAATGTGAGAGTTGGTCAATTTTTCCGTTATCACTTCAGAGGTGTCCTGCTCCATTTCAGAGGGTCCGTTGTGTTTGTCACCATCTGCCATGGAAGGTGAAACGGATCTTTGAAGGATGTTGTCTGGGTGAGATGGAGATATGCCTCTTGTGGAGTTGTCTTCGCTGGAGGCACTCAGTTGCCTGGGCATTGAGTTGCTTGGATGAGATAGGGTTTGTGGGTGGTGCGGATTGTGCAGAGGCAATCTAGACTTATCACTCTTCCTCCATAGTGTCACTTCTTGTTGCTTGAAGTAACGCCTGTCCTCTGTATCCATCAACACTAGGTTCAGATAATACCGCACAGAAAACTTGTTGTTTATGTCCCTCATAGTGGGTGTTAGATCATATCCAGCTAGGAATACTCTTATGGGAATGCTTTCTCCTCTCACTGGAGCACCGTCCATTATTTCATACTTGGCAACGGTTTCATTTTCAGTAAATGTATTGGGCCCAGAACCAGTGGTCTCTCTCTTTATTATCGATATTTCCATGTGCTTGATTTTGATACGGACAAGTAAGAAATAGATTTTACCAACTATCACATCTTTGAGGTGGTATTTTGATTTGTTGTACTCAAATTCTATGTGGAGACAGTCTTCAATCCCTACTTCCATTTTTATGGAATTGAGGACGTCGGGATAGCTGCATAGTGTGTGGACAGCAATATCAACCTCTTTTACTATGTCAGTGAGGCGCCGAACGATGGTCGCTCGTAGGAAATACCTTAGCCTGACATTTGCTCCAGTGTACACTTCATACGGTTTTTCGACGTTCGAAAACTCGAAAGGATACGATGTGTGCTGCAACAAGTCGCCTGGACGTGCCAGCTCTTTGACTAGCGAGATAAACTCATGATGGTTTCCTCTGTCGTAGAACAATTCGATCTGACCTATTAGTTCGACCTTGATTCCTTGGTGCTCGAGTTTGGAACCCGGTTTCCTCAATGTCACGTTCACTCTCCCCGAGACTGTCTCGCCGTCGTAATACAGCAACAACTTCTCCTTTTTACCGTCATCCGTTTTCACTTCGGCAACCTTCCGTTTGTCAGCATCATCGAAAACGATTTCGATATCCGCAGTCTGTCCGAACCCGAAAAAGCTCATTTTCACACCGAACTGTTACGCAAGAGACCGAAAAGTTTTTACGTGGCTTTAGAGAAGAAAAATAACGTTTTGGTTGAGCAAAACATTGAAAAACGGCGATGAAACGCCCGCGAATCCGTGGGACGATTGAAAGGTTGTAGCAAAGATGGCGACTGATTTTAATGTCGGCGGCTGTCGGCCGAGAGGTTCATAAATAAAAATATAGTGAAAGAACTCACCAACAAGGCATTTCTGGATCTCACAAGCGAATCTTTTGCAGGGGTCCTTCGACATAAATGTTTATTGATACTATTTTTAACTGGAAAGTAAAGTAAATTGTTGAATTTCAGTCATGTGTACATGAGTTTTTGATAATGGCAACAATTATTAATTGTGAAACAAAACGCAACATCTAATTAACATAAAATTAAATAGTTATTTAAATATTTGTATTCGATGAGGCTAAAAATTGTATTAGCTTCTTAAAAATATTAATTGATCAACTAAATACATTCAACAACTAAACTGACTAACTTTATTGTTATAATCTAGTCGATTACACAAAACGATTATTCGATCAGTCTATGGTATCTTACGTAATATTTTGTTGGACTTCTTTTCCCCCTCGGCCCACACTATTCCATAAATCTGTCAAGCAGTGCTGCCAACATAGCCCTTTTTAAAATTATAAATGGCGAATTACAAAATTTTCTAACAAAAGCGAATTGAATAAAGTGTGTTTATACTGGTTAGAATTACAATACAAATATGGAAATTACTCGCACCACCCTTGGGATTGCAGTGGGAATCGCTGGAACTTTGTTCCTGGGATACTGTGTGTACTTTGATCAACAACGAAGAAGGGATCCTATGTTCAAAAAGAAGCTCAGAGAACGTGGGTATTTTTCAATTATTTCTTTTAAACTGCTACTTAAAGACGCTGTAGTTACTAATACTGCATCTCCCATATCCCTGAATTAGGTCCATAAATTTCCATGTTCCATTTCAATTATAACCTAAAAGTTTGATCACCGTAACAAAAATGCATCTATCAATCAGTTTTGCTTCAATAACTTCCCTGATTTATTGCTTTTGAGCATTCATAGCACACATATGTTATACGCAGCATAACCATTCGAAAGTAGGTGAGTGACATTGTATGGTTGCAGTACTTGCCAATAATATACATAGATAAATACCACTACGGCGTTCGAAGTTCACGTTCATGTACTAATAATTACATAAAATATTTCATTTCTATTAACTTATAGTCCTTGCAACGCCTAAATGGTAATAAAGAGAAATGGAATGTCATGTTTCTCACAATCATTCATACTTGTCTTATTTATTCATAACATAACACTGTTTTTAAGTGAATAATAAATGAATACACAATTGTAAGAACGTCGTTTGGCTTACACTTTCTATCCATTATAATGAGTTGCTTAGACATCACTAGAATAAATTAAATAATAATTTAAATAACTAAAATATTACAGGCAGACAGAATGCTGCTAAGAATGCCTCACGGTCCCGAACGTTGGGAGGACCATTGCCGGATATGAGTGATCACGAAGCTATGCAGAGATTCTTCCTGCAACAGGTATGAAAGTGTTGCAGATTATTTTAAATTTCAAATTCCTTTTGCACAGTATCTGTAAAAAAAATACCACATGATTGTTATTGTGGCTTAATGCAGCTATGTGGTATTATGAGTTGCATATTTTTTAGTAATTTCATTCTTGCACCTAATATTTGCATACATTTTCAGAGAATTTGCAATCATATTGTGAACAATTTTATTCTAAAACAAATTAAAATCTAGAAGTTGTTTAAAAATTTAAAAGAAGAATCATCATACATTTTATTACCTAGATTAGTTTAGTGTAATGATGTCTAATAGACCACGACCATTAGGTTTCAGCCACATTACCCAAGCTGAGCTTTAGTACCTAGACAAGTATAATTAATTTTGATTACAAATAATTTACTTGTTACACGCAAAAAACAATAGATCATTGAAAGAAAAGAAAACATGTTTATTCAGTATCACACAGTCTTTATGAAAGTAGTCGGTTGGACTTGACTTTACCATTGTTTTTTTATTATAGATCCAGCTGGGCGAGGAGCTTCTGGCAGCAGGAGACCTCGAGGCCGGAGTTGAGCACCTCGGGCAGGCGGTGGCCGTGTGCGGGCAGACACAGCAGCTGCTTAGCGTAAGAATTGTTTTCTATAAACACTTTATTGCAAAACCTATAATAATGTAAATTATATAAAGTAGATGAGACAAATCGCGGCCATAACAGCGTATTACACTTGAAAAATTTTGATGGGTTCATCCAGTGTCTAAGTAGCTCATTTGGAAGAGTTCGATTTCCAGCTTAGGCAGTTCGATTATTTCAATTTGGTTGGGAGTGCATTTTCTGTACAATTTCATACACACGTCTCTGAAAGGCTGATAACACACTGATACCCCAATAGTGTTGCCATCAGGGTGGAAAAAATCACGATTTTTTTATTTTAATCAAAAAAATCAGATTTTTTTGAATAAATCGTGATTTATTTGATTTATATTGATTTTTTTGATTTTTATTCGATTTTGCAATCATTGCCTTAGTTTTTCATGCGGGAAACATATTTATTTAGGTACAATTGAGGTATAGTACTGGGAACAAGCCAAAAAAGTTAAATTATGTAAGATGGTATGTCATATTTTTACTGAAACAAGAAAAAACTCTTCAAAAACAGCTCGTCCTAAGTGGTGTCTGTTTCCATTGCAAAAACACGAATATCTTTTTACAAGTATCAATTTTATTTTTTTCGCAAAAAAAATCTATAGTGAAAATATTTTTTTCTAATTTTCCATACAGAACGTCTATTTCTTACTTGAACACCTAATATTAACATTGTTTTGAACATTACAGTTGATTAATATGCACTCCCAGCGTTGCATTAATTCCATTTTAGTATATTGATTTAAATCAGTGATTTTTATTAAAAAAATCATGCAATAAAAATCGTGATTTAAATAATGATTTAAATCAACATGATTTAAATCATGCAACCCTGGTTGCCATTATAGTAGATAGCAGGCAGACTTTATGAATAAGACCTTTTTGGGCAAACAAACATTGATGAAATGCTATTTGGATTTTAGTCCCCCTTATTTACAAAAAAATTACAGTTCTATTAGCATTCCACCCAGCCAAAATGTGCATGTAAATGGAAATTAAATTTAAACAATAAAGACCTAAGACATTGACCATAATTTTACTCAATATAGAACTACCAAGCCTAATCTCTACTGCTATGATGGACGCGCGTTACAAAATTCATTTCGTAATAATTGCATGTCTCCTACTTTTTTTGTGAAATACGATACTGTAAATACAGACTTGACGCCGCGTTGCGTATTATTGACGCGGACAAACGAAAGTGAATTTATTGTGCACACAAATGTGACATGAACATCGCGAAACATGTGTTTTGTGCGCACCGAGCTGGAAAATAGAATAAAATTTCATAAGAACGTAACAATAACAATGTTCTAATTATTGTGTAGTTTTCTGTCCTAAAAAGTTGTTTACGCAACTTGGGAAATATACCACATTTTATCAGTGAAAGTACTTTAGAACAGCGGTTCCCGAAAGGTGGTCCGCGGAACCCTGGGATTCCGTGGAAAGGCCGTACGTAAGGGTTCCGTAAAAAATATTATCCCAAGTTTCGTGACCGACGTTGTTCGTGCGCACCGACTTGTTTACGCACAAGGGAGGGGCAGGGCGTGCGGGCGCTAGGAAAAGTATAATCAATTAGGGTTCCTTGGCAAAAAAAAAATTGGGAAACCCTGCTTTAGAAGATACTATAGACTGGTGAAACCTTTTAAAACAAATACAGTCGAAATTATATTTTACATGCGAAATTAACTCCTAAAGCATAATTACGATGCAATTTGGTGTAGTTTGAGACTGAGCCTAGGGCAAAACATTAGTTTAAAAAAGTTTTTATATTAGTTTCTAAAAGAACATGCGCATATAATCTTTTCTGTGACAAACAGAAATTCACGAAGCTTGCGGTGAGCAACAGCTGGTATTAATATTGAGATTTTAACAAACTCCAATTTTCTTCTCACAGGTGCTTCAACAAACAATGCCGGCGCCGATCTTCCACCTTCTGCTGAAGAAGCTGCCTGAAGTGTCCGAGCGACTCCGCGCTTCTATGAAGGCCGCTGGCGGCAACGTGCTCCAGGAGGAAGACGTGGAATAAACCACACCCGGACACAGAAGGGAAGACTATTCAGTAATAAACACACGCTCTTATTATTCGAATAATCTCTCAACGTCTGTGCCCCGCTGGGTTTCTCAGTAGTTGATTTCACTATCAAATCAATCGGTCGATGAGTAAGTTGCTAACTATTTAATTAGGTATCTAATTTCAGTAGTTCTTCCACTTGCGTATTCTCCGGTCGATACTCGTAAAGTTTCATGATAGTGAGGATTTAAATTTTAAAATTTAGTCTTAGATTCTAACTTCTGTTACTTGCTTATTTATTATCATGCTCAACTTTTTTGCACTTTCTGTCGTATTTTAATAAATTGTTGAATAGCATTGGCTGTGATAATGCTTGATTAATGTAAAAAAACATCACCCAACACAATCCTTGCGAGTGAAATGAGAACGCGAGTTAAATAATACAGTAGGTATTTGTTAGTGTTATTTTTAGGTTTTGTTTTGTGTTCACAACTGGTTAAGAATGCTTGTGAGTTTTGATTGAGATTTATTGTGAAATAAAGATATTGTACAAATTGAACGTTTTTGATTTGATTTCCCTTTACACACAGCTTCATATTCGCTATTTCGATGGTTCATTTAGAATTTTTGACCTCATTGTCATCTAAAGTAGATGTATGAATGTAGTAGATAAGTAAAAATGATATTTTTTCCTTCTCAGAAGAGAGATCTGCAAAAGTGCAAATAGAACATACATAATATGCGTGCGATGTATGAGTTATGCAATAACATTGCTTCTACAAATACTCATATCAAAATGATCTTTACTAACCACGCTTTTTTGTAACTTCAGTTTACGAAATCGTCATCATGACAACGATGACTACAGGCATTTTTTATCTCCTTGTTGATAAGTACCTAATTCGCACCGGCAACGCGATAACAGTTGACGAAATGAAGTCTAAATTCTCAGTTTAGCATTTATTATGATTTAACTTTGGTTTTTTGGGTAAAGCCTGGTCCGTGAGCACGTAGAATCCCGTCCAATGACCCCAAGCTGCCCATCCTTGTCGCTCGCACGTAATTATGTTGCTGTCGCGCTCGCACACTCACTGCGGGCGCGCGTCGCACAGTCGCGACAGCAATATAATTACGCGCGAGCGATAAGGATGGGTAGCTTGGGGTCATTGGACGGGATTCTACGTGCTCACGGACCAGGCTTTAGTACATAGTAGTAGTATAGGTCTAATAGCGTTTAACTAAGTCTGTGCCTAAGGTATGGGAACAGCACGGGAGGGGGAGGGTGTTTTTGGGACGTCAAACGTCAGTGCAACTTCAAATGTCCTTCAGATTTGTATGCTCTTTCACCTCAAAATACTATCCGTTCGCGATAAGTTTGCCGCTAGCGATATGACGTCACTAGAAGGAAAGCGTCTATAACTATAGCAAACTATATTAAAAATATTTTTTATTTATTAATATTGATAAAAATTGTGTATCTGCGTAAAATAAGACACATAAATCACTAACTAATTGCGGTTGGGGGAGGGGACGCGCATTCCACAGACCGGCAAACTTAGCGCGAACGGGTAGTAGGACAATGTCACCATTCTCTTACTGCTCCCATACTTTAAGTACAGAGTTATGTGCTAGACGTATAATAGGGATGTTTCCTGGGTCAAAAAGCAAGAGTTTTAATTAGTCCGTCAGTTAACTTATCAAAAAATACTCTACACGTATTTTTCACTTTATCAAACTAATGAAAATTTAAAGAGATAAAGCGCGCCAAAGTTCATAAGAAGAGGCCCGTGACGTCAATGCGTGCATAAAAGTGCCGCTCGTTGTGACGTCGTGCGGAACTTCAACGCACCATAACTATGTAATTATTTGTTAGATTGACAAATAAAAATATATGTGTCCAATATTTTTTGATATTAAATATGACGGACTAAAAAAATTATTTTAGGAAATTAGCCTATTATGCTAGCTATGTAAAATAAAACAAATCATTCCTCGTAACATCCACCATATTATTCAACAAGAAAAACCTGATCAATAACATCATAAGTACTAACATAATTGCTTACATATCCCATAGACAACTAATTATAATTTAAAATAAAATATAAAAATCTGTACCAAATTGTACGCAACGATTCTGTTAAGTTTAACAAATTAATAACTGTAAAACTAAATCTAAATATAATATAGGATCATGATTTATTTGCAACGGAGCATCTAATGTAGTCTTGAGTCACTTTCATTACTTCTAAAGCACCTTTTGAGATTAGAGAATTGGCTAACTCTATGCCTAAGTTATCACATTTTTCTATCACTTCGATGGGTATGTTCACATTCTCGGATAAACCACAGAATATTTTGTCTTTTAGCGCTTGTATTTCTTCCATAGTCCTTGTGTCTTCACAGTTGGCATTTTGGGTGTCGATTCTTTTGTTGAGTTCTTCGATTGGGTTACTTTGTTCGGTCTTGATTCTTTTGCTAGTGTTGTCATCTACAGGGCTGAGTTTGTGTTTAGCGGTCTTAGTGATCTGTGGAAACGTGTGGTGGAGGGTGTGGTCGATTCGCGTGGCTCCATCGAGACTCCAGACGGCGCCGGATATGGACAGTTTGAATTCTGCGTCGAGAGGCTTCAGTCTTGTTGACACGCCTACTGGGGCGCTGCAACCGCCACCTAGGGAATAAAAATGTAATTAAACGATAATAAGGGCTAGTTTATTTAGTAAATTCGAATGTATTACTCAATTATCTGCTAACGATCATAATGTTGAAACATGATAAAAAGTTAGTTTCATTATTTTATTTTATTTAAAAAGATCACCAATAAGATTACATTAAAGTAGATAGATTAGAACTCATATGGTTGTGAAAGACGCGTCTTCCTACAGTACGAGTATGTATGTAGAAAAACGAATGTATGTATGAACGATTAGCTGTTAGGCTGTTACAGCTTGGATGATAAAGTGAATTTATTATTTTGGTCCCATACAAAATGATCAGGATTTTTTTTGGTTCCATACAGGTTTCTTTTTGCAGCTTGTATCTTACCTAAAGTCTTCAAAAAGCTCCTCTCAGCTAACACCCGGCAGTATGTCTCTGGGTGGTTGAAGGGAGCGAGCATAGACAACACGTCTTTGTTGTCTGTGGAGCATTCCACCGCCAGCGCCCCCTGGCCCACTGCGTACATCATCTCTGAACATGGCAGCACCTGGAGAGTTGTTTTAAGAAGTTCTTTCAATATAATGTCAAGTTAGAATCAAGCCTTTACTTTACTATCCTATCTATTGGATACCCTCCTACAGACTAGTATCGTTTTTTCGTTAACAGTTGGCACCACTGACCACTGGCGATTGACATGACCCTATTGCAGCGGTCGCCAAATGGTGGTCCGCGGAACCCTGGGGTTCCGTGGAAAGGCCGCAAGGGTTCCGTAAAAAATATTAATCCACGTTTCGTGACCGACGTTGTTCGCGCGCACCGACTTGTTTACGCACAAGGAAGGGCAGGGCGTGCGGGCGGAGTAGTACGGGGGTTCCGCTAGGAAAAGTATAATCAATTAGGGTTCCTTGCCAAAGAAAAATTGGGAAACCCTGCCCTATTGTACAGTGAGTGCAAATGCGATAGTTCTCCTACCGCTTCAGTGTTCACCAGTTGAACAACTGTCTTCGTCAATAGCAAGTGACTTTACAGTGGTGGCACAAACTGGGTGAGCGCTAAAACCACAGCCCTCATTAAAATACGTTTTATTAGCTGTCAAAACGCGACTTACTTAAAAAGCAATGGGGAATGCCGTCGCCAGTTTGCGAACTCAATGTACTTTTAGAAGAAATAGAGATTTTTTATCGCCGGGCATACGATTTCAATGTAAAACTCTACGTAAAAGATTAAAATTAGGATGTTATTTGATTGTTATCGATTTATCTAATCACACATTGACTCAGTCACACTTGAACGTATACAGCCCTATTTACTAAGTGATAAAGTGTGTCACCATCACGAAAAATCCACGCGGGAGAAATCTCAAGTTTGCTTTATCAGAAAAATCATTGATAACATTATTTTTCAACAACTACTTATGTATCGGTTAGCACCTTGACACAGTGCAAATCATCAAGTATCACGCGAGAATGTTAGACTTCCCCACGCACATCCGATGCGAGCCATTATGAATGTATCGCGGGTGGTAGTTATTAACTCATTTAATGAAGGTATAAACTGCCGTGATTTTATTGACTTTTATCTATCTATTCCTATTGTTTGTATCTTATTTGATGCCTCTCACTCAGATAATAAATAAAGATTATGATAAAAGTAATAGGTTTAAAAAGCATTGCGATGTTTGATGTTTCATGATGGATATCATCAAAACAACTATGATGAAATGTTAAGTTAAGACACCACATCAGTCTCGAGCGATAGACAGTTAAATGGAGCCCTAAGTGGTCGCAAGAGACCGCGGTAATGTATTGTCTCTCGATTCGCTGGTACATTAAGGGATAACGAGTGCCTTAGTTCTAAAAACGAGCACTGTTTAATTTATTAACCAAATCACTGCCTGCTAGACGCTATAGAGAGCTGTGGTAGCCGATCGAGATAGATAAATGTTAGCTGGTTTTCGTAATTCGATCCATTTATCAATCCCTTCAAGCCACGCGAATCGAGACACATTACAAATCAATTGCTACGCTGTCTTATGCGACCGCTTGGGGTTTGATGGGTCTAAAATCGACATACTTACCTGCTTTTATTTATTTCGGGGAATAAAGAAAACTAAAAAACAAACACGGCTTAGTCTTGTAAGTATCTGTAGAACTGACCTTAGACACCCTATGAGCCCACCCCATCCTCTGCAATCCAGCGTGGGCCAGCAGCAACGCCGAGTACTTGCCATCGGCAGCGTCCAGCTTGTTCAACCTTGTGTTCAGGTTGCCTCGGACGTCCACCACTGACAAGTGAGGGTGGGAGCCGCGAAGTTGCGCCGTGCGGCGGAGAGACGATGTGCCTGGAGATATTTTAATTTATTTAAAGCTTGTTCAAATCAGGCGTTNCAGACGTATAAAAAAAATGTTTATTGACAAAAAAAATATAAAATATTTGTGTGGAAGCTTCTCAGTAAGTAATCGGAGATACTTGTGTTGGGAATGTCTCGCATCTTTCCAGACGGTAAACAAAATTACATAGCTTTATGCAAAATACAATTTGTAGATGTACAAAAGATTAGGCGTTTTGAGCCGGACGTTTGTTGTAGATAATCTTTATTCCTAAAATTTTCCGTGTACAGTCCTGTGAACGGACGACGAACGTTCGGTTCACAATGCCTAATTTGCGCGCCTTTAAACTTTCGTTCGTTCCAGCCAACTGACGTCCACTGCTGGACAAAGGCCTCCTCCCCCAAGGATTTCCAGAACGACCGGTCCTGCACTGACCGCATCCAGGTACATCCCGCGACCTTCGCTAGATCGTCGGTCCACCAATCTTCCGGCTCGAGGTCACCACTAGAGAACTTTTGTTGAAACTTTAAAATGCCATTTAATAAAATGCAAACTTATGACCGCAGTCTGTGGAGGAACACTATTTGACGACCACATTGTGGTCGCGATCCTCTTCAGTGAGGGGCCGAAGAAGAAGAAGGCAAACTTAAAGCTTAAAGCCATATTATAGGCATTCTCTAATTTTATTTCAGATAGAAGCTTCAGTAGATTTCAATAGGGTAGGCACTTCAAGTTAACGCCATAAATTATAAATCCAAAGAATAATGATGAATGTTAAGCGTTTAACTTTAATTTGATGGTAATTCTCCGCTTCCTTCGTTAATTACGTATGTAAAACTGAATATACGAATTATTACAGTACCTACATAAACATTAATTGGATTGTATCGCATAATCTATAAATCATTGTACAGCCAGCGTCAAATAGTTCGTGACTCCCAAAGTGGCTAAAAAACACAACCAAAGACTGCTGTGAACTTAGTGGTTACTTTATGTGACCAACTATTTGACTCTGACTGTAATGGCGCAAGTACACTATGCCGAGACCTAATAGTGTGAATACCATCTCGGTTACTTTGTCCTTCCTCCACATGTGCGTCGCCCATACTTCGGTGTGCGATCTAGCGCTTCGTCTCGGTCAATTTTCTGCATAGTGCACTTGCGCCATAATACAGATAACCGCTTGACTTAGCGGAAGATACCGCGCCATGTAGCAAACGGCGGTTGTTGGTTTGAATCCCGCTTGGGGAATTTTAGACAACCACCAGTATTAATACTAGAACGTTACGTTTATTCGTTATTCCTAAGATAATGTTGAAGTTTTCATGAGAATACAAAGGCTGTTACACCTCACAATATTACAATAAAAATGTTAAGAATCTATTTAACGAACCCCTCAATGGACCCATATTCGATTTCCGGTAGGGTCACATATCTAACTAGACAGAGACACGCCCCCAACAAATATCTGTAGTCAGGTACCTCGTTAAATAATAAAAACGACGATAGCCGAACGGTGAAGATGTCGGACTGGTCGACTCGTGATCGGAGGAACGCAGGTTCGATCCCCGCCGCCGCTCGACTATTGTGGTGAACACAACATAAGCTTAATAAACTTATGTACCAACGTAACACAAGCAAGTTTACCACGAGGGGTTAGCAGGATCATTGGTAATCTATACTAATATTATAAATGCGAAAGTAACTCTGTCAGTCTTGCTTTCACGCCTAAACCACTGAACCGATTTTGATGAAATTTGGCATAGAGATAGTTTGAGTCCCGGGAAAGGACATAGGCTAGTTTTTATCCCGGTTTTTGAAACAGGGACGCGCGCGATAGTTTTTCTGTGACAGACAAAATTCCACGCGGGCGAAGCCGCGGGCGGAAAGCTAGTTTGTAATTACTTGTCAAAAATATCTATTAGATTTAACGAACTTTGAAAGTTTGAAAGGTTCTCCTTTGCTTTTGTAGGTACACTAAACATAAGGTCCTTGTTAGTTTCTCTACCTCCAAATGCCAATGGAACAGCTAGATCCCCTCAAAAAGGATGTATCCCAACTAATATTATAAATGCGAAAGTAACTCTGTCTGTCTGTCTGTTACGCTTTCCCGCTTAAACCTCGCAACCGATTTTGATTAAATTTGGCATAGAGATAGTTTGAGTACCGGGAAAGGACATAGGCTAGTTTTTACCCCGGTTTTTGAAACAGGGACGCGCGCGATAAAGTTTTTCTGTGACAGACAAAATTCCACGCGGGCGAAGCCGCGGGCGGAAAGCTAGTTTGTAATTACTTGTCAAAAATATCTATTTAACGAACTTTGAAAGTGTAGTAGGTTCTCGTTTGCTTCTGTAGGTACCCAAAGTCTTTGTTAGTTTCTCTACCTGCTAATGTCAAAGGAACAGCCAGATACCCTCAAAAAGGATGAATAATTGTTACAAAGGATCTTACCAATTACCGAGCCGGCGGGAAGCGTAGAGAGCGAGTGGTCCTTTACACTGTCCCGTAGCACTAGAGCGTCGCGCGGATCTTCTCTAAAAGAAATAACATTATTATAAATATACTGTATTTGCATAGAACTGTAAAAAAGTATGTTTGAAATTCTCACTTATTCACTTTTTTTTTTTCTCTTTTATTCTATCTGCGATCAGCCATCAGCCTTTATCAGATTGGATTGAATTGGTAATAATTCAATTACTTATTCACTTAATAATTTCAATTTAATTCCATACATGTTGCATTTAATTTTATACAGGTTACTTTAGAGAGGAAATTGAGTCTTAATAAGACAGAGGGAATAAAATTCCCACCTTATTTTTAGCCTTATCTCATGTTATGGTCCAAAAATAATGAAATTTCTCAACTTGAAGTAATGTTTATGGACGTAGGCTGAAGACGTACTGTGGGCAGGCCTCCCACTAGGTGGACCGACGATCTGGTAAAGGTCGCGGGAGGTGTCTGGATGCGGGCGGCGCAGGACCGGTCTTTGTGGAAATCCTTGGCCTTTGTCCAGTAATGGACGTCATTCGGCTGAAACGACGACGACGAATGTTTATGGGTTAAAAATAAAATCTCTTATCTACTATCTTTGTGGCATTACTCTTGTCATGAATCTGATAAACTGATTATCATATCAAGACGCACCTGTCATTATATGAGACCATTTTTTATGATTTGAATCAAAATACTTTAGCCATAATATCTTTCAGTGTTTATTAAATTGAAGCCTCTTTAGTCAATGGTGTTATATAGATATCGATTGGCTGAACGTTTTATAGGATTTGTGAGCTGGATAATCTTACTACATGAGTACAAGCATAATCTATGTTAATTTAATAAGTTTTTGGTGTGTGAGAGAGACTAGGCCTTTTCATGTCAGAGTAAAAATATTAAATTAGAAGTCAGGGAGTTAAGTTTGCATTATGGAAATCATTGGGGGAGACCTATGTTCAGGAAAAGCGCCCCGTGACTGAAATGGCGACAATAAATAAACTACGTACCTTTCAAATACTGCTCCAATGACCAGGCCATCTGGCAGTGATGTGGGTAAATCCTTCAGTGAATGGACCACAAAGTCTACTGTGTTGTTTCTGAGGGCATCCTCCAAGTCCTTAGTGAATAATGACTTCTCTCCAATCTTGGGCAGCGATACGTTTAGTATACGATCACCCAATGTTGTCATGGTCACTATAATAAAGTTAAATCATTCAATGTACCTACTTAAAAAATATGTTTAAAGACTAATGCCCGTTTTTACCATCAATCCCTAATTTTTAAGTGACCCATATGGTAACACATAACAGGCATTTTGTTTTCATAGGGTTCACTTAAAAATTAGGGATTGATGGTGAAAATGGGCATAAATCTTACGTCTTAAAGACTTTAAATATTAACTCAGATAATTACTTAAAATTCTTAATTTTATAAAAGTTGCATATTCACCTACTTATTTAAAAATGACACAAGCTTTAATCATTATTCATGACAAGCTAATTTATGCTAATTAAGTGTATGTTCAAGTGTTAGATCAGACGTTGGAATGTTATTACAGTTTAATTTACATTATACAAGATTTTTAAATAAGTACTAGGTACTTACCAATTTTAAATTCCTTATCTGGATACACTTTTTTCAGAGTGTCTATGACATGATTCGTCTGAATTAAAGCCAACTAGAAGAAAACACATAATTTTAAAGCTTAGTTTAGTTTTAACAAGAAATATGTAGATAGGACTTATTGTTTTTAAGTAGGTGAAGAACCTGAATAACTGTCTTGTGATGAATACGGATAGTTAAATCATATCATAAGTCAATTTTGTATATTTTATCAAGTCTAAAGATATGAAAAATGTTGATTCATTCAATGAGTTAAATTGAAAAGAGATGGCAAAAATACTTGCTCATTTCACAGATACTAACCTCACTTTTCCTCGACCCAACTCGTATAACATTATTTCCTTCATTTTCCATCGTAGTTTAAAACCTTTGTCACGTTTTATCAGTAATTCTATAAACTTATAGGTTATGTCATGTAATAAAGTTTTAATTTCTGAGCAAGTTTTCCCGGTAGAACCAGCTTTGTGTTACAAAGCTCCAATATCTTGTCACTAGCACTGTAGTGGACAAGTATTATGCCCGTGATAATTTATATCTCCCAAATATTAACTTTTATCCAACATCATTCCACCACATCACATCACAAAATGATACTGGAAATCTGGAAATGAATGAATGAAGTTCATTGATAAATACTGCTGTCAAATTGACGTTGTCTGTCCCATGAAGCCTAAGATAAAAATGGAGGCCACACTTAGAACAAAAACTTGAGTCAAATACCTACTTATCTCTATCTCGCTCTCTGTGGGCCGACCTCTCTTTTTAGTGTGGACTGTAGAATTGCTATCTCGATTACCTACGATGAACTTGAACTACGATTACATAGTTAAATTAAAAATCACAAAATTGTCGGCCGTTTAGGCTAAATGTGTTGGCGAATAAGGTAATTACAATCCCAATTCCTGGGAAATCGGTACCATGTGGCAACATCGGCCCAATCCGGCCCATCATGGCGGTTGTTTACTATTTTGTTTACTATGCAGTTAATTTCGTTTGAGATTTTTTACAGGACCTAAGCCCCGATTACAGCTGACGTACGCTGTTGAACGACCAATCGTATCGCAGAATCGAGAAGCGTGTCTGGATTGGAGACGTTAAAAATTACCGTAATCGGGGCTCTAATCATTGTTTTATCACAAGAAGTGGTGCAAAATTTTGTAGTGCGTGGTTGCGGTAGTACGTGGTGTCCGGGAAGTGAGTTAAGATTCCACGCGTAAGTGTTTATTTCGTGATTTCCGACATTGGATCATTGTAAACATATTTCTTTGTATTTTCACAGTAATTTCTTCCTAAAACGTTTTACCAGTATTTACACTTATTATTTAATGATACCTATGTCAAGAAATAAAGATTTTACATTAAGTTTCATTAACTTTGAGCAAAGGAGNGGGTCATGTGACGCCCGTCGCGGGTCTAGTGAAGCCCGTCGCGGGTCTAGTGAAGCCCGTCGCGGGTCTAGTGACGCCCGTCGCGGGTCATGTGACGCCCGTCGCGGGTCATGTGACGCCCGTCGCGCGTCATGCGAGCGAGCGAAGTCGCGCACCAGACACCCTAACGTGGACAAATCACCGGCGACGACAAGCTGGCGCTGCTGGCGGGTGAGTGACATGTGACGCCCGAAGCGGGTCATGCGAGCGGAGTGTGGCACCAGACTCACCCCAACGTGGACAAGGAGGCGTTCCGGTCGCAGGGCATCATCGGACTCAAGCAGAGTCAGCGCCCGTTCCCGCTGCACAGTGACGTGGGCGTGCTCAAGTGGCGCCTCGCTGGTTCCGGCGACGACAAGCTGGCGCCGCTGGCGGGTGAGTGACGTGTGACGCCCGTCGCGGGTCATGTGACGCCCGTCGCGCGTCATGCGAGCGGAGTCAGGCACCAGACTCACCCCAACCTGGACAAGGAGGCGTTCCGGTCAGAGCCAACGCCCGTTCCCGCTGCACAGCGACGTCGGCGTGGCGACGACAAGCTGGCGCCGCTGGCGGGTGAGTGTCATGTGACGCCCGCCCCGCGTCATGCGAGCGAGCGGAGTCAGGCGGTCTAGTATTCTTGTCGGCAGCTGTGTATTCTTGTAGGCAATTGTGTATTTTGTCGGCGGTTGTGTATTCTTCTCATTCTAATAGGTTACAACAAGAATATTTACACACTCACTTGTGGTAGAAGAAGTGGTCGTTCTAGAAGACATTTCTTAACATTGTGAAGTTACATTACAGCTAGAAACAACGTAAGAACGTTGACACAGAAATACACGAAATAATGCTCTAACTATAAGTGCTATACTACTGGGAGCGGCACGAGAGATTTTAAGATCTGAAAGCTTTTGACCATCACAAAAACAACCCGAAACAGGTTCCACTACCATACCTTAGGCACTAAATCAGTTAAGCGCTAGACTTACACCTATGCGAAGTCGAATGCACAGTGTTGAATAGAGCTTTGCGACTGGTTCGTGTGTATCACTCCGCCACTTAAGTATTTATTTTATTTTATTTTTATTTTTCTTTATTCAGAAAACCACAGCTCTTTATAATAATAATAATACAAACAGGTATTTTTGTTCTTACAGCCAATAATGGATTCTATATATTATTACAATCTCGTAAAAAACAGTCAAAGGGGCAAAAAAAAGAAACATAGGCTTGCATGCAGGTTGTGTGTGTGTGTGTGTGTGTGTGTGTGTGTGTGTGTGTGTNTATCAATCATAATAATCTTCTTGACAAGATTAATCGTCAAACAACTTTGATCTGAATAATTTTGAACTTTACTGACGAACAGTTAAAGATTATTTTCTCTAACTCGAGATTATTCTGTAACATAGTTTCAAAAGGTAATATGTGCTCGCGATTCGTTGAAGGAATCAATTTGAAAACTGCGAACCTTTTCATTCCGTGACTGTACCTACAAAAGATTAGGCGTTTTGAGTCGGACGTTTGTTGTAATTTTTTTTCCAACGCACTTTTCCCACAATTTTCCGTGTTCAGTCCTGTAAACGGACGACGAACATCCGGCTCAATACGCTTATTTGGAAGAGCCTTTAAACTTTCGTTCGCTTCGGCCTGACGTCCACTGCTAAACAAAGGCCTCCCCCCAAGAATTCCACAATGACGGTCCTGCGCTGCCCGCCATTGGCGTATCTAGGGATATTTTTCAGGGCCTGACCCCTGACATGAAGGGTCAAGCGGAAGGTTCAAAGTCCAAAGATAGATTAATAAACCATTTATTAAACTCTTTAGTTTAATAAAGGGTACCAAAAAAAAAAAAAAATGCATCTTATAAAATATGCAAAAATCCTACCAACGACTCATTTACAAAACAATGTAATTAATGATATTATAAATATCCGTAATACAATTTTCAATACGGCTAATTCTTAACCTTAGAAGATTTCAAAGGTAGGTACCTACTTCAAGTTAACGCCATAAATCAAAAGAATATTGATGAATGTAAGCGTTTAACTTTAATTTGATGGTAATTCTCCGCTTCCTTCGTTAATTACGTATGTAAAACTGAATATACGAATTATTACAGTACCTACATAAACATTAATTGGATTGTATCGCATAATCTATAAATCATTGTACAGCCAGCGTCAAATAGTTCGTGACTCCCAAAATGGCTAAAAAACACAGCCAAAGACTGCTGTGAACTTAGTGGCTACTTTATGTGACCAACTATTTGACTCTGACTGTAATGGCGCAAGTACACTATGCTGAGACCTAATAGTGTGAATACCATTTCGGTTACTCTGTCCTTCCTTCACCTGTGCGTGTCGCCCATACTTCGGTGTGCGATCTAGCGCTTCGTCTCGATCAATTTTTCCCAAAGTGTACTTGCGCCATATACAGATAACCGCTTGACCGCTTGCCGCCATGTAGCAAGCAGCGATTGCGGGTTCGAATCCCGCTTGGTGCTTTTAGAAAATCACCAGAACGTTACATTTTGTTAGTACTAAAAACAATGTTAAAGTTTTCAGCAGTAATAGCATAAAGGCTAAACATTTCAAAATAATAAGTACAATGAAACTGTTAAGAATCTATTTAACGACCGCCTCAATGGACCCAGATTCGATTTCCGGTAGGGTCACATATCTAACTAGACACAGACACGCCCCCAACAAATATCTCTTGTCTGGTACCTCGTTAAATAATAAAATCGACGATAGCCGAACGGTGAAGGTGTCGGACTGGCCGACTCGTGATCGGAGGAACGCGGGTTCGATCCCCGCCGCCGCTCGACTATTGTGAACTCACTCGCACCAAGCATATTCAGCTAACCACGAGGGGTAAACGGGATTATTAGTTACGAGCCAGTAGCACGTACCAAATTGTTCGTCACATCAGCATTTTTATTTTCATCAGTTCATGTTCGGTCATCATTCATACCGTGCGCGTTCTCACTATCATTCTATTTTCTATCATTTAGTTAGCATAAGTATCAGTCTATAAATACAGTTATATCAGTTTATATCAGACTTTCATTCCTCTCTTCTATCAGTAACATATCACCCAAGAGCGTACAAAACGTACATTTCTATTTACAAATTGCTAATATTCTTTATAAAAAATCCATTTGGCGCATTTTTAGGGTTCCGTAGCCAAATGGCAAAAAACGGAACCCTTAGATTCGTCATGTCTGTATGTCCGTCCGTCCGTCTGTCCGTCCGTATGTCACAGCCATTTTTTTCCGAAACTATAAGAGCTATACTGTTGAAACTTGGTAGGTAAATGTATTCTGTAAACCGCATTAAGATTTTGTTGCAAAAATAAAATAATAATAATAAATATTGGGGGCTCCCCATACTTAGAACTGAAAATTTTTTTTCATCAGACACATACGTGTGGGGTGTTTATGGATAGGTCTTTTAAAAATAATATCGAGGTTTCTAAGATACTTTTTTTCTAAACCGAATTGTTTGCGTGACAGACGCTTCCAAAGTGGAAAAAAGTTGGTCCCCCCCCCCTCTAACTTCTAAAATAAGATAATGAAAAATCTAAAAAAAATATATGATGTACATTACTATAAAAACTACCAACAAAAATTGTTTTGAACCAGATCTAGTAAGTAGTTTTTTTTAATACCTCGTAAATCGTAAACCGCTTATTACCGCGTAATCTTTCATGCAAATAACTTAAATTTAAAAAAACAAATTAATTTCATAAATCAATGGTACGGAACCCTTTGTTGGCCGGTTTTTATTAAATGTGAATGTCACCCCTCGCTCTCCCATATCTCAGATACTAACTCAGTTAAACACTAGACTTATAATATAGGCATCCTCAAAAAGGATGAATAATTGTTACAAAGGATCTCACCTATTACTGAGCCGGCGGGAAGCGTAGAGAGCGAGTGGTCCTTTACACTGTCCCGTAGCACTAGAGCGTCGCGCGGATCTTCTCTAAAAGAAATAACATTATTATAAATACACTGTATTTGCATAGAACTGTAAAAAATTATGTTTGAAATTCTCACTTATTCACTTTTTTTCTCTCTCTTTTATTCTATCTGCGATTAGCCATCAGCCTTTATCAGATTGGATTGAATTGGTAATAATTCAATTACTTATTCACTTAATAATTTCAATTTAATTTCATACATGTTGCATTTAATTTTACAGGTTACTTTAGAGAGGAAATTGAGTCTTAATAAGACAGAGGGAATAAAATTCCCACCTTATTCTCATGTTAAAGTCCAAAAATAATGAAATTTCTCAACTTGAAGTAATGTTTATGGACGTAGCCGGAAGACGTAGTGTAGGCAGGCCTCTCACTAGGTGGACCGACGATCTGGTAAAGGTCGCGGGAGGTGTCTAGATGCGGGCGGCGCAGGACCGGTCTTTGTGGAAATCCTTGGCCTTTGTCCAGTAATGGACGTCATTCGGCTGAAACGACGACGATGAATGTTTATGGGTTAAAAATAAAATCTCTTATCTACTATCTTTGTGGCATTACTCTCGTCATGAATCTGATAAACTGATTATCATATCAAGACGCACCTGTCATTATATGAGACCATTTTATGATTTAAATCAGAATACTTTAGCCATAATATCTTTCAGGGTTTACTTTAAAAATTCAAGCCTCTAGTCAATGGTGTGATATAGATATTGATTGGCTGAACGTTTTATAGAATTTGCGAGCTACATCTTACTACAAGCATAATCTATGTTAAGTTGATAAGTTGTTGGTGTGTGACAGACACTAGGCCTTTTCATGTCAGAGCAAAAATATTAAACTAGGTGTCAGGAAGTTAAGTTTGCATTATGGAAATCAATGGGGGAGACTTGTTCAGCAGTAGAGTTTCGTGACTGAAATGACGATAATGAATAAACTACGTACCTACCTTTCAAATACTGCTCCAATGACCAGGCCATCTGGCAGTGATGTGGGTAAATCCTTCAGTGAATGAACCACAAAGTCTACCGTGTTGTTTCTGAGGGCATCCTCCAAGTCCTTGGTGAATAATGACTTCTCTCCAATCTTGGGCAGCGATACGTTTAGTATACGATCACCCAATGTTGTCATGGTCACTATAATAAAGTTAAATCATTCAATGTACTTAAAAAATATGTTTAAAGACTAATGCCCGTTTTTACCATCAATCCCTAATTTTTAAGTGACCCCTATGGTAACACATAACAGGCCTTTTTTTTCATAGGGTTCACTTAAAAATTAGGGATTGATGGTGAAAATGGGCATAAATCTTACGTCTTAAAGACTTTAAATATTAAGTCAGATAATTACTTAAAATTCTTAATTTTATAAAAGTTGCATATTCACCTACTTATTTAAAAATGACACAAGGTTAAATCATTATTCATGACAAGCTAATTTATGCTAATTAAGTGTATGTTCAAGTGTTAGATCAGACGTTGGAATGTTATTACAGTTTAATTTACATTAAACAAGATTTTTAAATAAGTACTACTTACCAATTTTAAATTCCTTATCTGGATACACTTTTTTCAGAGTGTCTATGACATGATTGGTCTGAATTAAAGCCAACTAGAAGAAAACACATAATTTTAAAGCTTAGTTTAGTTTTAACAAGTATTATGTAGATAGGACTTACTGTTTTTAAGTAGGTGAAGAACCTGAATAACTGTCTTGTGATGGATACGGATAGTTAAATCATATCATAAGTCAATTTTGTATATTTTATCAAGTTTAAGATATGTAAAATGTTGATTCATTCAATGAGTTAAATTGAAAAGAGATGATAAAAATACTTGCTCATTTCACAGATACTAACCTCACTTTTCCTCGACCCAACTCGTATAACATTATTTCCTTCATTTTCCATCGTAGTTTAAAATCTTCGTCACGTTTTATCAGTAATTTAATAAATTCTATAAACTTATAGGCTATGTCATGTAATAAGGTTTTGATTGCTGAGCAAGTTTTCCCGGTAGAACCAATAACACAAAGCTCCAATATCTTGTCACTAGCACTGTAGTGGACAAGTATTATGCCCGTGATAATATAAATCTCCCAAATATTAACTTTTATCCAACATTCCACATCACATCACAAAATGATACTGGAAAATGGAAATGATGAATGAATGAATGAAATGAAGTTCATTGATTCATTGATAAATACTGCTGTCAAATTGACGTCTGTCATACGTATTTTTTTAAATTTCTTGTGTAAGACTTGGGATTTATAAATTTTGCAGGATATGGATGATTGATATTTTGGCCATGAGATGTTGGGACGAATGTGTTCGTTGATCCCTCCCCCGTGTTGTGCAAGGGGGGAGGGATCAACGAACACCCATTTTGCGGCAGTTTTTGGAGGAAAAACGACTCGAGATAGTCCTCCACCCCTTACTTGTGTACTTTTTAATAGATTTTACTAATTTCTCCCATGGTTCCTTGTTTCAGTAGGATTAGTATTAAAAATCGTAATTAATTTAACAAAATTTTATTCTTCTACTCGATACACATTGGAACATTTAAATTTGACAGAAATAGGCACGACGGCCTACTACTTTACTAAATGCAAATTATAAAAATCCTACCTCTGTCAATACGGCTTGATAATGCCAGACTACAAATTAGAAAATAATAACAATAGATGAATGAAAGTGTGATGCATATTCTAATACAAAGCAATTTTTCTTAAATACAATATTATAATCAAGCATTTAAATCACAGTCTGATCCATTTTTTTATGTATAAAATTAAAATCATAACATTCGATTTATTTAATCAAAAGTGGTGGGTCAGTTTAATTCACCAAAACCTTATCCTAAAATATTGGTAGAAGTAAACCTGTAAAATATAATTGTCCGAACAAAAGAATATTTCGAGTGAAAAACACATCTATTCTTAGAGAATAATAGTGAGAATGAAGATATGTCCGCAGATGGCACCCGCAGTTTTTAAGCATTTAAAAGAAATTACTTTGCAACCAATAGTCGGTACTGTGGTACCCTAAGTAGAGCGACACGATTCAGTGGGCACTAGTCTTATACCACTCTCTAGCAAGTGGCGCAACTCATATTCTGTAGTTAAAAATGGTATGCTTGCCATCTGCGGTCATCTTCAACTTACGAAGTCTAAAAACCAGGGTCACATGAAGAGATAAATGTCATAAAGTTGATATCAGTTTTGCTTGCGGCGGCTGCTGCGGAGCCGTCTTCTGTTGTTGGGCACGGTGTACGAAGGGCTCCGAGATTTTGTTTCTGAAAGGAACAATAAAAAAATAATTATCCTACTGCATAATAATTATGCCATAATTCATCAAAATAGAAATAATAGTCTGCGAGTTTGAAGTTGAACGCTAAACAAATATCAGAGTAATATTATGGCACTACAGTAAATTTTTAATTAGGATTAAGATACTCAATACTCATACGACCCAGACAAAACAGATGTAACTTGACATTGTGCATTAAAATTGTGTGGTATGTATTTGAACAAGTGGTATACCAAACTGCACTGATATTTGTGGTCCTTATAGCAGACTTGTGTAAATAAGGTTCATGGTCAGTGCCAAACTGCCAATGCTATTAATTTGATTGCAAAATAAATTTTACTACCATTTGAACAGGAAAATTATTTTATACTCACTTGATTTAGGTAAAGGCTTAGCAGGAGTTTCTTCAACAATTTCTACTGTTTTCTTACTTGCTGTTGTAGTATTTCTTGTCTGTTTCAGCTCCTTAGGTTGCGATTTAGTCTTGATTTCAGTGTCTTCTGATTGCTTTGTCTTACTTTTAGACCTTTTTAATTCCTTGGGTTGTTCCTTAGTCTTGGCATCAGTGTCTTCAGACTGCCTTGTCCTAGTTCTAGTCCGTTTTGTGTCCTCAGGCTGTTCTCTGGCTTTTTCAGATTCTACGGATTGCCTTATTCTACTTTTAGACAGTTTAGAATCCTTCGTCTGCTCTCCAGTCTTTTCAGTTTGTAAGCATTGCCTTGCCCTACTTTTAGACCTTTTAGTTTCCTTAGGTGGTTCTTTAGTTTCTTCTGATTTTTCTGGACTACACTTGGACTTTTTCAACTCTTTAGATTGTTCCTTACCCTTAACTTCAGTCTCTTCAGATCCTCCTATATTACTGTCACTTGATGCTTTTTTCCTCATACTCCTTTTTACTGGTTCAGGTTGGATTACTGTTCTATTTCTAGTAGATCTAGTACATCTAGGCTGGACAAGAGCTATTTCCTTCTTCGCTGAACTTTGCTGTTTCAGAGCATCCAACCTCTCTTTTGCTTCTCTCTTCTCTTTCATTCTGTAAACTTTTACCATTGCTGGTGTGTACCCAGCTATCCCTCCATGACTCTCTTCCATTTCTTTAGAGCATTTGCCTGAAACTTTTTTCTCGAAGTTAGCTACCACTTCTTTCATTGCATAAGTGGGGTTCAACATTTGCAAGTAATCTTTCTGCATCAGTGGTGATTGGAGATTGTCATTGCTTTCTGAAGATGCATTGGACAATTTCCTAATCCTATACTTGCAGGTTGAATCATCGTCATCAATGTTATCATCGGTTGCGGTGTTTCTTTCTTTCCTTATGATATCCTCTGGGTTGCCAGCCAAAATTTCTGCCCAAGTAAACTGTCTTGCAGACCCCATGAAGTTGCCAAACTTGCCAATACTGCTTCTGTGTCTCTTTACGCCTCTTCGTTTTTGTACTACTTTCTTTTTAGACCGCAGGTTTTTTGGCGATAGTTTTTTGCCAAATATGTCGTGAGGCATGAGAGATTTCTTTAGACGTGCGACGAGATCTGCATCAGAAATGAAGAAGTTTCTTGATGCGCATGGTTTCCTAACACCATCACTGGAAGAGTTTAGTGTTTGTTTCAACAGTTCCAATTTAAGATCGTTTTCCAAGGAGTAAACATTCTCACGTTCGTATGCTTTTTTAATTCCATTTCTAGCTAGGAAATCACGAGGTGTATTCTTCTTACCAAATCTCTTGGAGTAACAAAGTTTGTTCCGGTTCATTGGAGACATTGGTGGCTCGGCAAAGTTTAAAAAGAGCTCTTTGTCGTATCCATTTTTCAGCAGTTCACTTTTGAATAAGCTTCTACAGTAATCATAGTCTGGTTCTTCAGTGAAATCCAAACTTGTAACATACTGCAGGTACTTCTCCATGAATTGAGGGTAAAACTCTGTTTTGAAGCAGGTCTTGAGTAATAATTTGATGTCTCCCATGAAATTTTTCTTTAATACATGGACTAAATCTGGTTCCGCAAGCACTTCTGCTGTCTTCCAAGGCAGTGTGCCTGTGAGCCAATCTAGGAGATTGTATCCTAGAGTTTCTAGATCGGATCTTCGCGAATGTGCGCCAATATGAGAATCTCTGGAACTGTACTCCAATGTCCCATCATGGGCTTTCCTAGCATCCATCCCAAATTCTTTATGTTTCCCATTTGAGTCCAAAAACTTGGATGCCAGGCCATAGTCCAGTAAATAAATCTGGCCATTGGACTGAGAGAGAACTGCTTCTTTGAATATCTCATTTAAATCGTTGGTGCTATTTTTCAGATCTTTATTTAATGTTTCCTCATAAAAATCTTCAGTGTTTCTCATTAGATTGTTACCAAAATCATCTAGCAGTTTCTGGTATGATTGATCAGAACAAACTGAACTATTTATATCTTCATAGTTGACGTAGTTAGACAGTTGTCTTAAATTAAATGCATGGTGTCTGTGCAATGTCCTGCTATCTTTGTCCGATAATATTTTTCTCAGCTTCTTCTTCACATTGGCCAGTCTCTTATCATTTTCAGTGCCATCATCTAATGGGTTTTTATAGTCTTTGACGATGAAGTCCTCATCATCATAATAGTTTGATGACCTGCTTTTACCACTTTTGGCTCTTCTATGCTTGCCAGAAAGTACTGCAATTTCTTTTGTTTCCTTTTGGAATGAGGGGGAGTGTTTTATAAGTGGCACTTTCCCCTGTTTCATGCCATCAAATCCAAGCATGAGATTGGAACTTTTGATATCTGAATGAGTGTATCCCTGATTGTGAAGGTACTCCAACACATCTAGAATTTGGATTGCCAATACAAGCACATTTTTCAAGTCCAAAACCTTTGTTCGGGCAATAACTTTCTGGAGATCAATGTCATATCGAGGGAGGACCAGGAATCTGTATTTCACACCGGTGTTTTCATCAGTGAAAGAGCCGCTTGCAATGTATACTGGCATCCCAAGGCGTTTCTGTTTCTTCTGCTGTCTCCATGATTTGACTGGAATAAAATAAAAATCAACAGTTTAGATTTCACAATAACTTATTTTCATGTGAATATTACTATTAATATGTACTGTGTCTTACCTCTGGCTGCCTGAGCAGACCTGATCAGACAGTGTATCTCAACGAACAAGGGTCCATTTGTGTGTGGTTCAATTTTGACCACATATCTTGCATTCTGTTTTGTTACTTCAGCATCTACATTGTCTGAAGCTAGGTATATCCTGCCAAAACTACCTCTGCCTGTAAAACAAAGAAGAACATCAATTTTTTTACATAATATTGGGTAAAAATAGAAAATTTATAATTATTCTTAAATCAAGTAATAATACTGTGTGGTAATTATTTGTTTGTTAAAAATTATAAGTAAATGAATATTTACAAAGCCTGTCTAACATATGACTAAGACAGCTCCAAATCATGTGGTATATATCTAACAATGTACCTACTATGCATCATGATCTAATGCATCAACTTTCACTTTTATTTCCCTCTTCAAATGTTAAGTTAACAAGTACATTCTAGTTCTGACCATTAGATTAGTGACTTTTTTAGAAAGTTTACTGGTATTTATTGCGTATCTACTCACCAATAGGTTTTCCAATACGCCATTTCTTCTGTTGTACATCAGAAAATACAATTCCAGGTGGGAGAGCCTCATCGTCGAAGAAACTCACATCGAGGCTCGGGGGCTCCTCCAAAGTCTTACATTTCTTCTTCGGGGGCATAGGCAGTTGCACCACATCAGTCCCGACGCGACGCGGCATTATAAAAACATCCAGAATTGCAGGGTTCAATGATCCTACAACTTTACGACTTGGCCACCTAAAGCGGAACG